GGGGGGTTTACATGCGCACCTAATACGGCTGCAGACTCATCGTCCTGGCTTCATTCTTTCCAGGCGAGCTACTGCGGCTGTTTGCACCCAAAAAACTGCCCAACGGAACAGCCTACGAGCAGCAATACGACCGCTTTTTCGATGTCGATGTGCGCGCAGCCATCTACGCGAACACGCGCTCCATCAGCTACAGTCCCTCGTCATCGACTCTGGGCTACAAATCGCTCAATCCTTACGTGCCCAACTATGCGGCTGGTCCACTTGCCAAGAGGTTGCTGAACATTCCGCTGCCCGACAATGGACTGGCAGCTGGTTCGCTGGAATGGTACTACTACGATTGGACGCAAAATTACAACGTCAGCCTCTTCAGCGCCATCTCAAAGCACGCCCGATTCATCGTGGAATTTGGCATCCATGCCTTGGCCTCTGTTCATGCCTACGGTGAGCTATGTCGAGCTCCAAGCACGCATTGCGCTAGTGCTGACACCGCGCACGCCCTTAGATCGCGTCCTACCCAGCGTGGAGGACTTCGCGCTCAACTCTACGGCAGTCAGAGTACACACCAAGCACACGCCAGCCGGTAACCTGTCGTACCCCTGGCCAGCTGATGATGGTCATGGAGAGATGACGCACAGCGTCGATCTATACCTTCCACCTCCTACCGTGCACAACAACGGAACCTCCATCACGAATGGCGACACCGGCTCTCGCGAGCTCTTCGACAAGTGGGCATACTCTACCCAAATCATGCAAGCGGACTACACCGCTCAGCAACTACTGTATTACAGGCAAGGCGCTGCGAGACCCGAGAACAATTTTGGCGCCATCTTTTGGCAAGGCAACGACGTGTGGCCAGGCGCCAGCTGGTCGTCAAAGGAATTTGGTGGTCGTTGGAAAGTAAGTCTCAGCCCGTGTCACGACCGAGTTCCGGTGTCCTGCTGGCTGACTGAGCTTCGAGCTCAGCCCATGCACTATCTGGCAGCGAGAACGGCAGATCGCGTCGTCCCATTCGCCCTGTGGAATGCGAGCGCAAAGACGCTCGACCTGTGGGCTCTGGTAAGTGGCAAGAGTGTGGGCGCGCTTGGCGCTGAAGTGGTCAACTGACTTGACGTTGTCGTATTTAGTCTGACAGCAACGAGCAACAGCATGTCACCGCCAATTGGACCTGGTATAGTTGGGAGGGCTCCCCAATCGTCGCGACGGTGTCCAAGGAGGTGGACATCCTTGCCATCAATGGGAGTGCTTTGCAGCTGAATGAGACGATCCCGCAGACGAAAATTGGAGCTGATGGCAATACGACCATACCGGCTTGGCTTCACCTCACCCTCATTTCGGACCAACATGGCCGTTCCGAGACTTTCTGGACACCGCCGGGCACACTTCAAAAGGCACCTCTTGCTGACCCCAAGATGCAGGTGCAAGCCACCGATGAGGATGCCGCTTTTATGATATCCTCTCCAAGGGACGCCAATGGAGCGGCGCCCTGGGTCTGGCTGGAGCATCCTGAGGGTGTCGTGGGATACTTTACGGAAGAATTGGGACCCGACTCAGCGCCTAAAGCCTCAAATTTGTTCTGGCTGACCCCTGGGTCTTCACGTCGAGTCAAGTTCGTTGTCCAGTTTGATCGCACCGATGGGGCTTGGAAGCGTGGCATTACGGCGCGCAGTGTTTGGAACATCGCCCACTAGGTAAGGTCAGACCTTCATCAATCAGACCTAGGCTTCCACGGTGCTGCCCTCTATCCATCTCGCGAACAGGACCTGCTATTTTTACATCGCATTCGGTCCCACCGTGCTGTATTCCATGCTCCCGCATCCTGCTTGCTACGATTGAAGCTGTGCTACGGAAATGCTTGGGTGAGTAGCATTGCGAGTGAGCTTTCGTCTTGCTTCCTTGCAACGCTGCCGCACCTCGATTTTGCTCGCCGAAGAAATTTTCATCTCATTGTACCTCGCCGCTCTCAACCACGTCGCGGAGACAAATCAAACATCAAGTGATCTGGCTGGGGCTCGTACGTAAGAGTTGAACTTTCGAGACTTTACGATTCTATCACTTTGAGTCGGGACTGAGCTCGAGAATGATCTTGACCTCTTAGCTCTCAAGCATGCATGTCCGCATCGCGAGACCCGTCGCGGCACCGCCGGCAAGAGCCAAGAAATTCGATCTGCGAAGCTTCCTGCTGGCTGCCGGCGTTCATGATGAGCCCTTCATCCGTGGTACTCGACTGTTCGAATGCAACTCCGCATGATGCATGATGCAGTGCGAGTGTCAGAGCGAGTGTCCGCCATGCAGCATATGCGAGAGCATCAGAAGTGGCGCGGGACTTGATGGCCGCGCGACATCCGCCTTGATGGGTTTATAATCAGAGCCTCGCGCGCACGCATACTCACGATCAAGGTGATCAAATGCCGCGGGGCGGGCGGCAGATGCCGGCGAAACAGGCGGAGTTGCAAGGTGGAAGCGGCGGTTTTGGCGGCGCAACAGAAAAAGCCTCTGCTGCTGTGGGCAAGGGCAGACACAAGCTATAGCTGCATGCCCGCCGTGTCGCCGCGGCCCTCGAGGGAATCCAAGCGCCGCGCTTGTGTTCACGCTCCCGTTTAATTTATTCTGATTCGCACAACGTTAGACACCGTGAGCAGCAATGCCTGCGTATGTGTTGTGAGACGTGAGATCTTGGTCCATCGATCAGGACTTGTGATGCTGTGGGGTTGCTCAGCAGCAGCGCAGATGCACGTCGGCGTTTGCGATCGAGTGCCTGCCGAATCACACCAAATGTGAAATGCTCATCAGCGTTCTTGTGGCCAGGGTCCCACATCACAGCTATGGAGATACCCGCGGCTGTGGTACATGACTGCATGCTGCTGGTGAGAAAGGTGGGGCAAGTCTTTGGGAAGGGCGAGTCTGCCTTAAGTCGAGACGCAACGCTGCCATCATGCAGAGCGGGGCACCGCAATTCGTAGTTTCGCACTTCTCAACTACTGCAGGCCAGCTCTCATGCGGATGCCGAGGTGGGTCAGGAGTTGTTGCGGGTGTTCGCGAGGAGAAGGGAAGAAGAGCTGAGACGGCCCCCGTGGATTTGGGGGGGATGGGGGTTGCGTGAAGTCAAAAAGTGCTGGGCGGATCCTCCCAAAGGCTCGTTCGTGCAGGCCTTCGGACCTGCCCCCCCCCTGAGTCACGCACGACTCATGAGTCTGCACTACGAAATCGCGAATGCTGGGTCAAATTACGCTAAGGATTTTGGCTCCGACCGCAAAGAGACGCGTCGCCCGCCGCTGGATGAGGTGAAGTCGAGCGCACATCTGACTAGCCTCCTTTGCATGGCTCCGACATTCGGGCGATACATCTGCTCCGAAGGGTGTCTCATCCATCTTCTCCCCATGAACTGCTGTGCTCCCTCTGCGTAAGCAGACACAGAAGACGCAGGCACAAAACTTTACGCACACGGGTCTTGCTTAGAGAAAGCGTTTGCCCGCCTGGAATTGCAGCACATTTGCGAGAGAAAAAGGAGCAGGAGACGAGCCGCGATCGCATGACGGCGTGCTCGCCCAGTGACGGGTATATATACCTCAAGAGCAGGAGCATTCACCGCGGTTCCCCATGCGCGAGCGAACCCTTTGGCAAAGCGTCTTTCTCGAGCTTCTTCACCTCCATCACGCTCTCTCCCCGACATCCGACTTGATCCTCCGACTTGCCTTCATTTCCTTTGATTTGACCGACTCGCCATCAGCATGGCTGACCTGAACGAAAAGAAAGGCGCCTCTGACGGGGACGCCGCCTCGCACACGATTTACGACACCAATGAGGCCAATCGCTCGGGGTCTGAACATGCTTCAGAAAAGGTTGCCGGCAATACCGATGCCTATGCCCACATCCGGGACGGCAAGCTGGGCGAGCAGCTTGTGAACAACAATGTTGATGCTCGCATTGCCAACCCGCTGGCAGGCATTCCGCGCGAGCAGATCAAGCTCGATGCCAAAGAATTCGCTCAGCGCTATGGCCTCGACGAGTACACGGACATTATGGTGAAAGGTGCCCTCGTGGCACAGGACCCTTTGGCCTTCGACGCGGTCCCTGAGCTCGACGAAGCCGACCGCGAGGTGCTTAGGAGGGAGGTCACCCACAAATGGAGCCATCCATTCCAATTGTACGCCTTGGTCGTGCTCTGTGCCGTTGCTGCAGCTGTGCAGGGCATGGATGAATCTGTCATCAACGGAGCGCTTCTATTTTTTCCCGCTCAATTTGGAATCGGCGACGACAATGCCGATCGCGACAATTGGCTTCGTGGCTTGATCGGAGCCGCACCTTACGTGGCCTGCGCCTTCCTGGGCTGCTGGCTGACTGACCCCCTCAACGTAAGTTGATACATGGCCTGTCGTCTTAGCAGCCTTGACTGACCAGCTGCACCTGCCACCTGGACCAGCACTTCCTTGGGCGCCGCGGTACGATCTTCTTCGGGGCCGTCATCTGCTGCTTGACATGTATCTGGTCGGCCGTCACCAACAGTTGGCAACATTTGTTTGTCGCTCGCCTGGTGCTCGGACTTGGCATCGGACCCAACAGTGCCACTGTCCCTGTTTACGCTGCCGAGTGCGCTCCTCCTCTGATCCGCGGAGCCCTTGTAATGCAGTGGCAGACCTGGACTGCATTTGGTAAGTCTGATGAAGCGAAGCCATACGAGCCCAAAATGTTGCCTCGTGTTGCTGATGTAAGAGTTTCATCCTACAGGTATCATGCTCGGCTATGTCTCGGACCTTGCCTTCTATCATGTCAAGGATACAACGCCGAGCATCACAGGTCTGAATTGGAGGATCATGCTGGCCTCCGCCTGCTTCCCGGCAATCATTCTAGCCGCTCAGGTCTTCACCTCGCCAGAGTCTCCCCGTTGGCTGATGAAGAAGGGCAGATATACACAGGCGATGAAGAGCTTCCTTCGTCTTCGCAACACTCCCTTGCAAGCTTGCCGTGACTTGTACCTTGCGCACGTCACCATCGAAGCGGAGAACTCGGTCCGGCATACCCAGAGCAAATTCCGTTTCCTTGAGCTCTGGACCGTCCCTCGCAACCGCCGTGCTAGCTACGCGTCCACAATTCTGATGTTCGGTCAGCAATTCTGCGGAGTAAACGTGATCGCGTACTACAGGTATGTGGACTCGGACCAGCCGGTCTGGTGCACTCGCTGACGCAGAAAAGAACCGACCCTCAGCTCAAACATCTTGTCAGGCGCCGGTTTCTCGGACATCAATGCTCTGCTCGGCTCTTTCGGCTTCGGGATACTGAACTTCGTGTTCGCTGGGCCCGCCATCTGGACGATTGACACCTTTGGCCGCCGCAACCTTGTCCTCGCGACCACGCCTCCCATGTGTCTGGCGCTTCTCATGACTGGCTTCAGCTTCTTCGCTGAAGAACAGCAAGTCCGTACAGGTATTGTCCTCACTGGTATCTATCTCTATGCCGTCTTTTATTCGCCCGGTGAGTAGCGTCAGATACAGATATTTAGCACAGGCCTTTTCTTGTGGCTCGGACTCATCACCCTTCGTCTTGCCGTCTTCGCAAACCCTTGTCCCCATATCTGCTCATTGATCTATCCTCACTCTGTGGAACACACACTCAGGCATGGGACCGGTGCCCTTCTCTTACTCTGCAGAAGCGTTTCCTCTTCGTGTCAGGGAGCTGGGAATGTCTCAGGCGACTGCCAGTGAGTGCCTACTTTCCCAGTTCCCGGCCTCCCGCATCCAGCTCTCAATCTCGTGCTGAATCTTCTTCCTGCACACCAAATTCAACCTCGTACAACCAGTTCTGTGGTTCTTCAACGCGGTCCTCGCAGTGACTTTCTTCAGGCTGAGGCAGGCCTTTACGCCCCAGGGAGCATTCGGATGGTACGCGTGAGTCATCAGCCTCGGTCCGCCTTTGAGCTGGTCTCATTCGCTTGCTAAGGCCCTTGAGGTCGTTCGTACCGACCTCCTCCTCCTCTCCAGAGGTTGGAACTTGATCCTGTTCGCTCTCGTGTTCTTGTTCTGCCCCGAGACGAAGGGACTGTCGCTCGAAGAATTGGACAGCGTGTTCGCCGTTCCGACGCAGAAGCATGCTGCGTACCAGATCCGACAGATTCCCTACTTCGCCAAGAAATACATCTTCAGACAAAAAGTGGAGAAGGAGCAGCTTTACAACTTCGACAACACCACCAATGCTCCTCGCACTGCCAACCCTCTTTGAGTTCACGCCTCTCGCAGGCTTCGCCCCACAGATTTTTGCTTCTTTGATCGCCTTTCTACAATGTACTTAATGTACTTGCGAACTGTGACTGTGATTGTTTGCAATCTATACGCACTGCTTGATATATGCAGTGGGAACGAGCCAAAGTAGGCAAAGAGAACGCTCTGGAAGCTGTGGGCACGGATACTTTGAGTGTCGAAGCTTGGACGATGATTCAAAATTAGGGATCCGTGATTCTTGATTCAAATTGCACGCCTAAGAATGCGTCTCGTAAATATCACGTGACAGACCAAATCAAATGCATCTGAAGCAGCTGGTGAGCCCATCATCGGTGTTTCAGTCACGAGTCACGCATGCACGCAGTCGCTATAGGACGGATGAGACTCGAACGCAAAACACAATTTTGATCGTGACTCCTCACTTTGGTTGTGGCCCTCACATGTTCTACACTCGACATCCGTCACTCCATCTCAAGCGCGTCTTCGAACTTGAAAGTGCCGCGGCAAGCTGGCTTCCAGGTGCATTGGAGCCAGCGAAGCCTCGATCGATCGCCTCTCCTTCGCCCACTTCCGATTCTCGCCAGGCGTCGTACACATTCACAACAAGCTTTGACGGCTTGCATATAGGAGCTGCATTTGGTGTGCTCGTCGATGACGCTAGAAGGAAGCACAGAGCTTGTCCACTCGAACCCACGTGAAACTAGACCACGGGCTTCCATGGTGTTGTCAGAGACCTGCACGCACTAACGCCGCTGGAGAATTGGCTCTCACGCCACCCCGCGCAAGGCTGCAATTCTACGCCACAGCTTCGTCGCATACAAATTTGCTGGACCGCGCACTTGCAGCATTGGACATGTGCGACACCAGCTTCTTACGCATCTGGCGGCCAAGGACGAACGTAGGGCCTGCGTCTGGCAGGCGATCCTCGACAAGGAAATCAGCTATCTGAAGCCATCGCGACTGCGGAGATGCCTCATCAAATTGATCAAGCTCATCATATGGAAGCCTCCTAAGCGCAGCGTCATTGAACTCGCTCCCATCTTCCTGGAACCCAAGGTATGGAGGAGAGGCTGCTTGCATGTCCCGCTTGCGGCTCACATGACGGGCGAGAGTCGGTCGCAGCGAGCTTCAGCGACATCTGCGTCGCCTGCGGCCATGTTTTCGAAGCCGACTTCTCCTATCAGCCGAGCTTCGATGAGGTGGACCAGTATGGCACCGGCGTTCGCTTGAGCTCGAGCCGAACACACGCCGTACCCTCGACTTTTCGCGCAGGGCGTAGAGGGCATCACGTGGCAGGAACAGCCACTACAAGTCCAGAGGAAAGAAAGCATCAGCGAGACTTTAGACAGCGAGCTGAGCTTGCAAAGCAGGTCTTGGGAACCTTGGAGGGCATCGATCCAGCACTGTCCCGCTATGCAGACGAAGTGATGGCCCTTTTCGATCTGTGCCGCTCCAGGACTTCGTCCCACCAGCTTCGTAAGACTGGCGCACGAGCGGAAAGCTCTGCGCTTAGTCTGAGGGAGGGGCGCTCTGGCGAGCGACTGATTTGGGGCACGCAGAGCAGCGCAGTGGCAGCTGTGCTCACTCAGCTTGTTTTGGCTCTTCGTGGTCGCTTTTACTCGGCTGAGGCCTTGGGCGAAACCATCCACGGCTCCGGGATATCCACATCGGGAGCGGCAAAGCGAGTACGCGTGCTTCTAGCGGAACACGCGGTACTGCGAGGGTTCAAATTGTCGTACGTAGTTCCTCGTGTCCAGCACTACGTGCATGTTCTCGAGCAAGTGACCCGACTCGAAGTTGGTCTGAACGACTTTGCCGAAAAGTCTCGACAAGCCGTAGAGTATCTGCGTGCCCTTCATCGGAAGAAGGTGTGGAAGACGGTCATCACTCTTGCGCATCGTTCGCTAGAAGCGTTCATCGATGAGCCGGCTTTCAGTATGCCCGCGCGGAACAAAGGTCCCTTTGCCTATGCTGTGTTCATAGCCGCCACAGAGGGCGCGCTCCGTACCGTCTCACCACTCAATTCGCTTATCTCTCTGTACCACCTCACCGAAGACAGCTCGCCCGCACCTGACGTTGGTGAGCAAAGCGCCAATCTTTTGCCTGCAATCCACGTTTTGCAGGGTGCGGGAGCGCGACACGATGGCGTCAAAGCCCATTATCGCGCCATCGTTCAGCTCGTCTCACCCTTGGCAGTGCAGCTACCTTGGTACAACGAAGAGTGGTCGAGCGCCGCAATCGATGCCTGCAGGTGGAGAAGCAGCGCCAGCGCCCGCGCGACCGCACCTCAAACCACTAAGCCAGCGCGTAGAAAACGACACGCTGCACACGATGAAGCAGGATCTCGTCGAGCTTTCGCCGCTTACCTTGGTGATGTCGTCGACTTTCGCGAAATGGTCGAGAGTACTGCGTCACAGCCGAGTCTCTCAGACACCGTCAGCGACGTTGCCTTATGCGGGGTGCCGCTGTCTGGCAGGGAGAAGGACGTTTGGAGCGGAGGAGAAGCAGACGAGGCCGAGGTCGGTCCACCTGCCCCAGATGTCTTGCAAGCCCAGGCAGCCCATGCAGCTGTTCCGGGCAGCGAAGGCGCACGGGAAAGCTACGAGACTCACTCGAAATCGACAGGCAGTCGCGCCGCACTGTTGCTTGATTCGAAAGGACAAGCCAGCATGATAAGTAGCCCGCAGCGATCTGCTTCATTGAAGTTGCACACGGATTCTAGCACTTGCACAAACATCTCCAAGCTGAAAGATGCCTTGACAGCGCTTGAAAGCTCTGACCGCAAGACTGGCACAACCACGCCATCTGCTCGGCGTACGGCCCTTCCACAATCCCTTTTGACTTTGAGAGCACTTCAAAGCCTAGACGAAGAAAGTGTTGATGCCCTGCTCTTCGATGAAGGAGAAATGGATAGCTACATACGCAATGCGGGCGAAAGACAAGTATACGAACATCAGGATCGGTCGACTGATAGATTCAAAGCTTTTAAGGTCGACAGCAGCGACAAGGACAAAGTCGAACAGAAGGATGCGCCGACTTTGAAGAGCACGCGCAAGAGAATCGCGCCGACGCGCGACGAGCAGAGCCACGCATCACCGCGACGTCCTCGTGGCCTCGCCAGAACCAAAGCTAAACGCTTAGATGATATGACCTTGGACGCCAGCTTCTGGTCAGCCCCCAACGGTTGAAGGAAGAAGTACGTTGAAAGAAAGACCAGGCCAGCTTTACCATTGCCGTACGCAACTTGCCTCCCCGAACGCCCGAAAGCTGCTTGCTTGAGACCGCGGCGTGTCTCAGTTGGCTTCGCCTCAGTGTTCTGGACATTATAATCATTCCCTTGGCGTGTACGTTTTCGTTGTTGTAAAAACTCTGCTCATTCCAATTGGATGTCAATTTGGTCATTGGACGTGAGCGGATGCGACTAGAATGTTCTCGTACAAGACCTGTTGGTGCATGCCAGCGACGGCGTGACTCGAACCGCAGGATGATGATTGTTCATCACTCCTTCAACGATGGCTTTCTCCGCTCCTTGCCTCGCATCTCTTCTACAGCTGCAAGACAGAACCTGCGTCAAGTCGAGCACCACGTTCTATTCTTCGCCTTAATCGCTGGTATCTCGAGCTCCAGGACGAAGCAAATTGATCAAATGTTGCAGCAACGTGGCACCGTGACTACCCGGCCCATCGAATCTGGCGACGAGGCAAGGTGGAGAAGCCTTTGGGAAGGATACAATGCTTTCTAGTGAGCTGATGCGATTCGGAGTGAATGCGGGCATTACGCACCGTGGTGAAGTCCCCTCTTGTCGCAAAGTTAGCTCATCCCTGCTCCCTTTCACGTCTGCAGCGAGCGCGAGATCGCCGAGAAGGTCACCGAGACTACATTTGCCCGCTTCCTGGACCCGGATGATGTGGTGCAAGCTGCGGTAGCCGTTAGCCCAGAGGGACATATACTCGGCTTTACCACCTGGATGCCCCACCGCAGCACTTCCAGCAGTGAGTGACCGGCAACAAGCCAAGCACAGTCTCGGGGGTGCCAGTCCTTGGATGACGTCTGTCACTGTTCCATCTCACGATGTTGACCTGACTTTTCGCACGATCAATCACGCGCTTGTAGTCGAGGATGTTGTATAGTGAGTCAAGGAACTCTGTGCGGCCCGCCAATGCGCTTCATGTTCATCGCGCTGGATGCCTCTGCTCTGCGTAACAGCCTTCAGGATCTCTTCGTGGATCCGAGCATTCGCAACGGAGGTGCGGGTCGAGCCTTGATCGAGCACGTCTACGCTGAAGCACGACGAGCCAAGTCGCCGAAAGTGTACTGGCACACTCAGATTCACAACCATCGAGCTCAAGTAAGTCTGACCGGCCAAACACATTTCGCGTTGACGCGATTGTGCAGATTTGACCACACGATTCCACAATTGCTGCGTTGCTAGTTGCTGTACGTCAAAGTAGGCAAGAGATCCGACCGTGCTATGTATACGTGGGACCCGGACTACAAGCTGGTGGGTGAGCAACACAAGGAATGATTAGCCGCGGACATTGCAGACGGCATCACTCGTCACGCGCTTTGTCAAAGTGGCCTCCGAACAAGCGAATGATGACTGGGCATCTCGGAAGACGTGTTCTTGGCATCGTCGTTGAGATCCTTCAGCCGACAGCATACTTTGACTGCTTTGCCAATTCGAGATGAAGTGTCTGAGCTTAAAAAGTAGCCTCTGAGAAGTTGTGCAAGTCGAAGCCATCGACGACTGGTGATTCTCAGCGTAGAAAATGGAAGTAGCAATGAGGAGCCGTGAAGCAATGAGGTGCCAAAGACGTTGCCATGCAGCAGGTGCTCGATCGGGCCCATGGCAACCATCACGCCCGGCTTGGTTGGCCACGCGCAGGGCACGCAGGCACGCACGTGACAGATGAGAGCTGATCTCTTGCAGCTGCTGCATGCTCTAGACGCCGACGCAGGGCTCATGCATGCGCATCAGCTTTTGCGTCTAGTCAGCAGTCTTGCGCTCGACTCATCAGTCAGAAGTCAGATTTGGGATTCTGCATGTCGGCGGCTGGTCGGGGCAGCAGCTGCAGCAGCAGCACATCAGCAATCAAGAATTTAACGGCGGGAAGAAGAGCGAGCGAGCATGACGTCTGGTCGATCGATGCTTCGTCCGTTCATATATACACGCGCGCGCACACCAAGCAAGCAGCGCGCAGCTGCAGCTACTGCTGTATACGCCGCGGTATATATTGTAGTGCTGCTGATGGAGTAGTAGGGCCAGTACGCATCAGCGCATGCACGCACGCACGGCCTTCAGCCCGCGCATAATTCACGTCAATTGATCTTTGTTCTTACCGCGCATCGTCGACAGCAGCAGCAGCAGCAGCAGCAGCATCGGTCGTGACGAGTGCTACAGCTGTGAGTCTGGTGGAACTTTGTTTTGACTCGACGAAGCAGCAGTCAAAGGAGCCAGTCAGTGAGTTGTGTTGTGCAGCGAATCTGGCAATCATCAGCACACTCTCATCCACGATCGCCACCCAGTAACATCTATGCCCTACCTCGACCCACCTTTCCTCTTCCTCTCCGCTCCATCACAGCCTGCCATAGCCAGCGCGCACAGACAAGGAATCCGTCAAGCTCCCATCAGCTTTCAGCTCTCCTCCCTCTACTCACTTTACTTGCGACTCCCTCGCCCCCTTCAGCTCAAGACCGCCCAAAATGTCTTTTATGAGATTCATAAACGCTACGTCTTCAACCTTTCCTAGGCAGTGCGCATCTGCATCCGTCCTTTTCGCCACAGGAGACACGATCGCGCAACAATTTGTTGAGAAGAAGGGCAAGAATCATGATCTGATCAGAACCGGTAGGCTAGCAGTGTACGGTGGTGTCATCTTTGCTCCTATCATGTCCACATGTAAGTGGCCGCCCTTGACATTTTGTTAAGCTTGGCAGACGGCAATCGAGCGCAACGCGTTCATCTGGATACGAGAAGCCGACGACAGTAGCACCCGCGCATCTCCAAACTGCGAGCAGGCTCAGCATTGAAGGGGTAGCGAGCCCGCCACGAGTCGGCAAGCGCTTACCCTAGCTGACCACGCAAATGCGCCGCTTCGCCTTGCCGACTAATCGATAGGGATGGGCAAGATCTTGGAGCGCGTCAAGTTTCAAAACAAGGCCGCAACTTTGGGAACCAAGGTGAGTGCCAATCAGGAGAGAGCAGTGGTTTCTGCTCAGCCGTGAGCGGTGTATACTGCGTATGATTGAAACTTGTCTCCCCCTCCCCGCGCTCGACATACAGGTGCTGCTCGACCAGGTCATCATGTCTCCCTTGATCATCAGCATCTTCTTCACAGCTACCAACTTCCTCGAGGGCAAGCCTTTTTCGGCGGCTCAAGAGAAGCTCAAGACTTCCTGGCTACCAACATACAAAGCCGCTGTTGGTGTCTGGGCACCTGTTCAAGCTATCAATTTCAGCATCGTGCCTCCTCACCTCAGGCTGCTATTCGTGTGAGTGTATGCGCTCTTAGATCTTCGGCCCTTGCGAAGCACGCTCGCAGACATCTGATCGGCATCTCGATTATCCCCTGCACCTTGGTAGTAATGTCGTGTCTGTCGGATGGAACACCTTCCTGTCGGTCCAAGCTGCGGGCGGCGCCAACGAGCGTAAAGCAGAGGCCAAAGTGGATGAGCTCGAGGCACCGCTGATCAACAGGGCCAAGGCAGTGGGCGCAAAGCTGGAAAGGGAGGGCAATAAGTTGGTGCACAAAGCCTAATTGGTATGGCCATCCTTGCACCAGACGGATAGTGGGCAATAGAGGTGCGCCACAGAGCACCATTGGGACAATCGAGACGTCAACACCCCTCCCCTGACGAGCGTGATCGAGGCACGACGTGCATATTCTAGACCATCGCAAACTAATGCGATCCATCAGACTCAGCGCGCATGCGCTCTCTCGCAAGGCCTTCGCCGGAGGTTAGTATCCAATCTCGATTTATGACGCGTGCTGAAGGCACGATTATGTGCTCGTCCTCCATTCAGGGCTTCAAGTACTTCCAGGACGTTGTGCGAGGTTGATGGACACACCTTCACCCTTCCTCACTTTCCCTCACACGCTGAGCTGCGAGTGCCCGCACTGGTGGGTCGGGAGCGAGCTCATTCAGACGAGGAGTTCATGTGTGCTGCAGTCAACCAAATATTGCGATGCTGGAAGGGAAGTGCGCAGAGAGGGGGGAAACCAGCATAGTAGAGCTACTCCTTCCGTCTGCCCACTTCCTGACCCTCGTCGCCATTGACGCTCAAAGATGCCATCTTCTCCTCATTGCTCGCCGCTGCACCCGCCTGCTCCGTTACAGGCTCATCCTCTCCATCGCTGATCCCGCCTTCCCTCTCCTCCTCCGCTTGCCTCTCTTGTTGCCAGCTCTTCATGTATGTCGCCATGTCGTACTGTCAAGGGGGGTTGGGGGGGTGGGGGGTGAGTGGGTGTTCGGTTGGCTTATAAGATTGCGGGGACGAAGATTCTGCAGACCCAACTCACCTCGTCGTCATCGCCATCATCATCATCCTGGCCCAGCAGCTCTGCATTCAAGGTCCACATTTCTCTTCCAGTGAGACCGGCCATTCTGCAGAAGTCGATGCGCGAACGTCAGCGATGCTTGTGCTCGAGTGTTGAGCCAAGACCACAACTCACTTGTTTGCAGCAGCTTGCTGAGCCTTCTTGGCCTTCTCTGTGTCTTCCTGAGCCTGTTTAGCATCTGTCCTCCTCTGCTTCCACACCTTGAAACTCTCTTCGGTGACTGGCGTGCCCTTACCGGCTCCCAACTTGTGCCTGGCGCTTTCCAGAAAGTCCTCTAGCGAAATCTCGTTTGCCTTCTCCTCCTCTTCCATGGCTTTGCGTTGCGACTTGAGTACAAATCCTGGCGGCAAGGCGTGTCTGTACATGCAGTTATCTCCGCCATTGGGGCACACCCTGGGAGTCAAAAGGCTGTCGCGTAAGAGCTGATCTACGCTGGGAAAACGAACCAAGCCCAGCAAACAACTCACCAGAACCATCCGTACTTGCCGTCCTCGACAGCAGTGAGGAAATATTTGCACACCTTGTCCGTCGTCTGGACATCCAAAAGGCCAACAAAGTGAGTGATTCTCCACTTCATCTGCGATTGGGCCCAAGATCCTGTCCTGTGTACACTCTTGGACTCACCGATTTTGGATTGCCGTGCTTGGAGAGAACTACCTGCTGCAATTTGGCCTCGTCCCACTTGTCCATGGTGTCTACAGGCAATGAAAGCAACGAGTGAGTCTCCGTGCTCATGCAAGCCGTGGAAGTGACCGTGTTCACTCAACGCGCCTGCGACACACACCTGACTTTTTGGCATCTTCGTCACCCTCTCTCATGTCGGTGTACAGATCCTTCTTCTCGACCTTTCTGTTCGCATTGTGTTCGTGAGCGAATTTGCACCTGTTCGCTGACTTGTCGCATTTGCCGTGCTTCCAGAATTCGCATGTGACAGTCTTTGGGTCTGCAACAGTGTGTGGCGGATCGTGTGAGCGGTGCAGCTATTGCCGTGCTGTTCTTGATGCGCTGTGCGAGCGTTCCACTTCTCCCATGCCCCAACTCACCGACACCAAAAGGCACTTTGGGCTGGATAATTAGAATGTTCTCCATCTCCTTCTTTCGCAGCTTTTCGGCTTCGGCTTTTGCCCTTTTGTCTTCCTCCCTCTTCCTCTGAGCAGCCAACTCCGCAGGAGTCTTGCCGGCCATTGCCTGCTGCTGCTGCAAGACCTTGACTTGCTGCTGGCCTTTGGCTCCCTTTTTGTTCTTCATGCCAAAGGTCTGAAGATACGTGGGAACGGGGTCGCGTAGTGTTCCCGCGTCAGGTGTGATTGTCGCTCATAATGAGTGCATCCATTGCTGCCGCACTCACCTTATCGACGGCGACCTTTTTGGGCTGATCGCCCTTCGCCTTCTCTATCTTGCTCTTCGCCATCTCGACTCTTCCAAAACGGTCGACGGACTGGGGAATCGCTGGGGCGGAGACGTCTGCACGCACGCAATTCGTGCTTTGTACGCGGTTCTGGGTAGCGAGATGCCGTTACTTCTCCAGCTGGTGCGTGCGGGTCTCGTGCCTGGTCTGCGCACTGAGCGTCGTGGTGTACAACTTCGGTTCCTTGGTCAGTTGCGGCACGTCTCGAGGGTTGCTTGGACAAGGATACTGGTTGCAGAGAGGCATCCTCCTATCCGTTACTCTGTTGTAGCCACGAGCCCTCAAAAGTCAAATTTGAACCTGTTCGCAGGAGAGTTTGGCGTTTGTCGCGCGTCACCATGCGCTGCCAAATAACGTCAGGTGGGCACTTCAGACGGAGTGTCACGTGAGCTGTGCCCGCATCACTCGGCCGAGTGAGCTGCCCATCTCTCGGGAGGTTCTTCTTGCGTGTGATGAGCGGCAACGCGATCGATCGCGTCGCGTGAGGGGAGGGCGAACCGCACTCGATCGTGACTGTGGATTCCCGCGCACGGGCGCGGGACGTGAGCGTTTGCGATGAAGTGCTGCTGCTGCTGCTGCTGCTGCTGCTGCTGCTGCTGTTGCGTGCGTGCGTGAGTGCCGCGTTGCGCGCAAGGCTGAGGTTTGGAGCGTCGCACAGCAAGCACAATCAAGCGGCTTGGGGGCGAGCAGAGGGTGATTGATTGATTTGCCTGTTCGATCGCGCCCATGCGTCAGTCAGCCCAAACCTAGTGACAAGAGCTGCGCATGGCTTTGACGCGTGCGGCATCATTGAGCCCCGCGTATGCTACTTTGCGAGGGCAAGCATCACAAGTACCACCACCACCACCACCACCATCACCATCAACATCAAGACATTACTACTACAAAGGAAGCTCATCGTATCGTCACCTTCGTTGAGCTTACTAGGGGGCTGGCTGTTCTTAGACGATTGCCAAGGCTTAACACGAGGCGTTCGGAAGCTGGTCACACAAGGTCTCCGGAACTTGGCGCACCATCAAAAGTCGCCAGTTGGCTCACCCTTCAACCTACCACATTCAGACATTCCTCATCAAGCGCCCGAACAAGCTTCATTACCATGCCCTCCTCGAAGCCAAGGGAGGATAAAACCTTGTGGGTGGCGCACCAGTCTTCGCGCGTGCGGTCTCGCGCGAGGCCAGCTGTCCACAGCATCGCAACGTTGGTGTGCTGACTAGACCTTTCCTTCCTCACCGATCCGCCACCACGATGATGCCTGACAATTATCCTCCTGCGCTTTCGCGCTGCTTCGCCGTACGCTCGTGCCCTGATTGCGACTTCCGGAATTCTGCTCCATCAGCAATGCGGGCGATGTCGTAATGGCCAAGGTGAAGGGGTATCCACCATGGCCTGGCATTGTGAGTAGAGTCACGTCGCATCTTTGGGTAGTCACGACCACATGTGCGCGGTCCGTGCATCAAGAGGACGCACAGGTGCAAATGCGCCATGGCTTTTTGGACAGCCTAGCGTTTTTTTACCCTTGGCGTGCTGCAGCGACAAAGTCGCGAGCTTGCGCGTAGGGTCAGCATCCGATGTTCAGGGTCGCCTGCAACCTCGCCTTCTGGCATTGTGCGCTATTCTGTACCTCGAGCGGAGAGCTTAGATGGAGGGTGCCATCTTCAATGAAAGGCTTCTGCAGGTGCATCTCGCTGGTTGCGCGCCGTGCCTCAGGTCAGGTCAGGTCATGTCGACCTGATTTGGAGCTTAGGCACCCCTTGTTGCCGGAGCCCCCATTTCAGCATTTGCTGTGAATGTTTCATGTTGACCTTCTCTACCTCTGATAATCAGGTTGTCGATGAGAAGAACGTGCCCACTTCGGTCAATAAGCAGAGGCCAGGCAAAGGCGTGTACACTGTGCGCTTCTTCCCTCAAGCCGACTAGTGAGTGAAGGCACCACGACCGCGAGAATGCACGCGACAGTGATATTGGTCTGAGCCACTCACCTGAATCGCGGGCTCTACTGACCATCGATCGAATTGACTAATTTGGCACCCAACAGCAATTGGTTCAAAGGCTATGAGATGAACCACCTTACGCCCAAGGAGATCAAGGCTTTCTTGGATGAGCCCTCGAGAGCAAAGGCAGATCTTCGTCAAGCTTTCTTGATTGCGCAGGACCCCAGTGACTGGAACGACGAGCAGAACGTCATTGTCAAAAATGCGGAAGAAGCAGCTTTAGAATTTGCTGAGGGCCAGGATGAGCTGGCGGAGGATGAAGATGACGACACCATCACCGCCAAGCGTGGCGGTAAGGATAAGAGGAAGCGGGAAGAAAAGAAAGGAGGAAAGATTCGCGAGTCTGCAGAATCCAAGGCAAAGAAGCAGAAGAAGGGAGATGTGAGTAGGGCAGAGAGTATATTCGAGGACCCCTGTCCGACTTGCTTTTTCCACGCGCTCACATGAACCCGTACGCCCGAATCTTACCTGCAATTAGGACGAGAAAGAAAGGGCTGCCAGTGCTCGAAAGAGTGCTGCTGGTGATGAAGAAAGCGTCGCACAAGGTGAGCGAGGGTCATCAGGCTTCCTGAAAGCTTGGCTATGCCTCTGCCGGAGTGGCTCCTGGGTCCTTAGACTTGGGCTACCCAGCGATAAATAAGGAAACACTCGAGCGTGGTACCTCGGCGTTTATAACTACCGGTGCTCATCCTCGACGTACCTCGCTACACTTGCGAATGCTTCCTTGCAGATCCCGAGACAAAGATGGTGTACGGATGGCGACACGCTTTGCAGCGAGGCTTCTTGCCCAAGGACGGCATTATCAAGGAGGATGTGAGTAATTAGGGATCTTAGAAATTCGCGAGGCCATACTGACCTGTCCACTCTTGCCCACCTGAAGGAGACGCCAAACTTTGACAAGACTTTCAAATCAGTTGAGAGCTACACGGACATTACTGAGGAGCAGTTGAGGGAGACGAAGATCGGCAAGGTGATGAAGCGCATTGCGCTGCTCACCGATATTCCCAAAAACGACGAATTCAACTTCGCTGGGCGAGCACAGGCGCTGTGCCAAAAATGGGGAGACGTAATGGCTGGAGGAGGAGGAGGTGCGCCCAGAGTCTCGAATGGTAGCGCTGGAGGTGCAGCGGCTGCCAAAGATGAGCCCACGAATGACTCTGAAGACCCTGCCGCAGAGACCAAACAAGATGAAGCTGCCGCAGAAGCTTCATGAGCCTTGGAGCTTGGCTTGAGAGTGCTCTCAGATGCACGCGCTTCAGGCGACAATCGCCAACTAGGGCCAGACGATGCGAGATCGGCGTTTCGATGACAACACGTGAAATCTCGCGAATCGATGTACTTTTTCGACGACCAGAGGGCGACCACTCGCTCTTTCTCGATTTTCCTGCAGTTCTTTCCGAAAACCTGGCGGTCTGCAATGGCCATTAGCAAGAAGAACAAACTTCAAGCCTGTCATGAGTACAGTGTTCAGGCGTGATCACTGGGATTTGGTATCTCAGAAAGACGTTCAGCTGCGCGAATTGCGAGTGCGAAAGAGTGGGCTTTGGAAGATTGAGATTTCATTGCTCAAGTGTGGAAAGGGTACTGATGCAGGACAGCATCATACTCGTGAGGCAAGTGACAACTGAGCATGGTCCTAGAGAAGATAATTTGGTCCCAGACTTTCTCCCTCTTACCATCGGTCTTTAGATGGTACAGCTTGCTGGGGAAGCTGTGGGCTCTTCCCGAATAGTCGGAAGACTGAGCCGAAGTGGGGTACGTGGTCAAGTCTCCGGGCTTGACGGCGTAGAGGACGTTGCCTGGAGGGTAGAGCTCGACGTGTTGCATGCTGGCTTCGAGCGTCTTCCGAAGTGCCAGCATTGACGCCTCGACATCTGCCTTCCGAGTCAGGTCTCGATCCAATCTTCCGGTCTGGTGCTGGAAAGTCTGTGTGATGATGTCCGTCATACGCAGAGGTGCAGCAGCGGCGGGCAAGTCTGCAGGTAACGCAGTAGGAGTCGAGCCGCCCATGTCGACGTCTTCTGAATCAGCAGCGGATACACCATTAGTCGGGGCAACGCTGATCGCTCGCGCTTGCTGACGCAGCCTTTGTTGAGCGAGTTGGCTCTGTTTGTCTTCGTAACAAAGCCACGCAGCAGCATTCCTGATGTCCTGTATACTTCCGAGGCTGAGCCGGCATACCAGATCGTACGAGTAGGCGAAGCTGGTGATGAGCGAAGCGCACTTGCGTCCCAGTGGGGCACTCATGCTAGCTGGTGTTGCAAATGCGAAAGCATGCACGCGCCGTCCGGGCGGCAGACCCGAAGAGGGAATGGTCAGACAAGTCTTGGGGCTAGCCCAAAGAAGTGCCAGCAGTGCAGCGACACCAGCACCGAGACTGTGACCAGTGATATCCAGAGAATACTCTGGATGTTTGCGTAGGGCTCTGGCGACCGCTCGATGAACAGGTCGGCCCACATCTCCGATGTCGTGTGCCGTCTCCATCATCCCTTCATGTACCAAATCGCGACTACGCGAGTCGAGCTCTTCATCAGAGAGGATCCTGGCGCCATTATCGGACTCGAAATCGAGTGGATCTTTGCGGTCAAGCGGGAAGGCCTCGCTCGTGGTGTGGGCCGACATAGCCGAAACATCAGGCGTTGCGTTGAAGCTGGCAGACTGCGGACCATCGTGATCAGGGCGCCATTCGAAGGGCGCGCTCTCACAGGTGAGGTCGATAGCAATGTCACCGAGACTGAGGGAACCTCGTAGGACGAGAATGACGCGTTTCGCAGGATGATCCAAAACGACGTAGTACCGAGGCTGAGAAGGAAGAGCCACCTTGGTGCGTCTCCTCGAGTTCGAAGCGGCAGCTGCTCTCAAAGCGGCCCGAGCACCAGATGTTGAGCCCTCCGCTGTGCTGCTGTCCACGTCGACGTCTGCATAGGTTCCCTCCACAGCTGCACCTTCTGGCAAACCTCCGAGGCGATGGAAAAGGTCTGCGTCGTGTCTGCCCGAAAGCACGTCGACGTAGCTTACGCCGCTGGCTTGTCGAACCGGTGAGGTGATCTCCTGTGTAGGGGAGGCGATGGTTGGCGCGGCGGCGCTGGGTGCAGGCTGAGTAAGAGACACACCAAAAGCTCCGGGCATGACATCTTCTGGCTCGTCTGTAAACAGGGTGCTGACTGGTGGCTGAGCCGAGCTGACCAGGGCGAGTCTTTCCTGCTCTGCGGCTTCCCTGTCTGAAGGATCGAGCTCTTCATCTTCCAAGTCCATCCTCATCGCTGCTCTGAGGAAGTCCACTCTATCCTCTTGATTTGAGCGCGCCGGCGGCGCATCCGGGCCCAGGAGAGGTGCGTCGCCAGTTCCGGCCGCATCAGCGACCGCCGCAGCTGCGGCGACTCCCGCACTGTTTCGATCTGAGGATGTCGAGGGACCAGCACCCGCTGCACCTTCGGACGAACTCTGAAACAGATCAGTGGGCAAGCTTCCCATGTAGGCAAGGGCGGTGCCACCATACACGCCCAACACAAGCTTTGAATACCTGCGCAGCCCTTGAAGCGCCTCGTGCTGAGTCAGCGGGGCTGGCAAAGGGTCAGAAGTCGGGGGCAGAGTAGCGCTACCCTCTCTTGGCACGGTATGCTCATGCTGGATAGGAGAGGTGGGTGCGGAGTGGCCGATTTCTGCTGCGACGATGGCACCATCGTCGCCAGGCAGCGTGTCTTCTGCTGTGATGCGCACAGAAGCCTGTCTTTGTCCTGGAGCTGAGGGAGCAGTGGCTCCTGGTGCCAGCGCCGCTCGCTCAGCGTTCACGGCATCCGCAGCCTTTTGCGCTTCGTGCTCGGCGTTCAGAGCTTCAAAGTCCACCTCCACCAGCTCGCGCAGCATCCTGGCTTCGTAATGTTCGCGGGTGACCAGCTGAATGCAGACCCACGTAGTGATGGCCTGCGTCACCATAAGGGTAGAGTAGTGCGGAATGCCACCCGGTGGTAGAGTATCACATTGAGAGTTCCATTCCCTCTTCACCAATCTGTTGAACGCAGCCAAGGACCGCAGCACTTCGCTACCTAGCATTCTCCTGACACCTTCGATGGAGGATCCCAACGCACCAAGACCTGCTCCTGTCAGAGCGCCACCGATGTCGATGCCTCCGAGTGCCAGTGTGCTGATCACATCAAATAATCCTCCTACCGCCGCATGCGCAGTCTGTGCCGCGGTGGTGCCAAAGCCGTCAGCGCCTGCACCATCGCGAGGAAGGGTGGGCGTGTTGCCCATCCCAGCATCGATGGCAAAGGCAGGCAAGGCGACGACGGCCTGGGTAATGCGTTTGGCCAAGGCAAGGCCGAAAGAGGTACCGTAGCGAGCAGCCATGAATCCGACACTAGTTGCAGAATTAGCAGCGTTGATGCCTTGACCGCTAAGACCAAGCAAGCCCATCCAGTCAGCACTTGCTGCTTGCACTCGCTGGCGTTGTTCCTCGTCCTGGTCGTCTTGAAACGTTGCGCTGTACTCGGGCACATTTTCGAGATCTGGACGAGCAGATGCGCCTTGACGAGCCGCGCCGACGACTGGATCACTGTCGGGAATGGACAGAGCTAGATCTCGCAGAGACTCGGCGTGTGAAGGTGGAGGAGAGAGTGAAGGCGTGTAGCCCGGAGGCGAAGCAGGGGCGGTTGACTCGTCGTCATTGTGGATAGAAGGGGGAACAATCTCGCTTGGGATAGCTGAGGCAGGAGCCTCTACGTGCGTCCACTCAGCCGTTCCCGAGGAGGCTGCTGAGCTCGGCGCAGCGTGCGAATCAGACATTCTGAAAGAAGCCCCTCCCTGTGCGTTGCCTGACGAGCCGGAGTGAGCGGATGGAGTCGAAGTAGGGGTGTAGGTTGGTGCAGGTGGTAAGCTAGGAGAACCGGCGGGATGGCCTCTGCTGCTGCCGAAGTCTTCGCCGGATGTGCCCTCTTCTTGTACTCTTGAGCGCGTTTCACCTGTACCACTCTTGCCTTGTTCGGGGATGATTGTCATAGCGAAAAGGTGTGCCTTCGCAGTCCTTTCACTCCATCGTTTGCCTTGCGCAGCTCGCTTGTTTGCCGGGATGGATGAAGCAAGGGAGTCAGTTCGAAGCTGATAGTGATCGAGAAGCCAATCAGTTGGGGAATAGGCCCGCTCGATGCACCGAGATGATCAGCGGCTGAGCTGGCTCAGCAAGACGTCGATCTGCTCTTGTACTCCAGGCCGTTGGATGAAACGGAGTTGCAAGAAAGGGCTGGCTGGGAGCACGAATAGTCGGAAGCGAGGCTAACGCTAGTCCACACAGACGTGATCAACCAGACAAGCCAGTCAAGTCACTCCCTCAGTCTGTTGAGCGGCGCCTTCCGGCTTCCAACCTCTCCACACGCGCGCTCTGCTCACCCGCCCCCACGCGACTGCCCCAGTTTAAGCTCGTTCTCCACGCTCAGCGCTCACCTGCTGATGTTCAAGCTCACGAGTTCCGTGACCCGAAGCGCGCGCGCGCGCGCGACCTCTGCTGGCTGGTGCGTTCGGCGATCCAAGCTCTTGCTTGCTGCGCCTAGCACAAATTGAGGGATTGAGGTTGGGATGGTTGGTGGAAGGCATTCACGAGCAGATGGGGCAGTTGTAGAAGAGGCTCAAAGGCCGGTCTAGGCTCAGCGAATCGCGTTGGATGCTCTAAAAGTGGGGGATCCGTTCACCTTCAAAGCTTCACCGCGTTAAGTGAAGTTCAAACTCACACTGTTCAGGGTGCTGCATGGTGATCCTGCTGCTGTAGAATCCGGCCATGCAGGCAGATGAGGTGGAGGAGCAGGTGCTCAGCAGTCACAGTTGTGGGCTTGACTCAAGTGAGCTCGTGAGTCGAGTTTAGCAGCAGCGTCGCGTGAAATCGCAAACGCGCAGCGCGCAGCAACAACGCCGCACGCCGGCAAGCAGTCCAGCAGCACGCGCACTCATGCAGAACTCCAGCTGCTCAGCGAAGGACGAGAGTTGGGGCGTGCATACATACATCATACCTACTCACCATGGGGACTTTTGACTGCGCAATCAACAATTTTGCTTGCTGAAAGCCACAAATAAGACAAAGGTCGTCGCAAACGCCTTTCGTGATTGTTTCATATGATCAGTCACGGTGAGGACCACATCGTTCTTGTAGCCGTCCAGATCGGCAGCATGCACAGACCATCAACAAGACGTCTCCGCAGCAGCCGACTGGCGCAGAAGAGACGTACGCGCACGTTGGAAGGAAGCGCTCAAGTCAAGATCGAGTGTCTGTCTTCCACCCTTCTCTCCATCTGCTTGCTGCGACTGCTGCATTCAGAGCGGTCATGCATGCGAAGCATGTATTCAGACCGGTAGGATGGTCTCACTGCGCTCAATCTCACCTCTCCACTCTGGGTGCATTGTCGCTGTAAAGGCATGTGATCTGCTCAGTGTCCGTGGACTCCCCCGTGCGTCCTGGCTTGGCGCTGCAAGGCAAACGTCTGCTGGCCTCAAGGCACATCATTGAGAAGTGTCCAAACAGAGTCTTCGAAGGCATGACAGAGAAGCATTAATGTGATATTGTAGAATGAGGTCGTTGCGGGGATTTTGCATTGACGATGGCAAGCCAGCTGTAGGCATGGGCGCGACACGCAAAAGATGATATGCCTGAGAGCGGGTGATTTGCGATATACGAAGCTAAGATAATTCCAAGTCGTTTGTGAGGAGAATCTTCCATGCAATCAAATGTATACTACATTCATGGCTCATTCGTGAGAGTTGCTGCCGCTGCGGGAGCTGTCGCGGTCGCGCGCGTCCTCGGCGCTGGCGGCCTTCTCGGCCTTGTCGTCAGAAGCCTTCTCGGCGACATCGTATCCTTCGTTGCCGTGCTTGACGGCCTGAGATCCGTAGCGCTTGGCAATCTCGACGTCGAGCTCCTCGGAAGACAGGTATGGCTTGGTGACGGACAGGTAGCAAGCCTCCGTCATGAAGCGAGAAGCGTGCCAGAACTTCGTTTCGTGCGCTTCGGCGAACATAAGGTCCATCTCTTCCAGACCACGACGCTTCGTCTCGGGGAAGAAGGCGTAGATGACGGGGACGAACGACATGTTGAAGACCGCGAAGATGATGTAAGTCCGATACTTGATCGAGTCGAAGGCTGGGGGTGTGATCATGACGACGAGGAAGTTGACTGCGCCGGAATCGCGAACACTATCAGCTCGCGTGCTCCAAGAGTGCCGGCCGACACAACTCCAGACTGTACATCTCTCACTCACAGATCCAGTTCGAAGAGGTAGCGATGGCGGAAGCCGGCGCGCGGATACGAATAGGGGTAATCTCGGGAGGGTATAGCCAGGTCATGCCGAGCCATCCGAACCTGCGGTCGACGAGAGCGCAAATGCGACTCAAGAGTCAGCAGCGCCCCCCGCTAAACCCAGTCGCGTGGGGAACTGGAACTCACGCGAAGAAGGTGTTGAAGAGGTACAGGAAAAGAGCAGCCACGTATGAAGCACCAATGCCAGTTGTTCCTGGTGGCTTGGACTGAACCACACTAACGGTGCCCGCCAGCACCGCCATCGAGGCGCTCATCATGAAAGCCGTGCTAATCATGAGTTTGCGACGGCCCAGAGTGTCAATGAGGAATAGTGCAACGATCGAGGCAGCGAAGTACTCTGTGCCGTTGCCGCACGTGAGAAGTCGAGCCGTGTTGCGGTCAGGGACGATGGACAAGAAAACCGTCGTCGCGTAATAGGTGATCAGGTTGATACCAGACAGCTGCTGGAAGGCCTGGGCCGTGAAAGCGATCGCAGTTCTGTAGAAGTTCTGCTCGGGTCCTTGCTGTAGGAGCTCCTTGTAGCTGAAGTCTCCGAGCAACTGCTCCGACGCTTCGATAGACTCGCGCAGCTGGCGAACGACAGTCTGCACTTCGGGATCGTTCTCGGTGGTGTTGTCGACCTGGGCCAGTACTCTGCTGGCCTGGTCAATCTGCCCCTTCTTAATGAGCCAACGGGGTGACTCGGGCAAGCACAGAATGCCAATCAGCAAGATGATGGCGAAAGCGGCTTGGAAAGCGATGGGGAAACGCCACTGCACTGAAGAGTTGTCCAGGAAGAAAAAGCCATAATCGATCCAGTAAGAAATCATGATACCAGCGGCGATCAGCGATCCTTCAATAAGCACAAGAAGACCACGATTGTGGGCTTTGCTGAGCTCGGATTGCCACATGGGAATTGTCGATGTGTTCATACCGTTTCCAATACCCGTGATGATTCGGCCTGCTGTGAATTGGCCAATTTCATAAGACGCCGTCATGATTGTAGCTCCGATGATCATGACAGTTGCGCCAATTGCGATCGAGGTACGTCCTTCACGATGTGTGCGAAACGTGTGTTAAAATTGACGAAGTTGGAAGTTCGCCTCGCCCTTGTCTACTCACTGCCGATTGCATCACCCTTCCACAAAACAATGAGAGATCCAATCATGGCGCCAATTTCGTAAATCGCAGTCACAGCACCCTGCACGTTCGCCTCGAACTCAGGGTTGGCTTCTTTACCATCAACCATAGCCCTGCCGAATTGATCGACTTCAGCGAGCTGAGGGAACTTCAGAGAGAATTGCCCAGCCGCGAAAAGCCCTGACATGACACCTTGATCGTAACCGAAGAGCAGAAAACCTATAAGAATCGTTGGAGAAAAAGGTTAGACGATGATTGCTTGTACCGCCACCGAAAGGCAAGCACAGGCGCATGCGCTCGAGCGCTTGCGAAAAACTCGAATCCATCAAGCACATGGTACGTTCTCGAACCTCGAACGCGCCTTCCTTCGGCCATGAGCGACCGCACATGGCCAGAATGGCGACGCTGCAGAAAGACGTGCCCTAGACGCCCATCCGGACCTGACCTTCGAGCACCCAGTCGCATCAACTCACCAACACCGGAGATAAAGGCAATAACGGCGGTCAGAGGCTTGCCGCGCAAGCTTGAGCCTGCGAGAACGGGGAGTTGAAACACCATGATGGCAGCACTGGTCTGAGGACACTTCTAGTCGTTGTACCAGGGTCGTGCTGTGATCGAGTGTGGTGAAGAACGCAGTAGCGAGAAAGGACCTTGAGCACTGGCGGGGAGGGGTGCTCGATGGTGGTGGTGGTGGTGGGCGTAAGACAACACTAGGCATAGAGCTCGAGTTGCCCTTATAACGCCTGTTGTGGGGGCGGAAAGCACTCTGGACCAACGTACAGGCAGGGGCTGTCAGCTGCAAAGGCAAAGAGGAGAGGTGACGAATACATTTGCACGCGGTCGCAAACGCTCAAAGGGAACCTTGCATGGCGCAGAAAATGGCGACCCCGCCGCAGGTGTGCGCCTATGCGTGATGTTCTCTTCTGTCTGCTGGACACCGACAACCGTTGCCGAGCTCTGGAGCGGTCAACACGGCTGCACTCGTGTTCCACCAATCAAGCTGCAGGGGGGGGGGGTCCAACGCCAAAGCAGGTCCATCGTGCGATTGTACATTGCACGGCTGACTCGCCAGGGTACGGTCAACGTTGGCTCCTCTCTCTGCTTGCCGGGCATGACGCCCACTCCGCTGGATGGAGCGACTGCAGAGGGCGGCAGCTCGTCTGCACGGTCGAGAGCTCGACTGGAGGCAGGTCCGACCCAGCTAACTGGGTATGGAGTATGGACTCTTTCTGTACCCGAGTGCGCCAGCAGAGCATAGCAGTACGTAGTGGATTATCAAGAGCCAAGAAAATTTAGGGGCCGAGCCGTCAAAAGGTGAGTGAGCAAGCACTTTGGCCCTGTCACAGGAGGATTTTTCGCAGTGGCACGAGAGGCAAGGAAGGGTACGTTCAACGGACAAACCGAACATGCAGGTCGTGCATATATACATTCACGATTACAGTCCAAGGTTCACAAATCGACCGATCTCGCGATCTCCGCCGGCTTCGACACGGTCGCACTCGGCGACTCTGGCCCGTCACCAACCCCCCGTGCCGACGCGGCGCATCTCTCTCCCGGCCTCGCTTCACATTGGGTGCATGGCGGAAGTCTTTCGCCCATCTTGAGAGACATTCAAGTGATTGGATTCTCAGCTTTCCAACGTGCTCAATTATACAGTGTTCGTGATCTCTCGCAGGTGGAGCGACGCCCACTAGCCGCTTGCGCGCAGTCGACGTACGTGCAAGACGTTGCCGACGCAGCAAGCTACTGTACACGCGTTGATGCTTGATGCGAGTCACCCCTTTCGGGTGGCACGCACGCCCAAGGATGCAAGAATCAAGTGTAAGTGTCTAGCGCGGAGTAGAGATGCAGATGGGAGCACTATAGCGGCACCTACTACAGCGCGTTTCATGCCCTCGGCGACTTGTTGATGCAGCTACGGCTGCGCAAGATCGCGCTGCAGGGTATAGCGTCAGTCAACAGAGTGCCTCTCATCGGTGCTAGCTGCGTGGCGACTTGCCTGAAGCCCGCGTGGAGCCATGCTTCAGCTCTTTTCGTCTGTACCTACAGTCAATTTGCGCACAATCTTTGCGGTAGTCTAGACTCGGCGCAGCGTCAGAGACTCCACGGTCCAATCAACCGCTTCGTGCTGTGTTGCTCAGCGTTGATCCAAAAAGTCGATGGTCAGTGCAATCGGAATCCAAAGAGGTCGATTGGTATGAATGCGATGGGCGCCGGGTGCGAGCCGGCGGCAAGCAGAACCAAGCGTGGCTTGTCGTCATGATGCGTGCCAGATCTGCCTTAATGCCCGTATATCAGGTGGAGACGTCAGCAGAAGCCGTGGAATCAACTCCGCCTCGGGGGTGTGCGAGTGACGTCCCAAAGACTGGCGAGATGCTTGGTGTCCGCATCGTAATCCGCCGGGTCAAACCCTCTGACGCAGTGCTGTAAGTTTCACCCATCTCACCTCAGATATGCCAGCTGCTGCTGAAGCATGCATGATTCATTCATGCGGACTCGCTTGCAGCACGCGCGCGTGACATACCGCATCGATACCATGCATGCATGATATCCGCCGCTCCTGAAGCCCTCCTCGCCGGTCCGCCGCCCTCGCAAGCGACGACAGGGTAGTACGCTCGCGTCGCACCAGCAACATCTGGCATGTAAAGCATGCATCGCGATCAAGGTCCCGCGCGCGACTGCTTGTGATGATATTCCTCTGTATCAGCGCTACACAGGAGATTCAAAATTCACGCAGCACGGTACTTGCTATTCACGCCTTGCTGCCTATATACCCGAGCGGTTTCAAGTTTTGATGAGTAGTTTACTCATCGTCTGCAAATTCGTGATTGTCTGTCGCCTGCTGCCTGCTGCCTGCTGAGGCTACCTTGACTCTTCTCTGTCTCCTTATTTTAGTTCCTTCTCGTGGCATGCACGCCAGGGCCTGCAGAGTGCAATTATTACGCTTGCGTCTTCAGATGAGTCTAGGCGAGGGTCTGTACTGCACGGAGGAGGCCGCTAACCCTCCGAGATTCAAACGTGCTCACAATAAGCGACCCTCTGCCATATCGGCAGCTTTCTAACCTTGACACGCACCAAAGGGTCGCCAGACCGCTCAAAGTCTGAAAAGAGGATGTTCCTGCTTTGCGGGGTTTGCCCCGCCAAGGTCACTTGGGGTGGATGATGAGAAGGGGAAGGCAAGGCTAGGCTTGAGGAGCGCTAGTCAATTACGAACGATGTGATTGCTAATCCCCCCAATTTGAATGCTCTTGCGCAGCCGCATCCACGAGCGCATCAATCATCAATCTGGAGCTGCAGCTGCAGCTGAGCCTCATGATGGATTGTGGCAAGCAAGGCCCCTTTCCTCGACTAAATCAGTTGGAGCAGCTCTTGCGATCGAGGTGGGCATCTTGAAGTTCCGTTTGCGGGGTCCCCACAGCATTCGTGGTCTACAGTCTTGATCGCCACACGGCCTTACCGCTCCGATCGATTTCGGGCGGCCCAGCCGCAAGACCCCACGCAGCTAGTCGCCGAGTCCCTGCAAGTCTGCGATTGCTTGCTATGGCAGCGAGGGCGCTCGGTGCACCCATGATATCAGGCTCGCCATTGCCCAACGGCGCCACCGCATCCGACGTCTGTTGCCGACATGCCGAGCTTCACCGGCATTCGCCACCCTCTCGCCACCGAGCTGCTCTCAAGAACATGAGGTCTTGTGGCGGTGATTATGTTTGAAGTGGCCGGTCGGTCATCTATGCAATATGCTCTCCAAATCACAAACGCAGATTCGTAGACAAGATCTCACTGCTTCTCTTCGGCTGCGGCGGCTCACTCAGCAAGACGGGTCAATACGATCTTGGCTTGAGCACTCGAGGATCGCTTTGAATGTCGAGAGACTGGGTGGAGTAGAAAGCGAAATCAAGTGCGCCGATTAGTCCTGCGTCCCCTTACTTAGAATTACGGCACTCCTCTCCAAGCTAAGTCGATGTAAAGGCAAGGCTATCTTCTGCTTCAGCCAGGCATCAAATATGAGGCATGAGGCAGCGTGAGTGCAGGGCGCAGGTGCGACACGCCTCAAGAGTCATCACACCACATTAGTCAGAATGGTGCGAAGCGACCGGCGTTCACTGTGTACGATCACGAACGTGATCATCCACCTCACCAAAGATGGCGGCTCATTCGAACTCCCTCGGACATTTAAACCCATTGCACGGCTGTTCGACCAGCTGTCACCGCGAGGGGGCCAAAGGGTCGAATCCCCAGGGTCGGCTCGCACGATTGCACAAGCGCACGGCATGCATTCGTGGATGTTTGACAGATTTCCTCGACGTTGTGCGAGCGAGTGCGACCCTGTGTGCCTACTGGTGGCCTTTCTTGTGAAATTTGCTCCATTTCAGATCTTCTGCAACCTTGTCCGAGTAATCGATCAAGTACCTGCATCAGAGCAAAGCGTGAGCTGTTGACACTACGGTCGATGTCTCATTTCGGACTGCGAGCCTCACTGATCGTCCGCCGAGAGGGCCTGGCATGCGACGGTGACGACGGTGCTGTCACCCCTCTGGCTATTCGTAGAAGGGAGGATCAGGACTTTGTCACCGCTGTCCTTGATCTTCTTCACGCAAGCTTTGGCCCAGACCGCTTGGACCCAGAGCACGCTGGACAATGCAAGGGGCGCATTGTATGCTGAGACGAAAGAGAGGCCAGGAAAGCCGGCATATGTATGGTCAGCACAATGATGTACTAATTTCATCACTTGTCGTCGCCTTGCGCTCACAATGTACTATGCGGACATTTCCGTGCAATTCGCCCGTTTGCAGATTGACTCGATACCGTGGAGATTGTTCAGCTACCGAAGCGCCGGGCAAGAGGATCGTCATCGCGACCATCAGAAAGGGCAGAATGCGCACCATCAGGAATTGGCAGACTTAGGGATCGTAGATGAAGAGGGTTGAAGATGGCGATTGTAGGGTGGCAAGGTGCAGTGATATGATGTGTTAGACTTTCCCTCAGGAAATGGCAGCGCTGACGAAGAAACGAGGGCAAGCTCGCGATTAGGTGGCTTCAGTTACGACTGTCCAAAGGTTGCAGATCCAAGTCAAGAGGCGAGGTAATCGCTTGGCGAAGACAGTGCGACAATGCCAGCCCAAATAAATGTCACCTCGTTCTTCTGACGAGTGCAGCGCCTCATCTGCTGGACCGCCCTGACGGAGTATGTCGGGTAGACTGAACTTCGGCCTTTTCGGCGTCAGAAGCGTCGTGATTCAGAGAGGTGTCTGCGCATGGGCAAGACAAGACGTGAATGGAAGAACAAACAGAAGTCCAAAGTACGCGCAGAGCGGGCTTTACGTAGGTCCAGCGCACATGGGACTAAGGTAAGTCTTTAAGCTCCGAAGATTGGTGTGCGAGAAGAAGCGCAGTCGAATCAGTCTCGGTTCTGCAACTCAGATGTCAAGCTTGGCTCCAAGATCTACACGCCGTTGCAGAGCATCACGGCTTCTTTGCCGCGTTACTCGTGGGTTTTTGTTCATTCAAATGTGAAGACAAGCCGGCTTTCTCCTCAGGCTGGTCAGACAATGAAACACAATGAAATTGCTATTGACAAGGCGCAGCTCAAGAGGAAGCCTCTGAAAGCTTCCGCCTCGCAAGCACAGCTTCGTTAAGCTGTTGTAGAAGCTTGACGGTGGTGTCCCAATCGATGCAAGCATCCGTTAGGCTCACGCCTCGCTTGAGCGAGGAGAGGTCTCCATTCGCTGGCATTTTCTGATTGCCCTCTCCCAAATTGCTTTCGATCATGACACCAGTGATCGCTCGCTCGCCTGCTTGGAGCTGCTCACAAACTGTGAGCGAGGCGGGGTCATGGAAAGGTCAGCCACAAGGCGCAAAGAGGAATGAATGAGCACGTCCATGCTCACTAGCTTGAACGCCCAGCGCCTGTTTGCGGTGATCCTTTTGGCTGTTGCCGTGCGAGCAGTCGACCATGATGCTTGGTTGTCTGCCCTGCGCCGACATAGCATCCGCACTCTTCCTGATCGCAGCAGCATCGTAATTCGTCTTGCCACCACCTCCTCGGTGGATGATGTGCAAATCGGCATTGCCGGTGGTGCGGACGATAGCGGCCAGACCTTGAGCTGTGACACCCATGAATGCGTGCGGTTGGGCAGAAGCCCTGATGGCATCCAGTGCGACTTGCGGTCCTCCGTCGGTACCATTCTTGAACCCAATGGGCATGGAGAGACCTGAGACTAGCTCACGATGCAGTTGAGACTCTGTCGTCCTTGCACCAATGGCGCCCCAGGAGTACAGATCTGAAGTGTACTGCGGAGAGATAGTGTCGAGGACCTCGCAAGCCACAGGCACACCTCGACTGGTCAGTTCGATGAGCAGCTGGCGAGCGATCTACAGGCAGTAAAACAGCAAGGATTGGACGAGCACTCAGCAAAGAGCGACGAAGCTTGCAAGGTTTACACTCACCTTGAGTCCGCGGTTGATCTGGAAGCTGCCGTTGATGTCGGGGTCGTTAATGAGTCCCTTCCATCCAACGGTGGTGCGTGGCTTCTCAAAGTAAGCGCGCATGACGACAACCAAGCCTGGCCACTGTGGCATGGCATCTTTGAGGCGCTTGGCGTAATCCAGAGCCTCTTCAGGGCTGTGAATGGAGCAAGGCCCGACGACTACAAGCAAACGATCATCTTTGCCGGAAATGACGGCGCTGGCTTCTCCTCGACCTCGAGCGATAGTCCTTCTAGCCTCTTCGGTTAGCGGAGTCTCATGCAGTAGCAGCGTAGGCGGAATCAGGGGCTCGTATCCTGCAACGTGCACATCTTGCGAGTAGAGGTACGGCTCCGATGAGCTCTTCGACAGGGAATCGGTCAGGTGAGGAGCAGCGTTGACTGCAGCGTTATTGGGCGCTGTCTGTGCAGGAGGACGCGGCAAATCGAAAGCAGGATACTGCTGCTCGAGCTCACTGTGTGCAAACGAGCGTGTACGGTTGGAGAAGCTGGAAGCGGTATGAGGTCCACTTCCTGAAGCTCGAGCGACGTATTTGTAGATGACGAGACCCTCCAAGCCTACGGGGCCTCGAGCGTGGGTCTTGCCTGTGCTGATGCCGACTTCTGTACCGAGACCGAATCGGAACCCATCAGCAAAGCGAGTGCTGCAATTGACGAAGACGTTGGCGCTCGAGACTGCGCGTGTGAACTGCGACGCTGCTTCGTGCTCTTGCGTCTGCGCGGAGGAATGACCGTTGACAGCAGCAGCAGAGGTTGTCGGGTTCGACGGCGAGGCAAGAGGGCTGCAGAAGATTGCATCTGTGTGATGCGAGCCATGCGTGTTGATGTGCTCGATGGCCTCCTGAACAGTGCTGACACTCTTGACCGCCAGCTTGAGATCGAGGAATTCAGTGTAAAAGTCTCCGGGGAGAGCCGCCTTCACTTGCTGAGCTCGGGGAGCGACGCCCGGAATCTTGTCGAGCGCCTCGAGGGACTCCGGATCGCACCTCAGCTCGACGTTGGCATCAAGGAGAGCGGTCGCTAGAGCCGGCCAGAGCTTGGTGAGCTGGGACCGATGCACCAACAAGGTCTCGACTGCGTTGCATGCAGCGGGATAATCGATCTGCGAGGACATGCAGATGGGTTTTGAGCCATTCGGGCACCAATGTTCCTTTCAGTACGACACCGTCACACACTCACCTTCGAGTCCACAACGCCCTTGATCGTGCTCTCCTCCGCGGCATCCGAATGCACGTAGGCTGCGCATAAGCCATCTGCGTGACCCATCACCGGCATCCTGGCATCCCGTTGAATAGAGCGAACGAGCTCATTGCTACCTCTTGGGATCACTAGGTCAACGTACTTGTCTTCTGTTAACAGCTCCGCGACCTGCTCTCGACTCTCGACGGACTGAATCAAGTCTGCAGGGAGTTTGGACTCGCTAAGCGCTTCTGAGACGAGTCTGGCGAGCAAGGTGGAGGTATGAGTGGACTCTTTGCCGCCTTTAAGGATGGCTGCGTTGCCAGACTTGAGAGCGAGGGTGGCGATGTTGACGACGACTTCCGGACGAGCTTCAAAGATGCACAGCAGCACGCCTATCGGACACGTCAACCTGTACAGGTCTAGCTCCCCAGCACCAGATTCGCGATGAGGCGCTGCCAGCCTCTTGGCCCAGAGGCACTTGTCCAAAGGCGATTCGAGAGCTGCGACAGAAGAGATGCCTTCCAGCATATCGTTCCACTTGTTCTTGACGAACAAGTCGAGCCTGGCCAGAAGCTGCGGGGAGAGCTTGCCGGCAGAGACGGCTTCCTTCGCAGCCTTTGTCGAGCGGGCAAGGAGAGAAGTCAGTGCTCTTGAAGCTCACGAGCCCTCAGTACCAGTACTTACCGCTACATCCTTGGCGTTGGCCGCCTTGACATCGGATTCGCTCTCGACGAGTTTACGCCTGATCAATGACAGTGCTTCATTCCTTGCGTCGTCGGCTGCTTGTCCGGCGGGCAGAGTAGCCTGCGCCCTGTCAAACGCGGCTTTGGCTCTGGCTGCAATATCTGGGACTGAAATGACTGTCATGACTGTCGAGCTGGAACCCTGATGTTGAAGTTGTGGAACAGAGTCCAAACTGTCCGAGCTGCGCAGCGTTAGGGACCCGTGAAACGCACGTTCTTGCATTCGCCTTCGACGCCAATCGAAGCCGAGTCACACGTTTTTCGCGCGTGAGCAAAATCTGGAGTGAATTTGATTCCACCTGGCACGTGACTGACAGGTGCCCAACCAACTCCGCGAATATACGCGACTCGATCGCAGCTAGGAGCGCTCAGAGATTAGCCGCGGCTGCCAAGCAAGACTCACGAGTCACGACTCAATACACTCGACAAGTATGATGATCGCGACATGTTCTGTGCGCCCTTTACCCACACAATACGACCCAACCGTCAGGCGGCCACCACCGGCATCGTCCCAGTCGCTGAAGCGGCTGCGCACCTTCCTTCTTGGCGAAATTCTAGCGAAGCTGCAGGGAGAAGTGTGACATGGACCTTTGACGATCTTGACAAGCGCACGGTACGAAGACTCACACCAGGTACCGTCATCAGCTGCATGGGCTTCGTCGGTACCCAATTCATACAGAAGCCGTCCAGAGCGCAACGAACAGGATAATTAGAGGCGGAGAATCGATGTCGCTGTTTGTTCGACGTTTCCCCTCATCGATGTTGAGGCGCACACTCGCAACTCAAGTTATTCAACCGTGACGAGGCCTGCTTAGCCATCGCAGCCAGCCATGCATCGATTACTCACAGACTGTATATACATGCTCCGCTTTCAAGCAAGCGCGGCCCGGCCGAGACATGTACGGGAAAGAATCTGATCGTGCGTCTCGCTTGAGTGTTTCATCAGAGTCATGTATGTCAGTCTTGATCGCTCAGAGATTCTCGTTCTGTGCGCGCTGCTGCTCGTTTCTGACGTGAGCGTGACTGCGTGCCTATAGCGATCGAGATCGAATCACGAATAGACGTGATTTCATCGTCGCGCGCACAAGCTCGTCTCATCTCGACTTTCGCCGGCGCAGGCATAAAACGCCATTCACGATTCGACGATGGCTTGCGTCTGCTGCGCTATGCTAGCTGACTGAGCGGCGAGCACGCGGCAGCATGCCTATACGCGCAGTGTGAGTGCCTGGTGAGGGTTGAGCGTCGACGCGTGCGCGCGTAAACATGAAGTATGAGTGGGCTGTCAGCAGGCGATGCACGCTCGCGACTGCGACACTGTGACTGTTGACTTGCAGCTATAGTCGACTCGCACCAATTGACGGGTGCGTGCAGGGGCTTGGTGCAGGCAGCAGCAGCAGCAGCAGCAGCAGCTGGCGCATATATAGATGATTCACGATTCTTTGATTTAGCCGTGGGCAGAGGGTTCGAGTCGTGCGCTCGATCCATCGTGAATCTGATGCCGACGCGACGCGACCTCGATTGAAACGAGCAGCAATTTGAGCCATGCGCATCTCACACAGCATTCATTCAATTTGCGCACAAGCCCGACTCACTGAAACAAACGAGACATTTAGCTCGTCAGGCGCTGCTACAGAGAGGCTTTCTCTGTCGATCGATCGAGTGACCAAGTCCCTTGAAGCGTCGGACAATCCCAGCTGCCTGCACGAGGATCTGAGCCATCCGCTCTTGCATTGCTCCACCTGCACTCGTGACTCCTGGCATGGCCCATTTCACGATTAACGGTCCCAAGCAGACTTACACCCATCAGCAGCAGCGCAAGTGCGCGGACTGACTCCTCTTGACCTCATTTCATTGCGCACGCGGGGTTCGCTATTGTTGCGACTCAAACGGCAGCGGTGCAAATCCTCCGACAAGCACAAATCGTGCCCGCACGGCTGTCCCCAGTCGCTCATGTGCATCGAAATACGCAGCACGACGCAGGCTGCCGATCATCTTGCGGCTAGGCTAGCCCTCTGCCCACCCAAAACTCGTATCTGGCAGGCGACAGTCTGAGCCGTTAGCGTGACCTGAAAGTAGTCAACGCCGTGTTGCCGGCCAGAGCTCTACGCAGCGAAACATCTCGTACAAATACGCCGCAAAGAATCCCAAGGGCTCGCTGCCGCCACCATGTCCAACTCCTATTCACCTGCTGCGACTCTGGGTGATGGCAGTCCAGCTCCCTCTGAGCAGCAGGCCGACCTAGCAACCATACCCGCCCTACCCCGGACTATCGTTAGTCCTCCAAGTAGCAATCGTAAGCTGAGCTTTACCAACGCGGCTGGTAAGGATCCTCTCCTTCGGCCATCCACACCCGCTTCGCCGTCTCCTCTCGGACCCGTGTCACCCAACCGAGGCGGCCAAGCTGGCTCGTCGGGCAATCGACGTGAAGCGTTGGAAACCAATTCGCCCGTCTCATCACCCCCATACCGAGCCGGACGATCTCTTTCGGGAAGCCGCACTGCATCAGGCATGGCTACCCCACCGCAGTCTCGTGCTGGTCCCCCTGGCAACATCAGCATCCCGCCGGCACCTGCCTTCCGAGCGTCTGGCGCAGATTCCTCAGCAACAAAGCGAACGAGCACATCGGACAGTATCAATAAGCAGAGCAATGATAGCGAATTCTCTTCGGCCAGCAACGCAGAATGCGCCAGAGCGATGAGCTTCAAACGTCCTCGGTCTCAAACTCCTCGCTCTCTGCTCAACCGTGCGAGCCTGGGCGTGTTTGGTGGCGACGCGTTCGACGCTGGCGCCTCAGGTCTTGGAGCACCAGGCAGCCAAGGTAACAATTCTCGGTGGAGACGTTTGCGCACCACTTCGCGCGCTGCTGGAGGAGGTGGCGGTGGCGGTGGCGGCGGCGATGATTCGGGATGGTCTCGTTTAGATCCCAAACTGCCTCAGCTCTTGCCTGCCCCAGCTTCTCCTTCCTCCTCTCCTATTCCCACTGTGCCATTCGTCGTGCTCTGCCTTGTCTGCTTTGGAGAGTTCAGCTCGGCGGGGGTGGCTGGTCCATTCTTGTTCTTCCAGATCGAAGACTTTGGCGTGGGCAAGGAAGATGAGAGCGCCGTTGGCTTCTGGGCGGGTATCGTCTGTGAGTTGAAGGCGTCAGCCTATTGCGCAGCTTCAGCCTTCTTCTCAGTCCGCCTGACGTCTTTGCTCGACCTGCGCAGCTGCATGCTTCTTTTTTGCTCAATTCCTCACATCTCTGCTTTGGGCTTCCATCGCCACAGCGCACGGCAGGCGTATCGTGCTCCTCGTCTCTCTCGTCGGGAACGCAACATCGCTTGTCCTCTTTGGCATGAGCACTAATCTGCGCATGGCCATCGCTGTGAGGATGGCTCAGGGTCTGTTCAATGGCGCTGTGGGCGTGGCAAAAGGAGCTGTGAGAGACTTGTGCGACGAGAGCAATGAAGCTCGTGCGATGGGTATGCTCGGCTTCTGGTGGGGCATGGGTGGTATTGTTGGGTGAGTTGATGGCGCTTCACACAATATCAGAGTGTGGGCCACTCGCTGAAACGATTAGGCGTTCGCTACCATTCAGTCCGATTCTTGGCGGCCTCCTGGAGCACCCTGCAGACAAATATCCCAGCATCTTTGGCTTTTCTGTGTTCTTAAAGGAGAATCCTTACGTCTTGCCCTGCATCGTCGCTGCCATGTTCACCGCATCCGGTGCTTTCCTCACGCTCTTCATCGGCCCAGATGGCGGCCCGCGGGAAGGTCAGATTCGGCTGGAGAAGAGTCAAGAGGATGGCGATGCTAGCATCGTCGCCTCTCCCGGTCCGGCTCACTCCAATATCCGTGCGTCTGGAAGTTGGGGAAGAGCTGCCGGACAGCGAATCAGCGGCTATTTTGGCAATGCTCGGCCGGGTCAAACGGACGTGTCGCTCAGTCGGACAAAGACGTCAGATTCGTCTGCGCTGCCAAGGACCTTTACACAACAGGTTGATGATGAAACAGGTGGTCCTCCTTCGCCACCTGTGGATGCGGACGAGGAGGACGAAGCGAACGACACGATGCTCACGCATGATGATGGTGCTTCTGGCTTCGATCGGCGGTCTGTCTCTGGTCCTCACGTCAGGCGTCTGAGCCGCACGACTGCTAGACAACGAGGGTTGGGAGGCGGTTCTGCATACGGCTACGATCGACGATTTAGTCGCAACAGCACCCACACTTCCGCGACCGCTGCACCTCTTGGGCAGCCCACATTGCGCCCTCGGGGGCCAGGAAGCATCAGCACAGTCAACCAATACGCTCCAGACTTTGAGGAGATCGGTGCACCGCCTCGGCCTCTCACGTGGGCGCAGCGCTTCTTGCTAGCCAACGACGATGCGGTTCACAGTATCACCGATCTCTGGGTCGCCGCTGCGAACGCTGTCGAAGAGTACGCAGAGGTGTTTGAGGATGACGAGTATATGAATGATGGGGAGGAAGACTTCCCCGCAGAGAGCCACGCTGCTTCTTCCAGCGACGACGACACAATGCGAGAAGCAGAAGACGACGCGCTGGGCTATGGGGATGCGCCCGCTGCAGAAGAACCACCGTCCCACTTGCCCCCTCTGCATTTCGCCAACATGCAACGCCGTATGACCAGAACGCGCAGCACCGAGGCCAGCGGCCGACGTCAATCTGGGCTCTACGCGAACATCGGAGTGGAAAGCCCGCTTCTTTCACCTGTCGGAAATCTGCCCACTTCGCCGCAGCCGCTGGCGTACGAGAGAACAGCATTCGATCCCACCTTGGCTGGCATCCCTGAGAGCGCTCGAAACAGCATGCATGTCGGACAGAGTCGACTTCCCTTGGCATCGGATCGCGCGTCTCAGGCAGGTGGTCGTCGCGGAGCGTCTTTGGCAAGGATTGAAAGCGCTAGCGTGGTGGAGAGCGCGATAGCGAAGGTCTCGCTCGATCGCACGCCTCCTCCAAGCTTATGGAGCCAGCTCCCACTCGTCTTCATTGGCCATTACGCGCTGCTTTCGTTCCATTCTTCCACCTTTGAACAAGTCTTTATGGCCTTTCTCGTCACGCCGTATCCTTCAGGAGGACTTGGACTGACTGCCGCTCACTTTGCTGAGCTGATCGCCGCAATGATGATTGCTCAGGTAGTTTTCCAATTCTACCTCTATCCCAATGTGGTGAGTGGGGCGCTCGGTCCATGGCAAATAGCGCTTTCCCAGCAGGAGCTGACGAATACTGTTTCAATTGTAGGGGCCACCGGGCGGCAAGCTGAGCCACTTGGCAATGCTCAGGCTTGGCACCTCGATGTACATTGTCGTGTACAGCTTGTTCCCCTTACTTCGCTACTTCATCCGGGACGACGATGCACTCGTGATGACGGGCATGGTGCTCTTCGCAGCACTCAGATGGGCCGCTAATATTTGCGCCTTCACCGCCGTCGCGGTTCTGATGAATGCTCTCTGCCCACCTCAGTACCTCGCACTTGCCAACGGGCTTGCTCAGACGTGCTCGAGCGCATGCAGAACCATCGGACCGATCATCGGAGGTTTCTTGGCTGCCAAAGGCATCGAAGGCGGCTTTGAAAATCACGTGTGGCCATTCAACTACTACCTCGGCTTCCACACCGTCGGACTGCTCGGTTTCGCAGGCTTTTTGCACTGCACCCTTTTCATCAGGTGATGGGGCTCCTCGTCTCCCACCTCCTCCACCTCACATCAAGCCGCCCAAAATCACGTTCGCACTCTCAGCTCCCCAACTTTCACTGTACTACTTACCTCACACTTTGAACTCCTCCGCAATTCCTCGCACAATCCAAGAATCCGTAATCTGGACAGGATCGATGACCGAGCGAGCAGCTCACACCTCACAGTCGCACTTCTATAAAGGACTAGCGAAAAGGACTAGCGTTCTATCGCTATTGTGACTGTCTCGGACAGTCTCGTCTCGAGACGAGGGTGTATGTATAGGCGTGGTTCTAGACCAAGCAAGGGTGGAAGCAAAGAGAAAAGACTTGAAGCGTGGCAGAGCAACAAACATTGTCCAGAAACGTGACGAGAAGGGGGCGCTGAAATCATGCGTGGCCAGACGCTGAGAGGGGACGGGACAGCAACGAGGGAGCCGCGCCAGGCGTCGTATAGGGATCGAAAGCAACCGGGATCAGGTATGGGGGGAGAGCAAAATCTACTGCGTCTTGCGCTTGCACGTCTTCTCCTCCTCTTCGGGCTCAGAGTCGGCCTCCTCCTCCTCTTGATCCTGGCCATCAGCATCGCAGCTCTCCTCATCCTCATCTTCCTCCAAGGCGCATTCCTCAATAGGTTCAGCATCACCTTCAGCGCGAGTCTTTTTGATCGAATCCGCCGCGATCTCGGCAATAGCGTATGCGGCGCTCTGCGTGTGCGCACTGAGCGAGATGGGAATGACGGAAGCGTCCACGACTCGAAGGTTGGACGTTCCGTAGACGCGAAGCTCGTCGGAGACCACTCCGCCGTCTTCCTCTGCTTGCATCGAAGCGGTACCGGTAGGGTGGTAGTTCGTCTCCGTCGTCTCCTGCGCCCACTTCTTCCAATCGTCGTGCGTCTTGTCGGCGAGTGCAGCATCTTGCACGGTCAGACTCTTGAACTGCTCCGTTTGGATCACTTGCGTGAGCACTCGACCAGCGGCGATCGTCAGTTCCATGTCCGTCTCGTGCGCCAGGTACTGATGGTCGATGACGGGAGCTTCAAAAGCGTTGGCCGACTTGATGTGCACGTAGCCTCGCGAAAACGGCGCTTGAATGGCACCTTCGATGGCAATCTTTCCAGCCGTCATGGTGCCCAGCAGCACCTCGAGTGCGGGCTTTGCGTGACCAGTCAAGCCGTCCGACTTCTTCTCGGGCAGCAAATCGTTCAAGAGCAAGTCATACTGCTTCTTGTAACCTTTCTTGACCTCGCTGGGCAGCTTGGCCGCATCGAGGTAGGCATCGCTGGCCGTCTTGGCGCGCTTGAGGACCTGTTCGGTATTGTTGCCATAGATTTGCTCGAGAGAAAGGTAGGCTACGGCCGAGTCAACGTAAGAGTTGAGAGCCTTGTCGCCGGCGCTGTACGCAGGACCAACGAGGCCATCCTTTGTTTGCGCCTCGATTCGTCCGCTGAGGTGGTCCTGCAGGTTGCGACCCACACCAGGCAGGTCTTTGACGACGTCGATCTTGTGCTTTTCGAGGAGCTCGGAGCGGCCGATACCAGAACGCTGCAAGATGGCCGGAGTCTGGTAGGCGCCGGCAGACAGAATCACTTCGCGTCTGGCCGTTAGTAGGACCCTTGGCGCGTCAGCGGATGCGGCGAACTCCACGCCGAGCGCACGGCGCAGACCGTCCTCATCCTCATCGTCTTCGATGACGACCTTGGTGACGACTTGGTTGGGAAGAATCTTGATGTTGTCGCGGGTGTTGCAAATGGGGTCGATGTACGCGTTGCGCGAGAAGGAACGGTGACTGTTCTCGTCGATGGTCGAGGCAGCGAGGTAAGCGCCCTGCGTCTCACCGTCGTATGGCGATTCTGCCTGCTTGATGCCCAGAGAAGCGAATGCGGGCACCCACTGCGCGACGGCTTGGTACGATCTCTCCGGGAAACCGACGTGAAGAGGTCCGCTGTGACCGACGGTGTCGTTGTACTTGCTCGTGTACTCTTTGAGCTCCTTGACAGAGTTGCCGACGTACGTTGTGCTCTTCTGATGAGCGTCGCGGAAAGAGTGCCAGCCCCAGAGCTTGCGCGAGCCTGCGATGCGGCTCCACACTTGATGCTCACGGACAGAGGCTTGAACGTAGTACAGTCCGTTGATGGCTGAAGAGCCACCGAGCACCTTTCCGCGAGGAAGAGCTAGTTGACGGTCAGCTGCCTGCGCCTGAGCATCGGTCTGCAGCTTCCAGTCTAGGTCGGTGCCGACAGAAGAGTTGTAGTAAGCGCCATTGGGCGTAAGTAGATCGTCTTCGTGGGCAAAGCCAGAGTGTCCAGCTTCGATGACGGCGACCGTTACGTCGTCATCCTCGCTGAGTCTGCCAGCTAAAGTCAGACCTGCATTTCCGCCACCGACGATGATGTAGTCAAAGGGCTCAACATCGTCGCCAGCGACTTCCTCCCACGACTTGGCGATGCACTTTCCAGCAGTGGCGCGACGGTAATGACGATATTGAAGAGCTGCACTGTGGTGACGCGAGCGGCGCGCGTGCTGGGGCGCGTGCTCTAGGGACGCAGCCACGAGCGGCAGTGCAGCGGCAAGGAGGAGAAAACGAGATGTGAGAAGCATGTTTGGATTGAATGGGCGTCCGATCGATTGTCGGCAGGTAGTAATCAAAGCGGTCTACGGCTCGCTCGCTACGGAAACGGGACGGTGAGATGAGTACGTGTCGAGGTGACTGTAGGACCGTCCGATAGCTGACTATTAAGTGGAGAAAGAGCGTGCTGGATGGAGTGAACGTGCGGCAGTGGTCGGGACGTAGCAGAATCACAAGCTGCTTGTGATGCCGGCTAAGAGCTGTTTGTCGAGGGACAGAGGGGGGTGGAGGGAAAGTGAGAGTGGGAGTGGGTGGGAAGTGGGAAGTGGGAGTGAATGGTAAGCAAGACTCGAGTGACGGATATGGAGATCGACGTATCAATACGGGTTGGGAGATTTGGGGATGAGCTACGAGCCTTTCGAAGGCGAGTCTGAGAGATCGGCGAAGGTGGGGGCGGGATGCGGTGAAACGGAGGGGTGAATGGTGATCGAGTGGGAAATCGCAGCGATGCTCGAGGATGCAGGAGCATTTGCTTGGTATACGCACGACCGCGCATAGCCCAGTCGCACGCTTCGCCTCACGTCGTTCTGAAGCTCGTCAGCAGCCAGTAACCATCAAGTCACAGTGTGAGTGCCAGCCGGCCGCAGTAGTGCCAAGCAGAAAGCAATTCCACACGGCCACGATCGGTATGTCGGGCTGAGAGCAGCAGAAGACCCGGGCCGCGCTGCTGCTGCTGCTGCTGCTGCTGCTGCTGGCCCTTCTCTGACCTATAATATATAGCTGCAGCGTCGCCGTAGCCAAGAAGCAGGAAATCCTCGGATGTGTTCTATGCTCCTCTCCAGCAACATGATGAACAGGAACCCGCGGCAAAGCTTGCAGATACGAGCCCACTCAGACTGCTTAATTGCTGATATGGCTTGAATCATCTGTGCATATATGTGCCTGACCACCCCGCTGCGATGCCATCAACGACGCGCGGTGCGCAGTTCAAGAGTGCTATCGGCACGATAAGTAGCCAGCCAGTCACGAGTGTGAGTCTGTGGCTCAGACTGCAGCATAGTCACGATCGAGTAGTCTTGCCCAGCATCAGCATGCGCTCGTATAGCCTCACTCAACGCAACATCTGGCCGCTCGGACAAGACAGGTCATCGTCGTCGTCGCATAGGCGCAACTCTGAATTTTGAGTGAGCGTCACCGCTGCTGAGGGCCGCGCGCGCGCGCCTTGCACTTGCAGCCCCACAAGCCACCAATCAAATAGCTGGAAACGCGGGGGGCGGATGTGGTGAGGCGGGAAGAAAGGGAGTCGAGATCGAGTGCTTGCATGATGTGCGTCGCGAGTGTGCGCGATCCAATCGTGAAATCGGGCGCTAATCGAGAGTCGTGAAGCTCTTGTTGCAGGTCTGCTTTGTGCCTCCCTCTCAGGTCACGAGCCATGCATTGCAGAGGGCGCTCTGCTGCTCTAGCAATGAGCTGGTTGTAGGATCTTTGCCAATGATTGTGAGTGAGCCTATAGCAAGGAAGCAGCAGGTGTAGGAGCCAAGGAAAGTCGACGACAATCAGAATTAATGGATGCTGCTGCTAAGACGCGCCGTCGAGCCGAAACACTGCAGAAGCGTGCTTGCGCTTCTTGGCAAAGCACGTCCTCGGCACCTGACCACATCCACACGCGCTCTAACGCATACACAGCACCCATGCCAGCTCTGGGGCATATGTGGCGGGAGGGCTCTTCATGCAGGTGTGCATATCTAGGCAACCATGCATGCAAGTCTTCGGCTTCACGCCTTGCTCACCTCGGGACATCCGCGCGAGATCAAGCTGACTGCAGAGAGGCCTCACAATAACTGATGCTGCTGTGACTATATGTGAGGACCGCGCACGCGGGGCTGGCCGCGCACCTCGCTGATATATGATTGATTTCACTTGCCCCGGAAGGTTCAGCACAGACACAACAGCCATCAGCAGCTGACAAGGCTGCTTCAATCACCAATTAATGGCTAATCCCACTCGTGACGACTACATACTCGGGAGGTGCGCGAATTATCTCAAGGAAGGGGGCTAAGCCAAACAAAGCATCAGCAGCAGCAAGTATGTATGTAGAGGGGCCAGACAGTCACGCTTCGTCCAAGCGAGCGGTGCAGCAAGCCAAGGCTGGTCTGGCATGCCGAGGGGCGGCTCGAGTGCAGCAAGAATTTAGTCCTCTTCAGCAATCGCGAATGGGAATCTTTGAATCGTGTATGTCAGTCTAGAGTCGATGGTGCGCTACGCTGCTACTTTTGACTTTGACTTTGACTTTGACTCGAAGCACGCATCGTGTTCACGTGATTGACACGCGCCGAGTCGACTTCTTCAGAAGAAGCCTGCGTGCGAAGCCAAGACCTCTACAGAAGAAGAACTCATCAAAATGCAAGCAATCGCTTGACTGGCATCGATTGACATTTGGCTCAAGAGCACGAGGGCACGGTGTTGGGGAGCCTGCAATTTGCGACTGACTTTCGATGTAGGTCGCGAAAACCCCGTGGCCGTGCGCAAAGGTCCACACAAAGCCGCTGATCAACATGGAGATGTGCATTGCCTCGGAACATCAGCTTTGCAACCAGCCATGTGGTTAGCTTGGGTATCGTGGGAGAAGGAATGCAGGGTCAAAGCACTGCTACACGTCGAGAGGCGAGCATTCCTCTTCGCGGCCTGTGGATAGGGCCAAACAGCTCTCCGCTCTTGCTCGCCTGCAACACCAGCGCGCTCGTAGGAAAAGCTCGCCGCGGCCGCTAGAATTGCAGCTTGGCTGATGTGACCTCCGCTGCCCTTCCCTTTCGTTTGCGTGCCATCACTGCGGTCATTGTGAATGTCCTTAGATAGGCAGCCGCTATAGACTAGCTGCCAGCATCGCAGCCAGAGTGAAGGAAAAAGAGAATGAAGGGCCCCGCGAAAATGAGACCCACAAGTTTGCAAAGTGAGCAACTGCATAGTCAAGTTTGCCTTGTGCAGAGCTCGACAAGGTGAAGGGGCTCGGCAGGGAGAGGTCTTGAGGAGCTCCGAAGGGTTTCTGCATACTAGGTCCATTCCTTCGAGGCCGCTCGAAGATCAGCTAGATACTTTTTGAGGCGTTCAGTACGCTGATGTGGGCAGGTCGCAGGTCCAGTGAGCGAGCGAAGCAGACTAAGGCTCGACAGAGCTCAGTCACTCACCTGTGCTTCTTCCTTGACCTTTCTCTCTTCCTTGTCAAGTCGATCCACCTCGCGTCTCGTCTCGAGCAGCTCCGTTCGCTGGTCAAAGACCTCCTTTCGCAAGATTCTCTTGCGTCTCCGTGCCGTGCTCAGTTGTCTGAGAAGCGTACTTCTTTCCATCGCTCGCTCCGAGAGCGTCGCAAAGAGCGTTCTGGCCGATCTGCGTATCGTCTTCAGTGCTTTGGCAATCGGCGCTTGGGGCTGGGCATCTCTGCAAACGCCCACGCCACAAAGCTGGGCAACGTCAGGCTGGCGATGCATTTGACATGTCGTCCAAAGGGCTGTACTCACGTGGCATCACGCAAATGTCGTTCCACAATCGACCACAGCACATCTACGTCCGTGGGCGCGCTACCACCCTTACTCTTGCTGCTGCCAAGGGCCAATCTGACGACGCTTCGTAGCTTCTTCTTCATTGCTCTTCGCTCTGCAGCCGTCGGTTCTGATTGACTTGAGCTCACACCCGCCAGCTGCCCACGGGCCGAAGCCAATGTGAGGTCTGCAGCAGTCAAAGACGAGTCTAAATCCTCCGCTTCGAGCTCTTTGCGCGATGGCGCACGAGCCTTGCTAGACTTTGGAGGTCTTCCTCTTGCCCTGCCACCCTTTGTACCGACCTTTCCCGCTGAAGTTCCTTTTGCATGAGCAGCGGAACGCGTCGCAGCTTTCGAGAAGGACAGCTGAGACTGCACCTTTCTGACTGTGCCTGGACTGGCTTGTCTTTTGCGTTTGCGCGCCTCCATCACTCGAGCGGCAGCGCTGACTCCTGGCGAGTCTACATGCGCGTCCAGCTCCGGCGATGCGATATAGGGCATCTGGTCGTCCGCCGTAAAGCTAGCTGTCGCCGGTCCGCCAAGAAGGTCATCCTCGTCCGAGGGGACGCTTGCTTCGTCATCTTCTCTCGAGCGAGAGCTCGCCGTAGAGCTGGAGACGCGACCTCTGAATGGTGTGCTCGTTGTCGGTGCTCGGGCATTCGGTTGCGAAGCAGAAGCTGCCAGGCCTTGACTTCTGCCCTTGAGCGCAGATTGAATGAAGTTGACGCTGCTTCGTCTCGGCGCGCCACCAGTACGATCTGCTCCTTCTATGGTGCGCCTAGTGCCGTGAACTTCTCCATCCTCCATGCTCTGCTCTGCGGCGCCAGCAAGCGCTACACTTGGCCTCGCCGTTGCGGCCTTCTCCCTGCCACCCCTCATCGCACTCCTGAGTGGAGCTTGCGGTGCACCTGCATCGGCTCGCCGAGGTGTTTGCACAGCGTCCCGGGCGCTCGGAGAAGAAGAGGCCTGCTGGGCTGTGCTGGATCTTGCTGCCGTAGCTGCCCTTGTGCTTGCGCGTGGTCCTTTCGAGAAAGTGAAGGGTCGTTGCTCGACGCGTTGTGTGCTGCCGAAGGTACCAAGGTAGTCAGAAGGGTTCGCGACCTGCCCAGAAAAGCCACACTCACCCTGCTCCTCTCATGCGCTCCTGTCGCCGTTCCTGGAAGCGATGGGCCGCGGAGCCGGAAGGCCCAGCTTGCTGCGACATCTTGATAGCGATCACAGTGCCGATGAGATGATCGAGATGGTATTGTAGTCGGGCGATCGAGATCAAGAGTGCCTTTGATAGTCCTGAAGGTCCCTACCTCCGTCACCACACGGAATGAGGGTTAGGTGGCTACGTAGCAGGCAAAGCAGGGCTGGCTGAAAGCGAACGATGGTGGCAGGGTACATTGCCATCGAGCTCGTCCGATTGAGCTGAGCTGTTGGGGTGAAGTCCTCGACGTTCACGTCATACGCGGCGATGAGAATAGAAGCTCGATTGAGTCGAGAATTGCGATTTGTGATGCAGCAGTAGCAAACACCGTGTGCACAGTAGTACGACACCGCGCGAGCCAGACGCGTGCTTTGGCGCGACGCGTTCCCCGCTACCGCGCAGAAGGTGCGAAGAGCAGCTGCTGTAGCAAGTTCAAAGTCTGATCGCTCTTCCAAGACCCACGTGCGTCTGATCGGTCAAGAAGGGTCACGTGCTTTTTTCCGCCGGCAGATTTCTTGGAGGGCTCACCTCACCGCATCATGCAAAACCTGAATGCCTTACCATTATCATTAACGCGAAGCGTTGCAGAGGTGATTCTGTTCACCGAACCGCGAGGACGTGAAGCCTATTCTGCTTGCTTCGACGACGCAACGAATCATCAGCAAGGTCACTGAAAAGCCGATTGGGGGAAAGTAAGGAAGCGTGCAAGTCAGTCTACCTGTCACCACTCAAAATAGGACAACGCTTGAGCACCGAGCGTCGATCTCTCAGCTTGCGCATCGAAGTTGGCCTCAAGTCAAGCTTCTTTCGTAAACTTCACCCTTCCTCAGCAGGAGCCAACAACGCACACATGTCGTTCCGTGGTGGGGGCAGAGGTTTTGGTGGAGGAGACCGAGGAGGACGAGGAGGCGGGTTCGGAGGTAGAGGGGGAGGAAGAGGAGGCTTTGGGGGAGGGAGAGGAGGCTTTGGGGGCGGAGGAGGCGGAAGGGGAGGCTACAATGCAGGCCCACCAGACACTGTGCAAGAAATGGGAAGCTTCGTGCATGCCGTCGAAGGCGAGATGCTGTGCACTTCGACAGATGCCAAGCACGTGCCTTACTTCAATGCGCCAATCTAGTGAGTCTGGCTTCAATCGTCTTCTGCGGCAGGTACGCAGGCGCACGCGCCCGGTCACACGCCGATACTGACTTGTTCCGTACGTCGCACTCCTCAAGCTTGGCGAACAAATCCCAAATCGGCAAAGTGGACGAGATTCTTGGACCGATCAATGACGTTTTCTTCACAGTCAAGATGGACGCCGGCATGGTGGCGACCAGTTTCAAAGCAGATGATAAAGTCTTTATTGGTGGTGACAAGCTTCTGCCCATCGAAAGATTCTTGCCCAAGCCAAAGGCGCCTAAGGGTGAGTATGGTGCTGGACACGCATGCTATCTGCATCCAGTCCATCTTTTTCGTCAACTCCCAGATGGGAGGATAGAGAATGGAGAATCACCGCTGACACTATCTTTTCTCGCTGTTTCGCGCACACAGGAGCCAAAAGAGGAGGTGCCAGAGGCAAGCCAGCTTCTCGCGGAGCTCCGCGAGGTGGAAGAGGTTTTGGAGGTGGAAGAGGCGCACCTCGCGGACGGGGAGGATCTGGGGGTGATCGGGGAGGCAGAGGCGGAGGCGGCTTTGGCAGAGGTGCTCCGAGGGGAAGAGGTGGGTTTGGCGGAGGAGCAGGCGGTAGAGGAGGTTTTAGAGGCGGTAGAGGAGGTTATTGAGCGCGGCATCTTGTGTAGGCTGCGCCCGGACGTGCCAATCTCTGCTCCGATCATTCATGCTACAGTAGCTTTCTCGTTCAGCAGTGTCGAGCGTCGCGTCCTGCGTGTCCGGACGTATGCTCACCAGGCTAACAATGACAGGCGAAGTCGGACTGCGCATTGAGTCTGAATCAGCGAGGCGCCCTCTTCGCTGGGTGCAGCCCAGTCTGGCCCAGTCTGAACCGTATCTGACGGCTCGCATTTCACATACTAAAAGTGCTCATACATTGCACGCATTCTTGCGCCTTCGATAAGCTACGTCGATCATGTATAATTTCCCGATCCCTGCTCAAGACAGGACCCGCCGAAGGCAGCGAGGCGCAGCACTTTTCGTCGCGATGCAGAGGAGATTCATCGACGCTTCCTAGATCCCGAGCTGCTCTCCACTTCCTTTGGGTCTGCAGGGGCAGAGCGCTTAGTTCTCGCGCTCGACGTCGATGACGTATTCGTTGTGGCAGTCTTCTCGTCGGTGGTCGCGCGGCCAGCTCGTCTAGCAGCTCTGGCCTCGCTCCTAGCACCTTCTCTTGACTCCTTGCTCTCCCTCTCCTTTCCCCTGTCCCTCTCTCGCTCGCGTTCGCGATCTACTTCAGAGCCGCGAGAGCTTCTCTCCCGCTCTCGGTGGTCGCTCTTATCCCGTCTGCTGCGAGCACCGCTTCCACTGCCGCTTCCCTCCTCGTCAATGCTGACAGCAACCGAAGAGTGTCTGGACCGCTCTCTCTCCCGCTCACGTTCACGCTCCCTCTCTCTATCTGTGTAGCCACCCCGCGCGTGCGAGTCTCGATCCCTAGAGGGAGAAGGCCCGTCAAGATCAGCATCGTGGTGCGAGCTTGAGTCGTGCCCACTCCTACGCGCCGATCGCCGCGAGTTCCTGCCCGATACGCTGTCCTGATCGTCGTCTCGTTCTCTAGAGTATCTTGACTCTTCCTCGCGGCCTCTGCCTCTCCGATCCGCGCGCGGTCTTTCCTCTCGAGGATTGTTACTGCCTCTAGCATCGCGACTTGTCGAGCTCCCTCGAGCCTCTGATGGGCTCAAGCTCCTTTCTGGGCGAGCCGAACCTCCACCACCGCCACCTCCGTAGTCCAGATTCTCTGCATCTCCTGCTCCAGAATCTCGGTCATTGTACCTCCGTCCTGGGTTGCGCGGCCCAGTAGGTATGGGCACATTGGACTTCATGCCAGGATTGGAGGGGCCGGTTGGTATGTGAGGCACGCCGCTTGGTGCTGAGCCTCTGGCGCTTCCACCTCTTGGTGCTCGGCCGCCCTGATTCGGAAAGCAAGCAGCAGCGAGCTGTATCAGCACGTGATGCAAGCGGCGCAATCCCACATGCGCGTCAGAGCATGAATACCAACTCACTCTCTTCGCATCGCCTCGGGGCCCATCAGATTCGGCTGTGACATCCGCAAAACCCGTTCCATTTGTCTTGCGTTCTGCCATATTTCAAGGCGCGAAGATGTGAGTTCGCGACCTACGGTGAGAATATGGTGCTTTCGTATCACGACGCACGCGACTCACCCCCATTCTCGTTGCTACCGGACGGCGCGCCTTCCGCCCTGGAACCGGGAGTTGAATTACTAGACCCATGCTGATCGTATTGCAAAGCCTGTGCCTGTGCAGCGCGGACCGCAGCGGGCGCGTTGGGAGCGCCAGGCGGGGGTGTAGCGGTGGCGCCCTCCCCAGGCACATTGGAAGGAATTCTGCCTCTCGCTCCCGCAGGGCCGGATGGCATCCCAGCTTGCTGGCCTGGCTCAGCTGGGCCGGTTGGAGTGAACTGGTGGTGCGGTTGTTGGCCAGGGTGACCTGGATATTGGTGCATCTGTTGTTGCTGAGATTGCCCTCCTTGAGATTGATACCCCTGTTGCTGAGGGCCAGAAGGCGGCAACGTTGGAGGTGGTGGAGGTGGCGCAGGCGCTGCCAAGCCTATGCCCATGAAGAGCGCGATCTGCTCTAGGGTCATGCCTGGCATCATTGGTTGCATGCTTTGCAACTGTTGCACCTGCATGGGGCTCAGCTTCGCCAATGCACTGTCCGGATCGCGTTCCTTAGCTGGCTCGGGGGACTATGTTTCGCAATGAGGCGAAATTTTAGAAGGCAGCAGAGCAGCGGGCAAGCCCTTCAACGATCGGTTACTCACCTCTCTCTCGAATCGCTCTCTCATCTCTGTCCTGCCACGTTTGATATCCGTGTACCTATTCCACGTCTCCTCATCAAAGCCAAAATTGAACCAGTCGCTCAAATCAGCTCCCGCTTTCCTCCAAGGCTTCTCCGGGAAGGTGGTGGGATCTACATCGTAGATGCTAGTCCCGGCAACCGTTCCTGCAACAGCGCCACCGGGCCCATTCTCGTCATTTGCAGCGTCGCCATTCGTCACTGAAAGGGGCACAGTGAGCGATGCTGGGTCGGGCGAAAGATGCAAAGGCGGCGCTGTAGGCGGCGCTGATACAGCAGGAAGCTCAGGAGCTGGTAGAGCCCCTGCGGTCGGACGGGTTTGCTGAACGGATCCCAGGGCATTGGGCTGGAGCGTCGCGCTCGCGCTGCTCTTTGGTGGCTGTTCTTGCGCCTGGCCTTGGGGTGCAGCTGAGAGGGCAGATGTCGGTGTAGCTCTAGCGCCTGAAGCTGTGTTGAGAGTCCCAATCGCTGTAGCCGCGCCGGCTCGGGAAGGTAGGGAGCCGCGCTGCACAGGTTCGTACTCCGTTGTCATGGTCGATGCTGCGGGTCCTGTATGCCAAAGCAGCAGCGAGCATAGGATGATTCGTCGTTAGATGTCATATATACACGTCTTTCCGAACAGTTGACTTCCACTCGAACGTACCTCTCGGAGCGTCTGGGCGAGGTTGAGCTGGAACGGCTGCAGGCTTGACGTAGGGCTGGGCGGGAGGTCGAGCAGGGGCTTGACTGGCGTCCAGCACGACTTCCAGATCCTGTGCAAATAGCATAGGTACACAAAGAAAGCGCACAGTCAGCGGGAACTTTACGGCTGCCCTGCATGCCCGTGAAGTACAACTCACGTCATCGCTATCCTCTTCCTCGTCGTCATCCTCCTCCTCCTCATCATCCCCCTCCTGTTCCTCGGTGCCGCCCCCCATGTTCACATCCTCGGGGCCCGCAGCGGTGTCGAAACTTTGTTGCACGGCAGTTTGCTTAGTGTCCTGGGCTGTGCTCGATGCGCCAGCGGCGGGGGGACCATCGCCATCTCCGTACAGGAAAGCGTCGTCGTCGTCTCCGTCCATGGCGGTCGGAGTCTTGCGTAGTTGGAGGTCTGCGGGTGGTTCCAGACACACAGTCGAACCCTGTATATCTTCTGCCCACAGTCCGGCTTGCGCTGCGTGCAAGATCGAATGGTAAGATGAAGAAGGTGAAGGCAGCTCGTCTCACGTCTTGTCCGAGAGCGGAGAGAGAGTCCGTGCCTCAAGGACTCGACACTTCGCGCTGCTCAATAGTCGTGCGTACTCAAGACTCGCTCGATCAAGACGTTTGACCTCGACTTCGGTCGTGGGTGTCGTTCGTGTCTGAGCGCGCGCGCGCGCGAGGCAAGCGAGACACACGTGACTAGGCAACAGACGCGCGTGTTCGTTCTTGCATGGCTGCTTCCGCGCGGCAAGGCCAATCAAACGCCCGCGGCGCATGCGCGCGCGCAGATTGTCCTGATATATATATGATGTGACCGATCATCGACGTGCAGGGCACACGCACAGCGCAGCTATTTGGCATCCTTGTCGTTTCGCAGTGGTGAAGTGGAATCCTGAATCGTGCACCTCTGCAATCAGACCAGACCGGATGATCGCATGCCATGGGCATCAGACCACAACCATCATCAATGCACTCGTGATTTTGCTTTCAGGCAAGCAAGCAATGACGACCGCCAACTTTGCCTGGCCGCTACGCTACCAACACGAGCGCGACCTTTGTGAGGAAAGCATGCACCAAAGCGCTCAACCGTCGCGGGTATGCGCGCGTCGAGCTCAACGGTCAGCCCGCAGGATCGAAACGTCACTTCGCAAATGTGAATCAAATGTCGGAAACAGCGCAGATGGTATGGAGAAGGCGCAACGGCTTCAGTCCAGCACTTGCTCGTGCGTGGTGTGTATCCAATGGATGGCGCTGACTACAGCAATGACGCTCGCCGCAGAGTAAAGCCTGGCCGCTCCAAGCTCCCCTATGCTCACAGCCATTCGTGCGCACCATCACCCTCGCCCGACAGTAACAGCAAAAGCACCGTCAAGCTGAGAAAAGCTCGACTAAATAAGTTCGCCGTACTTCGACGCACCCATTGAAGACGCGGTCCGCAGTACCTCAGCCCACCCTTGCCTCCTGCTAGATTTTCCAGTCTTCACTAACCCCTGCCAAGCTCACGACCTCCAGCCTTGCCTCTGATCCCTCCTACGCCTGCAACAATCCGGCCTCAGCATGAAGCTCATCCAGTATCGCCCATGCGTGTCGACATGCTGGCTGATGCTCATCGCTGGCCACGTAGTCCAGGGCCAGTCCGCACTGCTTCCACCTGTTCAAGTCATCAGCTCCTCCACGCCAGCGTTCGTCGCTTCCCCTTCAGCCCTACCCACTCTCCTCGCACCCCCTGGCAGCAGCGGTATAAGCCTCTCACCGGTCGCTACCGACGCTTTATCCGTGCCTCAACCTTCTAGCCAGGCGCCCACGGTGTGCGACCCGCGCAAATCGGTCCTGGATCCCCTCACTCATCGTTTCCGCTCCGACTGCGGAGCTCAAATGTGGTGCGACCCGGGAAGATCATCTAATGCACCTGCGCCGCCATTTCAAAGTGCAAGCGTAGCGAAGAGATTCGCTGATGAGCCTGAATCGATCGAGATTGCCAATGCAGATCGGGAACAAGTGGACATACCACCGCCTCTCTTGCTTGCTCGCGAAATGTTGCTGCCGAGCAACAAGACCGCGAAACAGACATCGACATTGGTGATTTTCGAAAATTCACGGTCGGTGCTACTGTATGATCGAGGCGAAGCGAATCCCAGCTCATCTTCGAGCACCGTCGCCTTGCCAAGCAAGAGCGCGAGCGGCACCACCTCTTTGTTGCCATCCGCTGTGGTTTCCACAGCTGGACGAGGCGGGAATCCAGCGACTGGCACGTGCAGACCAAAGGGATGCCGGAAAGATGAATTCCCGTTCGGCTACAAGGGCATTCCTACGGAACTCTTGCCTCCGCTTTGCGGACCCGGAAGCGTGAGTGAAGCACAGCGCGAATCTTCGCTGGTCCAGGTGTGGGTCTGGACTCACAATTCGATTACCTTTGGCTACCTCCTTGGCCCAGTACTGTCCCGACGAAGAGTCAGCTTGTCAGAGTCTGATACCAATTGGCGGTGACTGCGAACTGAATCGGGACGGTGAGTAAGACGAGCCACGCGAGCGCTTTGAGGGCGACGAGCTGACTATTTCTGCTCCCACTCTCATTACAAGACTCATGTTCGCCGCCTTCCGGTGGGCTGAGCTCGGCTCCGGCCGTGAAAAGGCAGCATGGACTGTTCCTTCCAGGCGTCTCTTCATCCAGCACCGTCAAGGCAATTTGCCTGGCTGGCAGGTGCACCTTGGCCAGTGTGCAACTAGGCCAAGGCTGCGTGCTTGACCATACGCAGTATCTCGGGTATGACATGAATGGCAAAGAAGTAGGAGAGACGGTCTCGTGAGTGGGCGAAGGGAAATTCTGGCCGTTTAATCGAGTTGGACCTCTGAGATACGTCTGGGCGCCACGCTTACCCTGGTCTTCTTGTGCTCACCGCGGCAGACGCGATGATTGCCATGAAGGGCTGTATTGCGATTCTACAAGCAGCACATGCATGGCAGAAAAGCCTTATGGTGAGGGTTGCGGTTCTGACAGAGAGTGCACCGAAGTGAGTGAGCGGCGACTGGGCCGCAACGACACGAGAAGGTACGCGCTGATGCATGATCAATCTCTATGCCAAATTCAATGGTAAACGCCAGTACAACTGCAACTCGCGACATCTTTGCGACTTGCCGCCGGAGGCTCCACATCGACTTCCAAGCTGGGCTTTCGGCCTGGTGGGGCTGGGTATCTTTGCCTGTGAGTATGGTCGAGCGGCGTCACTGAACAGCCCTTTGGGCAGCTCTGATTGATGAAACTCCGCATCTCCTCAAAAGTCCTCGCCATGACCGTCACGCTGCTTTACCGCACGCACACTGCGCACAGAGTCGCAAGAGCAGACGAGATTGATCGTTATTTCAGCGAACAGTGGACATACAGGCAGTCGATCTTGGCCATGCACGCCGCGTTCGTAGCCAGCGGAGTTGCGGCATCGGAGCTGCTGACAGGCAGCAACCTGCTGTCCGCGGATCAAGGTGGTCATTCAGCCGCGGCAGGACATGACGGCACTCTGAACGAGTCGAAAGGAGAGCAAAAAGGGCGTGCTCAAGATCAGACGCGCGTCAATAATGTCGCTTCCGCCGCAATTCCTTCGAGACGCATGTTTGCCGAAGATGAAGATGACGCTCGAGACGCGACTTCTCAAACACCGCAAGCCGTCATCAGGCGCAAGCCTGCTCCAGCAGTCTAAGGCTTCACAGCGTACATGACCCTCACAGACCGTGTGGCCGCCTCACCCGTCTCGCGGCCGTCGTGCTTTGATTCCGACGAACTTTCTAAACCGCAGAAGAAAGAAGTGTTTGACTTACACTTGTGGCTCTTCAGCTCATGCTCCAATCTGCGTATCAGATTAAGACTTGCACTTGTGCGATTATGCGATATTGACAAAAGAGTGGGTGTGTGGTGCTTGGGTAATTGTGGGAAATGTACCTCTTGAGGGGGAGGATAGAAAGGAGAGGCGAGGACTGTGACGATGAAGAACGCCTTTCGACCCATGTCAAGAGACAAGGAAGAAATCGAAGGATGACTATGGGATGGGTTGAGAGACAGGAATCGATGGAAGTGAAATTGAAAGAAGAGAGGGCATCTCGGCAGTAGAGTAAGGGTATTGTTGAGGAAAACTAATAGTAGGTGTACGGGTAGAAGCAGATGAATTGAAAATCAAGCGCTGGGCCAATAGCAGTCGCGATCGCGATCCAGCACGAGATTGGAGATCACCTGGCGTACGCTCCGCTCTCTTTCTCGTTGAGTACTTCGAGTGGATATGCATCCTTGTCCTTGCTATGTGACCGCGACTGGGCTGGCTGCGAGTGATCATGTGGTTGCTGACCCTGAGCGCCATGACTTAAAGACGAGACGGAAGGTGCGGCCGATAATTGCCCAGTGCTTCCCTTGTACGCTCTCGCATACTCGGCAGCTCGGCTTGGACCTCGCGATGAGCCTCCTGCGCCGTTTGGCCCCGCATGTCCCTTCTCGGCCCAAACATGAGCGCCGCTATCCGTGGAGGCAGGCAATCTGCTATCATGGGATTGTTGAGCGCCTGCATGGCCTGATCCGATGTCAGGCGAGCCGAGCGCAGGCGCCCCGGTGCCGCCCGCTCTCGAAGGGCCAGCGCTCTGTCCACCTGTCTCCGCCAAAGGTTGGTCTGCAAGCGTATATGCCATGCTAGATGTCTGAGACGAGCTGGCAGCGTCGGTATCCCGATCCCGGTTTCGCCTGACTCGGAAGTAAGATTTGCGCGTTTGTTTGAGGTGGTCGAACGGCACAAAGCTGCATGACAGTGCGACGCCACGTGAGTCGCTAGCGAGGTTTTCACGCAAAATTGTCAGCACTTACTGCTCTTCCATTTGTCGCAACTCAGGCGTGAGTGAGCTCAGCTCTCGCTTTTCGTCTCGCTTCTTAGCCTTGAGCGGATTATCTTCCAGCAACAGTTCCTCGAGTTCGTGCGTAGCATCGAAATTGGCCCGTTTGCTCTGAAAACGAGGAGGAAGTCTGCGATTCAGCCAAGTCAATCGGCGATCGGTGCAGCTCGACCATGACTTACATCTGGCTCAAAGGGTGGAGTAGCTTCCTTGGTCTCTAGAGCATCCCAATCCACGCTAGCAAACCAGGGGTGCTGCTTAAAGTCCTCTATGCCGTTCCGACAGCCCATGCGTTTCTTGACGTCCCGCTCCAGCAGACCACGTATGCATGTGATGCACTCCCTGCTCACGATGTTCTCGACATTTTCAGGAAAGGAACACCTGTCGTGCAATATTGAGTGCGTCAATGCGCTGTTGGTCTTGCCCCTAAATGGCCGCCTTCCAAACAGAAGCTCGTATGCCATGACGCCCAAGCTCCACCAGTCCACAGTGCTTAAATAGCCGCGCTTGGCTAGCACTTCTGGTGCCATGTATGCCATACTACCGGCAACCGAGGTCAGCGGCCTTCTGTGAGAGAAGTGAACTGCGATGTTGAAATCCGTCAAGTGGGCATGACCTTTCTCATCTAGCAACACGTTGTCCGGCTTTAGATCTCGATGCACAATCTGCAGCCGGTGAAGGTAATCTAGGCCTAACGCGAGTTCAGCAACATAGAACCGCACCACCTCTTCTTTCATATTGCCCGATCTATCCAAGTGAAAGCGCAGGTCACCGCCGAGCATCAGATCGAGAACCATGAACAGATTCTCGTCGTCTTGAAAGGCGTACTATGTCGGAGCCACAGATGGTGTCAGGCGCTCTGCTGCCGCCTAGGATAGCGTCGACGATGAGTACTCACCCGCAAGTTGCAGATGAAAGGGCTCTCTATCTCTTCTAGTAACCTCCTCTCCTGTATGATGTTTGAGACCGCTCGCATCTTGACACATTTGGCCTTGTTGATGTACTTGAGCGCGTACAAGTTCTGGAGAAAGAGACGGGTCGTTCAGTCGAGAACAGATGGGCGTAAGACGAAATAAAGATAAACTCGCTCTGCCCACAAAGATCCCACACACACGTCCGCATCGTCTACCACTACGCACCTTTGTCTGCTTGTGCTGAACCACTCGCACCTTTCCGAACGCACCCTTGCCTACCGCCCTGAGCAGGTAGAAGTGGTACAAGTCTACCGGCCCGTCGAAGTCGATCACCTGTGATGAAGCAGTGGAGCAAGCTCTGGTCAGAGGCTGCAAGCACATCTTCCGACCGCGGGCCTTTCGCCATTGCTTGTCTGAGCAGACCCGCAGGCTTCGCTCGCCAACTCACCTCCGCCTTACAGCATGAGCATATGGCGCCCATCTTGCAGCGCTGACGTGTCCTCAAGCCAAGCTCCAAGCGCCAATTGCAATCACTCGGTGAAGGTGATAGTCAGGATCAAGTCGAGCGTCAAATGCAGCAGTCTCGAGATCCTGCGCTCGGCGACCGATGGCGGACAGGCGTGAGCTCGGCGCACGATGAATCGGTAGCTCGTCGAAGGGTGTTCGACCTGAGTATTTGATATGATGAGAGTTCAAGTTGATTGAGCAGCCGTTGCTGACAATGTAGGGCCGTTGTAGGCGTTGAAAGGGCAGACCAGAGGCGCAGGGGTCCCAGTGCAACGAGGACTTGGAGGAGGCACGTGTACGCTTCTCTTTGCCGCTCGTTCGCGAGTTTCGAGGTGAAGACAGTTTGAAGACCGAAAGACCTCGCTGCTGACTCTGACCGGATGTCCGACCGTGTCGTGTCAGACACACCCAAAGTCGACGTGGGCAGCCCCTTGAGTGTGCTTGTAGAGGAGCAATGACGAGCGCGCGGTAGCTATCTGCGCGATGTCTGCGCTTGCGCGAGTTGAGCTTGGCGATGTGAGCAGCTGTGTAGGCAATTAACACGATTCCGACAATCGCAACGGCGGTTCTTGCTCAAAGGCGCCGGTCGGCGTCTACAGGGGCGGACGGCGTTGGCTCTCAAATAGAGGGTGATGCAGGCGTTCGGAAGGTGCTCAAGTCCCGAGCTGTCTGCAGGTACAGAGAAAGCGATGTGTTCTTGGTCAGGAGGATAATTGTGCGCTCGAAGAAAGAAAGGCGGGCGCGGGAGGTAGTAGGAAGAAACGAACAGAGTTGGATGGCGATGCTGGTGCTGTGAGTTGGCAACAGCAACAGCAGCAGCAGCAGCAGCAGCAGCAGCAGCAGCGGTCGCAGTTGCACGAATGACGGCTAAGTATTCGGTCACGAAAGGTGAAGGCTGATGAGAGGATGGGATGGGCTTCGCTCACTCGTGACGCCAGTCAGACTCGAGGTCCACTCTGACTGCACTCGCGACTATACAGTACTGCCAAGTCTAAAAAGGTGGTTCACACGCGCTGCTGCTGTGGGTATGTTTAGAGAGGATGCGGCGGTGATGCAGCATGCACACGCCAGCCAGGTAGACAGCCAGCAGCAGCAGCAGCAGCAGCAGCAGCAGCTATGCATGCAGACAGCCAAGTGGTTGGACGGGACAACACAGAGACGGACCTCTCTGCGTGATGTACTCACACTCACGAGTGTGACTCGTGACTGTATGTGCTGCTGGCTGTACGAATGCTTCGATTGCCGCCGTTGCCGTCGCTGCTGCTTGTGCGCAGACTTGCTCTCTCAATTGCGCCGTCCAACTGCGCCGCACTCCGCCACGTTAGAAGACGCTGCCTCCTGTGCAGCATATGGCAGCAGTCAGAGAACCTAGACTGACTTGCTGCATGCGTGCATATATACATGCATGCCTGCTTGCCTCCGTGTCAACAATCTTGAATGCATAGTCACTCACGCGAGTTTGAGTGCGCTTTGACGCCAGTCCAATTTGAGTAGAGTCTTGCGTTGAAGCCGCCCTTTAGATCTTGAGTCTTACCAAATACGATATTTGTTGAGTGCATTCAAGCAAGTCAGCAAGCACATAATTGAACCAAGAACGCTGCTGCAAAACAAAATTGGAGTGATTATTTTAATGTCAAAAATTAAAAGACACCCACAGGTATTCACGAACTCCATTATCATTCTACGATTCTTGATTCAAATTAGCGCCAGCACGTCCTGGTTCAAAGCCAGGGGCGCTTTTGACTGAAGCGTTCACATTATTTCGCACGTCTGGAGCTCGAATCAAGATTCCGATCAGCAAAGTCAAATCATTGAAGATGGCCCTCGACTCCATGCAAAGCGGATGAAGCTGTGAGGGGGAAAGGTCTGAAAAACGGCCATGACAAAAGCTCGCGGAGCTGTGGACTGTTTCTTGTATTCGAGATTGATTGCCACCAGAGTTCCAACTCGAGACTCTTCATGCCTGCACCAATCAAGTCGCTCGCTCTCCTTCGCGAAATTGGAATCTGCCAGCCTTGAACGGGCTGGTCAATCCGCTATCCCACTCCCTCACTAATCACGAAGCCTTCTGCGCGCTACATCGTGGGATCGTCACCAATTCCTAGGAAGCCCATAGACACGGGTCGTGGATCAAGCGTCACCTCATCGTGGTTCTCACGCGCTCAGATGGGCACAGTCCCATGAGTGATGGGCACGGGGATACAGTAGCGTCGAACCCATTTCGCGCTAAGAAAAGCAGGTGCTTTCGCCGCAAGGTGGAGAAGCCAAGAGACAAGATGTCTTCCGTCTTTTATGCGTCTCTGCTGTACAGCGGCACACGCCCTTTTGAACATTTGGTGCAGTGAGCTAGGGCGAGGTGTGCTTTCGCTGCACAAGTCACACAGGCACGTTACCTTGAGATAGTCCGTCACTCTAATCGCTCACGAATCGAGCGCAACGAGACCCAAGACTGAGGTGAACTGCTCACGCAAATCAAGAGGTCTCCGATGAATAACATTGCGTCAAGCCTCGGCCTCGCGGCCCGGCGCCGCCAGTAAAGGTATGTTGCACAAGTGAGTGTGAGTGTCAGCGCAGCACTCTGAATCCGCTGGCTAAAGAAAGTTTTGGACCGGCGAAAAGAAGACTTGGCAGGTTCATCCACGTTGGAGGCTACTGTTACAGGTGCGCTTCGACAAGGGATCTTCTGGCGAGCTCTCGATGCGAATCGAAGCGAGATGTGCAAGTGGAGCTGAAAACGTTGAGCGAAGCGGAGAAATTTGGGAATGTCAAAGGTGCTAGATGATGCAGGAGGGTATCGTCCGTAGGTCGGGTGGTATCGTCATGGACGAGGGGCTCGATACGTGTCACAAAGGAGCATTGACGCGGTCAGGAGAGTGACCCGGTAGTCTAGCCCCGATAAATGTGATCCGTGGGGAAAATCACCCCGTCATGTCTCACGAGCGTGATAGGCGAAGGCCCGCGGAGAACTTCGCCGCCCACACTGACGTCGTGCGAGGGAGGAGGGGCGCAAAGCCAGGTAGTCGTGGACTGCCTTTCGACTTGGTCACAGCGCCAGTCGCCAAAGTAGACGAAGAGGTTGTGACCAAAATTTTCACCAAAGAGCGTGATCCATTCGCTTCCACTAGTTGTGCGCGAGGCGGGGCTCGCGGTGTGTGCAAATTGTGTCCGTGTCCGCTGTGGGGCGGTGAAGTGGTGAAGCACGGGAATCGGTGTGATGGGCTCTCTCGGTGTTGGCACTGTGATTAAATGAGCGACACTGCGATCCGCTTTCGGCGCCTTAGGTCTAATGCCGTCAACAATCCTAGGCGGGATGTAGAAAGTGTGTCGAGCGATGTCGGTGCCTACGATGGTCCAAATGTCAGTGTCCTTGACTTCGATGGACCACGTCGATCCGGCAGGAGGACCTCCGACAGAGGACTCTGTGGAACCAGCAGACGTCGCAAACGAGCTGGTTCGACGCAGATGTTCGCCTTTGCCAGGCGAGCTTGTGCCGGAGGCACTGCCAGTGCCCGACAGCTGCTGTATGTGATTGACTGTCGACATGGACTGGCCTCTGCGTCTGCTTTTGCTAGCGGCATTCTGCGCAGCGCGTTCCTTGTGTTGTATGACAGAGGAAGAGACTCGCCGCGGCCTACGAGCCTTTGAGGAGTCGGCGGCCGAGGATGTTGATGCCCCAGACTCCTGCGAGGCAGATCCCACGCCCTGAGACGCGACATTGGAGCTCATCGAAAGTCCACTGCCAATCGATGGCTGGTGACGAGCTTGCGCTACGCTATGCCTGGTCTGTGCAGCTGCGTACGCCGCAGCCGTCGCAGCAGTGGGACTGGTTGGGGGCGTGCCGAGGAACTTCTTCGACTCGTCGAGCATCATGGCGTCGTGCTGAGGGAATGTCATTGGTGTGATTGGGGTCGTGGGAGCGGAAATACCGCCCACGTTCGGCACCCATCGACGAGGCTCATCAGGATTGCGCATGCCGACCTGATCATTGTTGCATGAGAGGAATGGACGGCTGTCTCCTGGCGGCCGAAGCTCTCCCGAGGGATGGCGAACGTTTGGGTCCGGAGCTGGGACTTTGAAGTTGTCAAGCACCTCCAACGCAATCTTGTGCAGCTGAGAGACAGGATCGCCGAGCGCTTCGCTGCAAGGATAGAAGCCCTCGGATCCGAACGTCCTGCTTCCACCCATCACTGTCGTACCCTTGTCCACCCTACGAATCACCATCACGGGGCTCACAACGCCAGTCTGCAGGCACTGCAGCACGACTGGCTGATTGTAATGGATCGGTCTAGGTGCTGCGCCGTACGCCGTGGCGGGATAAGCGCATTCGGGTGGCGTGGGAAAGCGGGCTGCCTCGGACTCTGGTGTGGCCTTGTGACTCAACGTCGATTTAGCTGGATCCACGAGATACACGATGAAGGCGTCCCAACTGGATATTTTTGCCATGAAGCAGGAAGGAGGCTCCGACGTGCTAGGCAAAGAAGTTTCTTGCGCAGCTGTAGTGAAGGTCTGGCCATCAGATCCCTTGAGCCACGTTGGAGCTCCAGACACGCAAAGATAACGCGTCGAGACCGTTTGACCTCGCAGGCGATGGAAAAGCGAGATTGTCGTGCCGTGATTGACACACACTGCGCAAAAGTTAAACTATTAGTTGACAGAATGGGACGGTGCTTGGCTACCGCATATCAGCGCCCGACTCACAGTCAGCATTTCTCGCGCTTTGGCGTTTCTTGCTTGGCTTGCTGATGACTTTGATCTGCTTGCTCGGAAAGTGTCCGAGGAGATGGTGCTCGTCTGGATTGCGACCGGGCATGCTAATCGTGACGTTTGCCTCGCAGTATCGGCGTTTTTCATCGAGGTCGTTGATGAAGAGCTGCTTGGCGATGCATCTGCCAGAGATTGCTAACTCAGTGGAGCCATTCCCGCTGACGTCAATCAAGCGACCACTGTTTGCGGCCCATTCGAGTGATCCATCCTGAATCGAATGCTGTTCGCCACTAATGCTCACGACCACTCGTGGGGGAGCGACCCCCATGGCATGTTCGGACATGGTTCCAGGACCGTCTACGAAAGTGGGAGTGGGTTTCTGCGCCGATGTCCACCAGCTGCTACCAATCAGCACGACCATGGGCGGAGGACAAAGAAAGCTGGAGGACGCAATCATTGCAGGGTTCAGCGGGAAAGCACGCCACCACGAGGCACCTTCACAGCACTAACCGCTTCTCGACGCCATAGCTTTTCTGTCCGACTTTGCTGGTCATCACCAGGACAGTGCGCTCGCCGAGACCGAGTCGACTTGAGCTTGACAGGTAATTGTCCATCGTGTCGCTGCAGACATGATGCAAGATGGTAAGTGCACTGTGACTATTGTGGGCCCGAGGCATTGGCGCGGCTCAGAAGGCACTCACGAAATGAAGCTCAGGCAATCAGTCGGTTCGGCGTCGCCTGAAAGCGCGGGAGACATTGTCGGATTGCTCGCCATCCGCAGAAAGGACGCTTGCTGAAGCGTGCTTGGGTGAATGCCCGGACGGTACGCTCTCTTGAGCACCACTGCCGTTCTGGCTGGACCAATGCCCGAAAGACCACTATGACCGACAGGAAAGCCATCTGACCGCATGACTCCTAATCTGCCGCTGGCTGCCTGAACAGTCTGCGAAGGAACAAACGCAGAGCGCCTCGACCCACTGGGCGACGATGCAGCACCAGAAGCGCGCTGTGCGCGATTCGGCGACCCTTGATCGAAGCGCAATTGACCGCCACCGTGCCCGCCCTCACCAAAATAGAAGGACAGTGGCTGTTGGGACGCATGGTGAGCTACATTGGGATACGCCGCACTTTCAAGCGAGGGCTGATAGTGCTGAGCAGCCATTTGCTGGGCCTGCTGATGACCGATCAAGGAACCTGCTTGAGGGGCCATGGAGTGGGAAACAAGAGGAAGCTGGTGCTGACCTCTAGAATGGTGGGTGCCCGGGGGCCCCTCGTCTTCCTCCATGATGGTTGGTGTGCTGCCGCCATCTCGATTGGTTTGAGAACCTATATGAGCGTTGGCTGCCAAGGCGTGAGCAAGGTTGTGATCTGCATAAGCCATGTCATACTCCATAGGACGTTGGGCCAGCCCTGCCGTGGACGCCAGATAGAATTGCTCGTGGTTGGGATGATGGCCCATGTTGTGCAGCGCCTCCTCCAAGTGCCTAGAATGCTCGCTACTCCCCATTTCGCTGTCGAAGGACTGCCATGCAGATTGAGGATCAGCAAAGCTTTGATGTTGCCAGTCACCGCTCCTCCCCGAAGGCCGGCTGTTTGGCCGGGTTTGCCGCTCCGCAACGCTGCGCATGCTTGATTGGGAGAGTTCTGAAAAGCTCGACCTGCTAGAAAGCCTCGATGGATTAGACGCTGCTGGGCTCGGACCAGGCCCCGAAGCAATCGCCGAATAGTCGAGTGGCGTCGAGGAGGGTCCACTGTGACTGCTTGAGCGGCTAGGAGTCTGTGAAAAGGCAGCCGAGAGCGTGGATGGACTTGAACCGATGGAAGTGTGAGATTCGGCACCTACAGGCAATTGGAAGGGCGGGGACCGTGGAGGCTGTCCTAAATGCGTTGCGTGCATCAGCTGCTCAGAGTCCTGAGGACCATCCGAGGAGGATGGGTGAGATTCTCCGTGCATGCTGCCAAATAACGGCAAGAAGGCATGCGGCAATGTCGAAGTTCCCTCTGCGAAGCCACGGCTGTGCAGTTGCGTAGGATCATTTACGCGAGTTGCGCTAGCTTGATCATTCACGCCGACCAAGCGCCCCGAGTACTCTGTGGTGTGTCCAAGATCATCGCCCTCGTGCGAGCTTTGGCCGTCGAACAGAGGAGGGTGAAGTCCGGGAACGTTGTAAAAGCGATTTGGTGCCTGAGGTGTCCGGAGCTCTGTCTCCAGCGTACTGTGAGACTGGACAAAGACATCCGCGCTCGGTTGAAGATGCTCAGCTCTGGAAGGCGTCCTGTCCTGTGACCGCGTGCCGCCTGAATGTGCATTATCAACGCCTAGCAGCTGTCCTTCTCGTGCAGCATCGCGGGAGAGGTCCAGCGCTGCCGGTCGATGTGGGCGCTGCAGAGGCCCCGCCACAGAAGCCGTCAGAGGGCTTTGAAGCCCCTGGCTTCCGTGGCTTCGTCCGACTGTATGAGCGCCCTGAGATGAGCGCCACGGTTCAGAGGAGCCTTCGTGGTGATCACTCGGAGCTAGACTCCAGCTCGATGGTCCAGCTTGCAGCGACCTAGCTTGTGAATACGCTCCCTCCCCATGACCACTGGGCGTATGCCGAGAGCTTGTGAGCGTTTGCAATCGGTGATGAGTACTAATGAGGCCCTTACTCACAAGTTTTTCATGATGAAATCGGCAAGCTGATCCGACTGAGGGAAGGCATGCGATTCGGTCTGTGGGTTCAGAGCATGCAGGAACTCCGCAGGCGCAACGTTTGATACTTGTCCGCCCAGATGGTCCATCATGAAATCGCTTGAGTCTTCGAGGCTTGGCTGAGAAAAAGCGTCAAAAGCGGAAGGTCCGGATACATCTCCTGACGCTGGGTCGCCCGATCGCCGACTGGTATCACCTTGGCGGGCATTGTGCTGAAGAGCAGATGCTGCAGTTGCGTTCTGGGATGGTTGAGGTGGTGCACCGCCTGTGCGAAGCGGCGGAACAGATGCGCGATTTTCGAAGCCCTCGAATGCTCCCATCAGCGTGCTCGAAGCAGAGCTACTTGCGAACATCACATCGTCCGGCCGCCTTGAGGCGTCGCGGGCGGACTGCTGCGACGAGTGCGGTGAGATTGTTTTCCAGCCATCTGAGTCTCCCCCATACATGACGGCAGATCAAAGCATTCGAATGCGCAGAGCTCGACCTCTTGCAACCAATTCAGATGCTCCTTGGCGTTGTGCTCCAAGCGCAAAGCTGTCAGGCGAGGCGCCGCGATGCTAACAGCTTAAGCGGCCTATTTGCCGAGGGTCGTGCGATACGCGTGTGCAGATCCAAGGCGACTCATCGGCTTGCTCCCGGAGGAGGGGCCTCAACGACCGTCTAGGACCACAGCAATCAGACAATGGTCCGCTAGCAGCACGTTGGAGGGCAAAGATTTCGCCAAGAAGGCGAAGCTGAAGTCGCGAGTATGCAATCAGTCGGGAGAGAGATTCGATGAGGCTTTAGGTGCTGTGTTTCCCAGTCTTCGGAGCTTGAGGCAGTGATCAGGGAGAGTTTTTGGACGAGACGTTGATGATGTCGACACGAGTGCAGACCTGATGAGCAATCCTCTTTGTTGGAAAGAACGCAAACGGCGGGAGCAGATGGATGCTACGCAACGAACGCAGGGCACGAGGAGTGTCTGGCGAGATGGTAGAGCAGGCGATGTTGGATGAAAACGTGACTTGAGATGACACTGATTGGCATCAAGGTTGTGCGTGCAGTCGTTAGGAAGCGCCGGGTATACACATCATTGTCTTCCGCATTCAAGCTGGGTTGGAGGTGGACGTTAGGTCAGATATCGCTTCAATGTGTGGGATGGTCTCGCAGTCTGGAAAGGGTGCGTGCGCATGTACGTGTTGACCTGCAGTCTGAGTGGCTGTGGGTTCTGGAACCCTAACTCGGTGCTGAACGACACGTTGATTGTTGGTTGGTTCATCAACGGGGTGGAGCTACACTCACGACTTAGACTATGCTACTTACTGTGTGCAATGCGCTGACCGAAGCTTAGCTTCTTGCTGCAAAGCACATCTGGTCTAGCGCTAGGTTCGGATAGGACAACAGCGTGAGCGTGGGGTGGGAAAACTGTTCTGAGTTCGAGTGCCAACAGCTGCTGCTCGATGCCTCTGATGCCGCCCTTAGCTTGGGGGGGCGTGGGGAGAGGAGGCACGCAGCGGTGCGGTTGGAAGCGATGCGGCTTCAGAGCGCGCAAGCACAAGCACACAGTTGTGGTTCAAGAAGTCTTTCTTGCATGCATTTGCATGCAGCAAGAGCTAAAAGCTGCGAATTCAAGTGCGACGCAGCAGGTGCAGATCCACGCTAGAGGTTTCCTGCACATGAGCAGATGCGAGACATGGTCAGATACGTGCTCGGCCTGAATGACACGCTTGCAAACTCCAACTCTCTTCTCTCTCTCTCTCTCTGTGTCTTCAGCTTGCGACTCGGCAAAGAGTGACGAAAGAGACACTCATCAGAGTCACGTCTCGATCGCGGCTGACTGCGGGTCCGGTCGATTCAAGTCACAGTGCCGAGAGGCCTGCTCGGCCTGTCTCAGGGGCGCCAATCAAGAGTCGTGAGGTGGTGATCAAGACCTGGATCCATCATCACCGCTAGGTGCTCAAGACTACACCCGGAATACGATTTGAGCCTCATACGAGCTCAGGAGTGGGGGCAGCGTGTGGCAACGCCCCGAAACCCATGACCTGATCGCTGGGTTCACCATCCGGGAGACATGCAGATCGCGTCAACCGTCGCCCATCTGTCAGAGGTTTTCCGCTTGTCAGTCAGTCAGTCAGTCGGTCTGACTGTAAGTAAATCACGGCATATTTGAGTGTGTGTCTCGAGTCAAAGTCGAAACAATTTTGCTTCCGGTACCAGTCTCATCTTCTCCTCATGACTCTTGCGCTAGCCTTGATACCGATCAGTCGTAAAGGTCGTCTATTGCTCGGGTCCTGGGTGTCAATTGTTGCATGTCGTCGTATTCGAATTGCTCTCCAGACCCTTTTTGATTTGATCATCAACACGATTCACATCATAAACAACTCTCGTCTTTGGCGCAGTGGTGAAAGCAGACCGCAACATGTAGACGAGCTTGCGATCGAGCAAGATGAACCAGCACTCTTGACTGGTGAAAATTGGCTGTCCGCTTACTGTATAGTGCCTGGCGCGACATCAGAGAGTCTCATCACTTTGGTCCGCTTGACGTTAGTTGCGCGATTACCTGGTGAGCGATTTCGCGTCCAAGCGCAAGTCATTATTATTATTGTTATTGCTATTATTATTATTTACTATGCATTCGAGTACCATGTCTGTTGAGGGAGGGAATAGCGCGGTCATGTACATAGCCATCAAGCCGCACGGTGGAGCTTTAGGTAAGTTTCCGGTTGACCTGCAAGTCATCGCGTGGTAGGCAAAATTCCAAAGCCTGGTATCTCGCTGCCAAGCAAAGACACAGCAAATCGCTACGCCGCTAGCTTCGCAGCGGGGATGGGAGCGTCAGCTTTCTCGAACGCACCACATCGACAACGAATCAAGCGCCCCCTCACCAGGACTTGCCTTTGTTCACCATTGCGACCAACGCTGGTAAAGGGGCTGGGAAAGAGACCGCATCGCGTGCTAGAATCACGCTCGTAGTGCTCAATCCCAATCGTGTCCAAACATTTCATAGCATTCAGGGCTGGTCTAACGAACACGATTCCTGAGGCACCGTCCTTTGAGCGTGACGAGCTGGTCGTGGTTGGTGCTCTCGATCTCTGGCCCGAACCGCAGATTGGGGCAGACGGAAGTGAGACCCTTTTAAATGAAGAAGCAAGACCAAAGGGGGACACCGCGCATTGAAAGCAGCTAGCTACAGAGACAGTCTAGTCGTGGGTGTGTGTGCTGCACACAAATGCGGTCCCATGATAGCTTCCTGCAATGCACAACAAGCGGCCGCGTCGCAACGCATTCCTTCGGTTCCTCCGCAACCTCCGCCCGGAGATGTCAGGCGACCGCGCTGCCTGGTCGGCTGCTGCAGAGGCAGAGTCGCGATCACAACGCGATGGATTTACGACACGGGGAGATGGTCAAAGTCTAGGCTTCGGCTAAAGAAGTCCGGGCGGTTCCTTTCCGCTGGGCCGTTGACGAATCATGCTGATTAGTCCGAGAACATGTCACGAAGATGACGGACACGCAGACGCCTCAAGCGCGTTCTCGTCGAAGCGTGATGAAGAATGAGCAAGCGAATTGTGAACGAATGGGCGGTGTGGGTCATGCATCCGATACGCGCTGGAATGATCCAGGGAGTGTGAGCTGCAGCAGGATCGCTCCATCATCAGAAGCGCGATTGTGATGCTTGATGGACAAACCAGGTCGAATCCTTTAGCGTGACAGAGTGACAGAAGACCTCTCAGCGGGTCTGTATGAACCCTGCCGCGACTGACGAAGCCGACCCATGGTGGAGACTTGGACATTGGCGGTGCAGCAACACAGCGACAAAGTACAGGAACGTGGATGGGCATGCAGCACCGATCGCCAAAGCGCCGCTCTCACGGATTGTACTAAGTTGGCGACGCTCGTTCTCGCATCGAAATATCACACGTGTGAGCCGGAAGCATTCCCTCTTAGCGGGAACGGCTCGCTGCTTGCCGAGTGTCCAGGCTTGACCGAGTCCCGCTGGGTCAAGACATGATACAGGACATGACATGCACGAAAGCTACGACGAAGCGCTACACTCGTGATTATAGGCTCCCATCAAATCTCTTGCCACTGTTCGCGCATTCACGATTGCTTGAAAAGTTCGCGTCAAAGCGCTGATATCCCTCGCAACCCTCTGAATTTGGTCTTGAAGGCAGTTGCGGTCGAACCACAGGAGAAGCCGTCGAAGCCTTGCGGCTGCTGGCCACCTCCCGACGACTCAATGTCAGCCGTTTCCTTCACACGATGCTTTCACATCGGGGGCCCAAGCGCGGCGCTATGCGCTAATGCATGCTCACTGGGCATGATGGCACGTCCAAGTGAGTAGCTGGACGGTCAGGTAAATCGCATGTGGATTTGAGAGATATGCTCTGGTGGCGGAGCGCGATCCCCGCTTGCCTGACGCCGATGCTCAGACTGTGAGGGATAGGTCAGATCAGGAACGGGCAGGGTGCCAAGCTGAACCGCAAGGCACGGGCACACTCACGACTGTGGTTGGTGCGTGTCGACTGATGTGTAGCAATCCTCTCTGCGAGCGCCTTCCACAGCACTACAGCAGCACATGTGAGCTTGGGAGCGCCCCGATTGAGATGCATAAGCTGCTCGCTAGCGTGATCGTAAGACGCCGGGGCGGGCGCGCACGGCCTCGCCATCACCGCGCCCGAGGCGTGTTGTTTTTTTACATCTCTTCTACAGCCGGCGACAGAGTCGTGGCTTCCGACTGGTGGGCGGCCCGATGCACGTATATCATGCATGCGCAGAAGGCCCAAATAATTTGGTCGTTTGAAGGCCGTGTCGTCGCAAGGCGGCAACGCGCACGAGGCCGTCTTGGTTTGACGTCGACTCGTCTTTCTTGAGGGAAGAGTGCTCGATCGCTTTTCATCAGTCACAATCACGGTCGTGACTGGGCAAGTCGTGCTCCTAGTTGAGCTACATTCGAGGCTCGCTGGACGCTCGTCAGCATCGTGACATGGTGTCATCATGAAAGTCCAGACTACGAGGCGTAAAGCTCAGCTCGTGCCAGATGAGGAGGCCGTCGTTCTGCTGAAGTGCCCAGCCTCGTGCCTAGCTCGATGGAAAGCTAGGTGTGGTCCGCGAGCCGTGAGTGTAGCCAGCAAGATAAGGAATCACGAATTCAAGGCACCGGAAATTGGATCGGCAGTGCGCGAGTGTCGGCATGCAGACAGCTCTCAAGATGTGGACTAATCAGCACTCGGAGCACTCAGCTTGACGCTGCGATAGTGCCATGGGACGAGACGACGAACGCCCATGCACTTGCGGGAGTGGACGTACTTCGTTGATGCATTCGAGCGTTTGCCACACAAGGACGCTGGCACGGCCCCATGCCCAAAATGGTGCGCCTTTCCAGCTGACTGATGCGAGTGTGGTCCCCGAGGGAAGCGATACCCCTTTTTTAGCAACCTTGCCCTACATATAGTTGTAAGAGTGTGCTTGGCTAAACGGCAAGCCAGGTGAGACAGAGCAGCGTTGCACGCAAAGTCGGCCGCGCCCCGCGAAGATTGGGAGGGCCGCACATTACCAAAGGAACTGGCTGGACCCTTGCTTGCACCCTCCGGGCTCATTTAAGTGCGGGGCAGCAGGGCGCGGGGGTTCCTGGGCTTGCATCGGAGATGGTGCCTGTGGTCAGATGAGATGGCAAGAAGGGTGGTCTCCTAGCTTGGATCACGACTGACGGCGCGCTGGAGAGGCAGAACACAGCAGGTCTTGAGTCAGGCACCTGCCTAGTCACCCCGCTCGGCAAGAAGGTGCAGCACTAGCGGCTCGAGATCGAAGCTGCGTTTGTGGGGCAGCGGCAGAGGACTCGCTAGGAATTTATCCGTACTCTAAGGCGGTTGCGACACAACAGTCGTTTCCGCGGTCTTGGCCGTGGCGCCGCTTAAGCGAGCTCAAGCGAGCCTCCTGCCAAGAAGAACGCTTCTCTCTTGCGCTGCGCTGCCCTCTGCTGCGCGTAGCACATATGTACTGTAGAACACGAGTGCGACTTCCCGCCTGCATTCGAAGGGGCATCCCGTTCACCACAAAATGCGTCGGCAGCAGACCGATTACGTGTGCTCATCGCCGTTTGCTGCCAGAGCGAGAGAGAGATAGTGAGCGCTCGGTCGAGCCATGGGCTCATCAAAAGGGGGAATTCGCTGTCGAGTCAAGCGCGATCGCACGGCCTGATACTGACATCAGACTCAGACTGCACGTCACGTCGCGGATCTTATGCAAGTATGAGACCTGCTCCGGAACCGCATAGGCGCCAGGAGAGCGCTGTGATTTATTGCTGCACGCGCCCGGCATGATCGAACGACTCGGCGCATCAGACGCTCGGTGCCGCATGACGGGGGTCTCAGAAGGGCCGACTGATGCTTCTCAAGGAAGCCAGCGCGCAACAGACTCCACACACTGATTGGCAGGTGGAAATGTCGCAAGCGCTTCGAAATTGAGGCAGACTCGCGCGCAGCAGGCATGTCACGACGCTTCTCACCCGGCTTTAGGAACGCCCGAGAGATTTTAGCGTGGGCAGATGGCTTCCATCAATTCGCGAGTGCGCGCCACTTGCTCGCAAAAGCTCACAGGGCTTCCCGCGCCAGCGTCAAGGGTTTCGAGAAAAGGTCGCTGCTCGGTGAGCGCCCTACCAGACGATCCTCGTCACGAATTTTAGCTCCCCAGAGTCGCACATGCTGCTTGTTTACGTCCCTCGGGCATAGACATACGTGCGACTACCATGGAGTGCCCGCAAAGACGTGCTTAGCAGAGTGGGGTGCATGCATGCTCGGGACGCTACTAGCGCTCCTACTCACAGCCACACCATCGTCGAGATCGTTGGCGGCAGGTCTTGCCAGTAATGGTTTGCTACGGGAAGGTGCGTCTAGGGCCTAGGCGGCAAGGCTCTGCCGACCATCGACGCGCGATGCTAGGGTTCTGGCCATGAATCCGTATTGCAGCGGGAAGTGGTGTGCGGTGCAAATCACCGAGACTGCCTATAGGTGGGGCATGGGCATCGGAGCTGCTTCGGACTAGAGCTCCTCGTTGCCGAATCCTCGGTGATTTGTACTCCGGTGAGGAGAGCTCTCAGCATAGATGGGCTCTGAGTTCGTTCATTTCTCCATTCTCCATAAACGTAGGGCGGTGTCTTGCGTGAAGTAAGCAGCTTCACGCCCGTGCGCTTCCCGCTCCGACTCGGAAGAAACGGACGAATCAGAGGAGCTCCCTGAGTTGCTCGTGCTTAATCTCTCAGACGGACCGTGCTCCAGTGACTCCGGCTGAGACCAGTGTCTTGCACCTGAGGCTGTCACAATCAGGGGAAGCAAGGGGTGCGCGGAGACGGTAGCAACAGCATCTGGTGATTTTGTGATGGCGTGCATCAGCTAGGCTCGTCCTCGTCGTGGGCAAATTTGAATTCTCACCTGAACCAGTGCTCCAGCTCGCACTCGCCTGCCACGTGTATGAAAGGATTTTGGCAGAGTCACCAAAGCCTTCTGCCGCATCGCCATCAACAAGCTCGGTGTCGTGTCCCGGCTCCTTGGAGACCCTCCACGCGGAGACCCGACCGTTGAGATCACCGGCCAGTAGCCAATGACCGCTCCAGTCCACATCGAAGAAGAGCCGCTGCATACTTTGCACTTGCGAGGATGAACCAGCAAGTCTGCGCGAGAACCCACCAAGGGAGGCAGCTCTGGGCGCGGTGGAGCTGAAATTAGGCCTGGAGCCCGTGTAGCGGAGGTCGTACGCTTGAATGCGATCTGTGCATCGGGAGCTGATGAAGAGAATGTAAGGAGCAGTGGGGTGAAATCGTAGCTTTAGAGTGGCAAGGCGGAGATTCGATATCCCGAAGAGTAAGCCACAATGTCAGCCGTATCTGAGGTGCCGAAAATCCGCTTCAGCAGTACGCACCTGGGAGATGCCTCTGCTATCTGGCTCCCTCCAGCCCGCAAAGAGGCACTCCGAGGCCTCGGTGAGAGCACCGGGATGATATAGCCCAACGGTGCCAGCAAAGGTGCCCACGGCAAGAACTTGTTGGCCTTGACCGTCTGTCGTCCAATTCCAACCAATGGCGACGCAGCTCACGAGCCCTCTTTGACCCGGCTCTTGATGTTTGCGAAGGCGCCGTCCAGGAGTCAGGGGCATGGTGATAGGTGCCTGTCCCGATACGGAGACATCAAACACCGATAGACTGCTAGCATGACCTGCGTAAAGTCTTTCAGATTGGCAGCGAGAACAGAATGAGCTCTTCGGGGCGAGCACACTTCTAATTTTGCAAAGACTCACTGGGTGCCATCCAGACTAAAAGCCAGGCTTTGAGCGCCCACGAAGCGCTCGACGTGGTCCTGAATTGGGTATGCGGCTCGAGTCTGAAGGAAGAGCGTCGCCGCAGAGAATATGCAACCATTAGGCCAAGTAAATCCATGAGAACCTTTCCCCTACACCCGACTGGCAGACTCACGCGCCCGCTGTAAGCGTCAACGAGTCTGATCGGCACATCTCTGGCGCTGAATGCAAAGCACCAGGTAGCCGGATGGTCGAAGCTAGCAAAGGGGTACCATACGACGTCGAGCAATGGCGAAGGTGCAGGCACTGTCAGCACGAAAATCAGACGATGCTCGTCGTCCTTCGTGTCAAGCTTATAAAGCTGAATCTCGTGGTTATCGCATTGAGCCAGCACGTGAGTACCATCAGGAGCCCTAAGTGTCAATGGACGACATGTGAACGGACTTGAGCATGGCTCCGAAGCATTTGGCAGGCGTTTCGGGGCGGCAAAGCCTGTGGCCGGTACACCTTACATACCATCTCGTTTGCCGCCAGATCGCAGGTGCACCCGACACGTTTTCTCCAAGTGTCTTTGACCTCCGTCTTGGAACGATTTCGCTTCTGATTTCTGCGCACAGGAACGGCTGTTTGAGATTCACAAAGATCCGCGAAGGCGAGGCGAAGGTCGCTGGATAGGTTTCCATGTCACCCTCCGCTTGCTCGTCCATGTTGCCGTTTCCTGCTTTGCGCTCAATCCATGTTTAACGCGCCGATCTTTCCTTGAGATCCCACTTCCTCGGGCTCGCTCCATGGATCTTCGAGTGACACTCGGCTTTGCGTCGTTGACAGTCCTTCCAGAGGTGCAGAGATTGAAGGTGGCCTTCTCTGCTGCCACGAGCGTGGAATGAGTCAGAACGAGATGGCATCGCACTCTAGACTCAGACTCGATCTGGATGGTGACTGCAGCAGAGAGTCGTGAGTCATTCACGTGATCGGCTTTGCGCCTCGCTTTCCACGCAGCGTGACTGCCAGATTCAACAGCACACGCACTCACGAATTCACGACGCGCATGCACACCTAGCTGCAGCGCGCGCACATGCGTCCGCTACTTCCTCGGATGAGCGTGCACGCTCCTCCGCGCATTTGCGTGTTGGTCTCACTCACCACCAGCACCCGGTGACTCTTGACTCGAAGGCGTTCTGCGGCCAGTCGAGCAACGTCCTCACTACGGCTGCGGACAACCTCAAAGAAGCGTCTTAGCAGCCGCCCGTGAGCTGCTGAACGGTTCGTCCAGCTAGAAATCCGAAAGACGCTGACGACAAGCTCCACTCAGCGCTTTCAACATGCCGGTCCCCGAAAAGATCGCTGGTGACTGGGCGCCTGCCGCCTATCGGACAGTCGCGGAGGAGCTCACATCCACCATCGATCTTGGCGGCTCAGCATCTGAGATTATCGACTCGCTCGTGCACATTCACTACTCTGTATATGCGGCCGCCGAGAGGCTGAAGAAGCGTCAGGGTCGGAGGCTGTGGATGGGACCAAGGAGCTTCTTAGACTTCATTCATCACTGTGAGTCCAGCCGCCGCATGCCTGAAGCCAGGTAGGTATTGCACAATGTAGCTGAGCATACCTGATGATCGTTGTCACAACCCTCAGATGTCTCGCTCACAAACGAGAAGCGTTCTGCGCTCGAAGAAGAGCAACGACACCTCAATGTTGGTCTTGACAAGCTCAAAGAGACTGTGAGTAAAGAAGACGAGGCCTGCTTCACATTCGTGAGCTCATATGATACTCTTCTTGGTGCTCGCTCGCAGGTCTGGGCTGTGGAGGAGCTAAGGAAGTCGCTCGCTGTCAAGGACACGCAGCTGAAGGCAAAGAATAAGGAGGCTAATGACAAGCTGCAGCGAATGGTAGCAGATCAGAAGCAAGCTGAGGACAGGAAAGTGGAGTCGGAGCGAATGCAAAAGGAGCTCGTCCGACAGCAGGAGGGTATCGTGGTGCGGCGTGAAGAAGTCGAGGCCGAGCTGGCCAATGCCGAACCCGCAGTGCAAGACGCAAAGGCCGCTGTCAGCAACATCAAGAAACAGCACCTGACAGAAGTTCGTTCGATGGGAAATCCGCCTGCACCGGTCAAGAATGCGATGGAGAGCGTCTGCATCGCTCTGGGTCACAAAGTAGACAGCTGGAAGACTGTGCAAGGTATCATTCGCCGAGACGACTTCATTGCGTCCATCGTCAACTTCGACACGGAGAGGCAGATGAACAAGGCTGTGCGCGACAAGATGCGTCGCGACTACCTCTCAAAGCCAGACTACAATTTCGAGCAGATCAACCGCGCTTCCAAGGCTTGTGGCCCACTAGCGAAGTGGGTCATTGCGCAGGTGGAGTACTCGGACATTTTGGACAAGGTCGGTCCGCTGAGAGAGGAAGTCAATGCGCTCAGTGAAGAGGCAGAAAGATCACAAGCAGCAGCTGCAGCGACATTGGACATTATTGCCCAAACGGAACGGGACATCGCGCGCTACAAAGAGGAGTACGCCGCATTGATCAGCGAGGTGCAGGCCATCAAGAGCGAGATGGAAAGAGTGCAGACGCGTGTCAACAGGAGTATTCAACTACTCGACAGTCTCGGATCCGAAAAGCAGAGGTGGGACAGCGCAAGCAAGACCTTTGACACCCAAATGAGCACCATCGTTGGCGACGCTCTTCTCTGTGCTGCATTTCTGACGTATGCTGGATACTTTGACCAACAATACCGCGAAGGTCTGTGGACAGGCTGGGTGGATCACCTCACTGGAGCAGAAGTCAAATTCAAGTCGGGATTGAGCTTCACGGAATACCTGTCTACAGCTGATGAGCGCTTGGATTGGCAATCGAAAGGCCTGCCATCCGACGCACTTGCTACTGAAAACGCCATTATGCTACAACGCTTCAGGCGCTACCCTCTTCTTCTGGATCCTTCTGGTCAGGCGACCGCCTTCTTGCAAAAGTGGTACCAGGATCGAAAGCTCACAGTCTCCTCATTCCTGGACGAAGCATTCGTCAAGAACCTCGAATCTGCGCTGCGTTTCGGCCAGCCTATGCTCGTCCAAGACGTCGAGAATTTGGACCCCATCGTCAATCCAGTCCTGAACGGCGAGCTCAGACGCACTGGTGGCAGAGTGTTGATCCGGGTCGGCACCCAAGAAATCGACTTTAGCCCCTCTTTCACGATGTTTTTGTCTACGCGCGATCCATCAGTGGAGTTCACGCCGGATGTTTGCTCGCGGGTCACCTTTGTCAACTTCACAATGACTCGCGAGTCCCTCCAAAGTCAAAGTCAAGATCAAGTGCTCAAGGCCGAACGACCCGACACGGACAAGAAGCGCACGGACCTGATGAAGCTGCAAGGAGAATTCCAGCTTCGCCTGCGCCATTTGGAGAAGAGCCTTCTAAACGCGCTCAATGCTAGTGAAGGCAACATTTTAGATGATGACAAGGTGATCGATACCCTCGAAACTTTGAAGAAAGAGGCTCGCGAGGTCACCACAAAGGTAGAAGAAACGGAAGCTATCATGCAAGATGTAGACGCCGTCACTCGACAGTACGAACCACTTGCCAAGGCATGCTCTTCCCTTTTCTTCGTGCTCGACCAGCTCAACCTCGTCAATCACTTTTACCAGTTCTCACTCCGATTTTTTCTGGATATCTTTGACTTTGTGCTGCGCCGCAACCCTCATCTTCAGGGTGTCTCAGAACCCTCGGAGAGGCTTCGGATTCTAACCCGCGACCTCTTCTTGGTGGTGTACAAGCGCACCAGTCGAGCTCTTGCACATCGAGACCACGTCATGCTTGGAGCTCTCTTGGCACAAATTTGGAGTCGCGAAGGGTCGGAGCCTGAGGCGCTCGACTCTGAGGAGTACGACTTCCTGCTCGAGGGCGGAGATGTAGTTGGTCAACCTCCTGCCTCGACAGGAGGCATCTTGGATCAAATCTTCTCTCCAGAGCAACGCCAGCGAGTCGAAGCTTACAAGCGGCTACCTGTATTTCGCGGCTTGACAAATCACGCGGAGCAGCATTCGGACGAGTGGCGAGAATTCCTAGCGTCTGCAACTCCAGAGACCGCTGTGCCACGCTTCTGGCCAGAGACAACAGGTGCGTGAGCTGTCGACTGGTATGATTTCACAGAGGCGAATGCATCGTTGACGCAAGTCTACCACAGATCTCGCGGACCTCGTGAGGCGCATCTTGGTTGTCAAATGTCTGCGGTCGGACAGAATCGTGCAAGCGATGACGACACTTGTCAACACAGTGTTCGGTGCAGACATACTTGCCGACACGGCTTATGATCTGAAGAGCATCGTATCCGATGAAGTAGGTGCTCAAACTCCAATCGCGCTGTGCTCCGTGCCTGGCTTCGACGCCAGCTACCGAGTTGATCAGCTGGTGCGATCAACAGGTGTGAAGTGCATCAGCGTTGCTATGGGATCCGCCGAAGGTTTCGCACAAGCTGATCAAGCCATTTCAAACGGTGTGAGGACCGGCCAGTGGGTTCTTCTGAAGAACGTGCACTTGGCGCCAGAATGGCTCTCTCAGCTTGAGAAGAAGCTTTCGACCACCACACCGAATCGCAATTTCCGACTATTTCTTACTTGCGAGACTGTACCATCAATCCCTGTCAACTTCTTGCGAGCCTCGCGGATCCTCATGAACGAGCCGCCTCCCGGTATCAAGGCGAGCATGCTGGACAGTCTTCGAGGCATCGCTCCAAGCCGTCTGCAAAAGGGACCTGCAGAATCGATGCGGCTGTTCTTCTTGCTATCCTTCCTGCATGCCACTCTGACCGAGCGTCTGCGCTACACGCCTCTCGGTTGGTCGAAGACGTTCGAGTTCAATGACTCTGATGCTGAGACAGCACTGGACACCATAGATGCATGGGTTGGAAGGGTTGCCAAAGGTCGCGCCAACATTGATCCAGCAAGCATTCCTTGGGACGCACTGCGGTCACTGATCAAGACCACCGTGTATGGCGGCAAGATCGACAACGAAACAGATCAGCTGCTTCTCGACACTTTTGTCAATGCTATTTTCACCCCTGCAGCGTACGAGTCCGCCTTTCCTCTAGTCGACAATGAGCAAATGCCGCTCATTGCTCCAGAGGGAACGCAAATGGACCAGTTCATTGCGTGGGTGCAAAAGCTGCCCGAACAGCAGCCTCCCCAGTGGCTCTCGCTTCCGCCAACTGCAGAGCGAGTCATCGCGACAGCGCAAGGTGCTGCCCTGCTCAACAAGCTCGTGCGTATGCGTGAGCTCGCGGACGATGACGACGTGGCCCCAACTGCGGCGACTACTGCGCCGCATGAGGGCACGGCGTCCTCTAGCGCTCACGCCCAGCCAGTGTGGATGAAGACCCTACAACAAAACGCCATCGAATGGCTGAAAGTTTTGCCTGGGGATATTTCGAAGCTGACGGGCACCTCTTCGAGCATTGCGGACCCTCTGTTCCGGTGAGGCTGCGCCAGATAGATAGTAGACGACTCGTTTGCGCCCAACGCTAATTTTGTTGATCTGCCCTCGCTCCTGGCTCCAGTTTTTGGGCCCGCGAGCACCGGACTGGTGCGTCGTTGCTAAAGACAGTACGTTCAGATCTCGAGGAAGTCGTGTCCGTTTGTGCCGGAGAGACGCGGCAGAACAATCACAACCGAAATTTGCTGAACGACTTGCCCAAAGGTGCGTCACGTCAGCCAGCGCGTCGATTTGCTCTCCTACCACGCTCACACCGATCGCGGTGATTTTTCTCAGGTGTGATACCAGCATCGTGGAAGCAGTACGCGACACCCAAAGCAATGTCTTTGGGTCTTTGGATCGCCGACCTCACACAACGTCTTGCCCAGCTGGAAAGCGTCACCAAAGAGAATCGGTACGACCGCTTTGCCGTCGTGCTGGGTCTACTCTTCTCGCCGGGCGCGTACTTGACCGCTACGAGACAAGCTGTCGCTCATACGACACGCGTCAGTCTGGAAAACCTCAAGCTTGATCTGCGCGTCAATGATGGGGGTCGCACAGAGAATGGCTTCGCGATTGAAGGTACGCAAATGACCACGTTCACGCCCCTTATATTCTGTCTCTGACACTGAAATCATGCTTTATGGGCGCGCCCAATCAGGTCTCAAACTGGAAGGAGCAGACTGGCTAGAAACCTTTCTCGACGTCAACGATGGGCGCACAGTCAGCTTGTCGCGCAGCAGCATTCTCTGGCTCGACGGAGCTGCTGACGGCGCGGACCCGACGGATACGCCGTCATCTGCGCCTGCGCGGCACGTTCCAATCACCGTCTACCTGAACGGCGACCGCGACAACACGTTGTTTCATGTCAAGCTACCAGCAGCTCAAAGCTTGCCCGTGGCCACGGTCGCTCAGAGGGCTGTCGCAGTCCGAGCAGCTTGACCAAGCAGCATCTTTTGCTTGTCAAAGCCGATGTGATTGCAAGCAGACCAGACCTGTAGCGTCTGCGGTCGAATGTGTTGGCGTTTTGTAATTGTACAGATTGCGTAGAAACATGATGATGTGCGGGTATGAACCTGACGCGTAGTTCTGATGGGTCAGTTCGCGATTCGTGAATGGCAAACATTTACTCCCTGCTGGGAGCAAGCGGAGAGCGCCTCGAAATCGAAGTTCGAGGCACTTCGACGGTGGGAGTCGATCTTGCGGGCTGGGAAAAAGGGCGTGCGGACGAGGCAGGGGGTTTGTATACGATTTCGTCATCGCTTTGCTCAGTGTCGACGGTAAGTTCGTCTTCATCCTCCGACTCTTCCTCATCTTGCAGGACTATTTTGCGTCGAGCATGGGCGCTTCTGGACGTTCCTGCAAAGCTCGCCGGCACAGACCTAGTCGAACGGCGAATCGGCTCGGAAGTCTTGGAAGACGAAGAGGAATCGGACTGCTCCTCCGATCCTTGCGCCGTCGAAGGGGAATCGAAGCGATCGATGCGCAGCCTGGTGCGCGAAGAGGGTCTCGTCTTTCGTTGCAACTCTGTATTCGCCTCCGAAAGAGCGCTGCTCGACGATGGCGATCCACCCCTCTTTGGTCTTGCGACAATCCTACGCAGAGACATACGCGCGATTCTGCCATCTTGAGCTGACCTGCTCACACTCGGGCCCACCGACAATGCGCGAGGTGCTAGTGGTACAGGTGGCCTGGCTGGAGTAGGTACAGCCGACTCGTCCTCGTTTCGAAGCGTGATTCTCTGCCTTTTGCGTATCCTTGGCGGCTCATCTTCGGAATCTCTGAAAGACGAGAGGCTGGTGCTAGCAGTCGTAGTATGGGAATCTTTGCGTTCAAGTTCAACGGCGCCCTCGGTATTGTCGGAGCGTGCCTGGGCCCCGTTCTCTTCGCGGCCCTTCAATGCCATCAATTGCGCTTCCAGGGCAGCGAGCCTGCTTGCCGCACTCGACATTGAAGCCTGGCCAACCGCTGCGTGCCTCTTTCCATCGTCTTGCACGCGACGTGCGCTCGCTTCGATCTTAGCGTCGAGCGCCGCCTGCGCCGCCTGAAGTTTCGCCTCGTACGATGTCATGCGTTCTTCGAGTGCCTGCTCTCGCACTGCCACCTTCTCCTCGCGCTGTGCCAGAGATTTTTCAGCCACTACGAGCTCCTCGTTCTTCTTGTCCACCATCGCTTGCCATTGTCTTTCCTTCTCCTCCAGCTTCGCGCGAGCCGCCTCGTCTCGAGCTTGCCCATCTTGCACAAGCTTTTGCAGCGCCGTTGCGATTGAACGCAAGTTCGCTTCCGCTGGGCCCGACGACCCGTTCTGTCCTCGATCGACAACATTGCCAAGCTTGGCATCTATCTGCACGTGCTGATGTTCCAAAGCCGTGATGCGTTGCTGCAAATGGACTGCAGAGGCCGCAGGCAGAAGTTGGGGAAGCTGCTTCTCCACCTTATCTAAGCGCTCTCGAAAGCCGCTGTCCATCTTTCGAATGTCCACGGACAGACCATCACGCACCGCCTCAAGGGTCTTGCGTTGCGCCTCTAGACGCATCTCGACATTTTCGCCTCTCGCGTGATTGTTCGGAGTGGTTGCCTGCTGCACACCGTGCGGGGAGCCGCCCGAGGACTGGGCTTTCATGGAGTTTGTAACGTATTCTCGTAAGCTGTGTAGCGCCGCGTTCTGCTGCTCCTGTGTAGTCCCGAGACGATGGATTTGGTGAGCGTGATTTTGCAGTCCAAATCTATGTTCCCCGCCCTCCACATCCAGCTGGTTCACCGCTCTTTGCAGGCCTACCAGCCTCCCAACCCCGGAGGTAGCCCGAATCAACCTTTCACGCGTCTCTTCATCAGCATTCCTCCGTATCCTGCTCGAGGCTGTCTTGCTGGCTGCAGCGGCTGTCTCCGCAGTGAATTGCGCAGTATAGCGTGAAGTCCACCGTGCAGGCGCGGCCGGGGGACTAGCCCAGGATGGGTTCGCACTCTCACGTACAGCAGTGGTGCTTGACGCCGGTGGCGCTGGAGTCGCATTGGGCTGAATTGTAGCTGCAGGTCGCGTGAATTGGACCGGCGAGACAGCTTGAGCAGTCTGAGGTTGCGATGCGGCCTGAGACTGGTTCGCAGCCTGACTCTGCGTGCTGCTGGGCGGAGCAAAGGGTCCCTGCGGAGGACGCTGCTGCGCCCGTTGCTGTTCGTGCAGCTTTTGTTGATGCTGCTGATGCTGCTGTTGCTGGTATCTCTGTGGACTCGCCAGTTGTTGTTGGTGCTGCAGAAGTTGCTGATGCTGCTGCTGTTGAAGCGACTGCTGAGCAGGAGTGTGCAGCGCGCGCTGCCACTGTTCAAGCCCAGCAATCGACAGTGGATGCTGCAAATATGGATTGGTCGACACCAAAGCAGGTGCAGGGATCGCTTGAAGCAATTGAGCCGCGGAAGGGGAATGCTGACTCCTGGCATGATAATTCGTAGGTGATCGGCTTTGATGAGCCGGTCCATGCGGTTGCTGTGCGGGTGCTGATTGTTGCACGTGGGTCGAGCCCGAAGCAGCGCCATAAGGTGGCCTGGCTTGCACTGGCGACTGTGGATTCTGTGTCTGCACAAACGAAGAAATGACCGGCGCGGCAGAGGTGCGAATGGGCCCGGAATTGGTCTGCAGTGGCTGAGAATGCGGAACCGACTGGGAGACGAGACTTTGCTGACGCTGTTGTAGAGGCGACACTCTGCCTCCCTGCTGAATGCGTCGTTGACTCTCGCGATCCACCATCATATCAATGAGCGCGCGAACAATACGCTGGAGCGTTTGATGCAGCGAGCCAGGTGTTTTGGAAGAGAGCGTGTTGATGATGCTCAGCACGCGCAAGCACGACGCATATTTGAGCGACAAGACTGTGCTGAATGTGGGAGGTGCCAGGAGCGCGTCGGCAACACCTACACCTTTTTGCTGAGCGAGGATCAACGACTGCTTGATGACTTTTAGGTGCTGATCGATCTCCACTCCGCTCGAAGCAGTGTTGCTGAAGTGATTGGGTGCAAAGGATGCCTTCGCCTTGGCCGCTGCGAACAGCTCGTAGTTGGGATCGCGACGCGGGTCGGGTGGGGGAGTGTCGAGCTCTGTCAGATCGATGACTGTGAGGTCCGCAACTGTCTCGTCTGACGAGGATGGTGTCCGTGCTTTGGGTAGTGATGGGCCTGCTTCTGAGATTTCACCTGCACTTGCGTCACCCGAGGTGGCTTGTTGAGAGCTTACCTCAGCATTCTCCAGCTCCTGTCGAGACACCTCTCTTTGGGCGCTTTCCGGCCTGGCGCCCTCCGCGTCGCGTTCTAGATGACTGGTTTCCCGTTCCACAGTCTCTGAATTTGGTTGCTCAGCAATCAAAGAGACAAATGTACTCGTAGCGCTAGCTGTGTTCGCATTTCCATGTGCTGTTGAGTCTTGATGGAGCCGCGGCAGGGAGTTCATGTCAGAATGGTGTGATCGATCTCGATTCAACTCGACCGAGTGAACAAGAGCCCACCTTCGCTTTCTTGGCCTGCAATCATGCCACTCGTGCGACGTAGAAAGGGCAGTGCGCGGCTTTCTGAAATTAATGGGAGGCGTTTGTTCGGCGGGGGCGCCGCCCCAGCGAGGCAAACCTTTTTGACAGTCCTGGTCTAGAGCCACATTGGTGTGCTTTTCCGTGAGATCGCGTCAGGATGAGATGATCGTGGAGGACGCATTCACGCGATTCCACTGAAGCGTGGCGTCGAAGGGGAGAGGTCGACAGAACGTGCAGGAAGGTCAGGCGAGTTGTGGGACGGCAAAGGTCCTGATCCGAAGGATGCGAATGGGAGCGATGGTCACGCCAGTCTTGGATTTCTGTGGTTGATCAATCAATCGTCTGTCATCAGGAACGGCCATCAGCAGCTGATCGTCGCTGTAAAGGCCTACCTACACACATACATTCACTCGTGACTCACAACTTTGCCAGACTCAGCACGCCCCGCCATGCATAAATCAAGAATCTGGCGCAACCGCGAATTAAGGGCGCGCGCGCGGTCGAGTCGCGACGCGTTTGAGTGCCGCATTTCAAAATTCTGATTAGTGAACAGGCTCGGTGGTATCTAAACTTCTCTCTCTATCTAGCATTCAATTTCTTGATCAAAAATCCAAGTTTTGTCCCTCAAACCGACTTATTGCTGGCCTTCTTCGATTTGTATCATCAGAAATCCTCGATCAGACCCAACACTTTTGAAATCAAGAATAGGAGCTTGCGCTCCAGGACTGAATCTTCGTGTAGTACACTACAATTTTCAACATTCAAATCCACGAATTCTTGATTTCAACAAGGTGTATACCTAGACTCTTGACTTGACTTGATTCGACGTTCGGTCACGTGTCACAGCCGCCATGTGCGTCACTCTGCAGAGTTCTCTCTATCATAAAGGCAGCAGCAGGCGCAGAGAGGCGAGTCACCGAGCTTGTTCCAGGCCGCGTGTGCTTAATCGTGAATCTGTGTCAAAAAAACATACACTCGACTCATCAGCACGAGTCGCGTGCGCGCGTACGTGAAGCGAAATTTGGCCGAAATCGATGCGCACGACAGACATATTATAGCGCTGCCGCATCACGAGGTGAGCTTGGTGTGGGGCCGGCCGCTTTGTGCTTTTTTTGGCCTTCTGGGTCTACGCAGTCACGAGTCATCTCGAGAACTCTGATGAGCTCGACAACCATCAGCACCGTACGCTTGTGACTCATCCAATTCTTGATTCCGACATTCCCTTGGCGACCTCACACACAGCACGATCACCATCTTGTCAGGACAGCAGCAGTTGTTGACCTTCATCACCATCTCGACAGACCCTTCAGCTTGCACAGCACAATCACTCTCCCCGAGTATCTTCGCCTCGCTCCTCGTCCCACCTTGCCTGTTTGCGACTAGACAGCAAAGCTCTCGCATCGCCCATCAAAGCACCTCTCACGCTCGAGGGAGATTGCAGCTGCATAGAGATAGAGTCGCGGCAACAATGCGGGAAGCAGCAGCACCTCTTTTAGAGCTCTTGAAGCATGGATCATCGCACTCGACCCCGCAAACACCTCCGGGCGACGGGCTTACAGCCGAACAGTGGTCGAGCGTTATAGGCTGGATATCTGTTGCGTGTTGGGTGCGTGATACGCTTCAGTGGTCGTCTGCAAGACGAAGTCGATGGGGACGAGGCAAAGGCGTTGTGTCGATCGCATTGGTAGAGGCGCCAAGCGAAAGTCTCTTCATGATCATCACCTTCGATCACGAGTCGCGTCACCTCGCACTTTTTGCCCCCTTGCTTGCTTCTCCGCTTTTCTCGCACATCAGCTGACCATACGCTCTTTCCCCTCTTCCTTTTTTCTTTTGTTTGGTGCTGGGCGCGCTCGCATCTCTGCCGTCCAAACCTCCACGCACACGCGCGCATACAAAAAGGTGATCGTCTACAGTCCGTGAGCATCGCAAGCCTCGTGCACCCAAAAAGGCTCATTTAGTTCTTCTTTCCATGCATATTGGCTGAAATGTTGCCTAGATCCTTCCCTCTTGGAGTCAATTGTGGGAAAATTACGTGTTGAAGTCGGGAGAAGGACTCTCAGTCGCTTTTCTCGCCATTTGGCTGCTGGGCGATGCGCTCAATTTTGTGGGAGCTTGGAGGCAGGGATTGCTGGTCACCATGGTGAGCGGGTAGTGGGTGCGCACGTATGCTGGTTGGTACGCTTGGCTCACTCTTGTCAACGACCATCTCGGATGCGCTCTCACAGGTCGTGCTGGCGGGATACTACTGTCTATGCGACATCGCTTTGATAGGACAAGTGAGCACCTTGGAGTAGCACCTCTGAACTCAAGATTGCGCATGCTCATCCTTTGCACATCGCTTGTCTTGCAGTATTACTGGTACAAAAAGTATCACGACTTTTACCATCCACCCGTCGGCTCTCTTGCGCACGAGACTACGCCGCTCGTGTCGAACCTCGCATCTCCCGCACGAGCCAGCGCCTCGTCCATCTCGGTAGCGACGATCGGCCCAGTGCCGTGTAAACAGCCAAAGCAGACGAGTTGGCAAAGAGAGGCTCTGAAGTACTTTTTCGCAGTAGCTGTGGTTATCGCTACGGGAGTCATTGCTTGGCTCGTGGCCGATAGATATCCTCAGGATGACGGAGGACATCATGGTGGAGATCACAAGAGCCCAGACGATAAGCCAGGTTTGGTATGGGACGCGCAGGTGTCGGGCTGGGCGAGCGCTGCGCTGTATCGTAAGTGCCGCGCGACCAAAGCTTGTATGCATCTTTGCGCTGCGTGCTGATGCTGGACTCAACCGTCTCTTCACGCGTCAAAAGTCTTTTCACGAGTTCCGCAACTCAAGAAGAATTTGACCACAAAGTGCGAAGGTCTCAGCCTCGAGCTTTTCGTCTTTGCAGTGGCAGGGTGAGTCGTGCGATGCACACTGCGTTTTGTGAATTGGGCGCTCATGCCCTTCGTATGACCTGGCGCAGAAATTCTACATATGTCCTGTCCGTGCTGGTCAAGTCCCTCGATCGAGAATACCTGCTCGAAAATTCGAGCTGGATCGTGGGCAGTCTAGGTGCGTTTCGACCGCTAATGTTTCCCCCACTTGTCTGTATCCCATCGCTTGTCAGCCTGTGTGACTTACTTTGTGAGCCGCGCCTGGACTTCCACGCGCATGCAGGCACAATTCTCCTAGACTTTTGCGTGTTGGGTCAGTTCATCTACTATAGAAAGGATAGAGAAGAAGCGAGGTTATTGGCTGCTGCTGCTACTTCGGGTTATTCTCAACATAGACCTTCCGCCGGCGCTGGGCTGAGCGATTCGGAGCGACGTCAGGATGTATCTAGCGAAGCATGAGACAAGAGGAGGCCGCTTCATCTGGATCAGTATGGAGCGCTTACGGGTATTCATCTAAGTTGACTTTGCCAGGGAGGTACGCGTGTCCTATGCATTGTATCAGCAAATTTTGTTTTCCCTACAATAGCAAGCTCTGCCCCAATCGCATCATTCTACCGCCAGCACGTGCTTTGTCTCTTGATTGCGCGTCAAGGGAGATCTGATTTGCACCAGCAATGCCGCCGAAGTCACTTGTGACTTCTCCCATCAGAGCAAGGCAGACTTGAACCTTTGTGTTCAGCTTCAGAAGCATCAAGATGCAGGTCACGATGCCTCCTATCGCAATGTGGTGTTTGCGAAGCAGCAGCCCAATGAAGCCAAAAGCAACGACTTTCGAGTACGAGTGCACGATTCGTTAATTGTAGTTGGACGCCGATGTTGATTGATTCCCTGTGCTGAATATGACTATAGCTCGGCGCAATACCAAGTGTGCTCAGAAGAGGACTCGAGGCAATAAGATTAATGGCGAAGCGAATGTCCCTCTCGCAATCTAGGTTGGGGGACGAGCAAGAGATGACTAGACGTTCTTTCGCGACTCGGGCTTCGACTTTGATTCGGATCGCAAGAGCGCTTCGACCACGAGTTCCGAGCTGTGTACGCATCCTGCACGCGCCAGCAATACCACGACGGACAGAAAAGGTGAGCAGAGGGTGGAATAAAGAGATCAGCCGAGGCTGTCGAACGACTTTGTGAGAGGAAATTACCTACCACGACGCCTCACTCACCTTCCAACAAGGGGATGCCCGTGCTCCAAGATCCGCATGTCCAGATGCCTGGAAAGGGAGCAGCTTCAATGCTCGACGGTCCGCCTTGCGCGTGCCCTACATGCATCTCCCACGTTGGACCCAATGCTCTATCTCTGACGCGCAAGACGAGCCTTTGCAGACCGACTTTCGCACGCTGAAATATGGACACACGGTCAGCTCGATCGAGCGCAAGGGTCGCCGAGATGTTGCGAGGCCGCCATTCGAAAAGCGCTCCAGAGCTCTGCTTGGCATGAATGGACAGGATCGCTCTGTCGAACGAGCTCTGCGAGATGATGCACGATTTGTCGGGATACAACGAATCGAGTGGGTTAGTCGTTTGCAACAGGACGTTATTGCGAGAGCTGGAAGATGAAGCTTTGCAGATGATGTGCGTGGCCATTGTAGCTTCCGAAGCTTGCGAACTAGATGCAGAAGAATGTGGCAGCGTGACGAGGTTCAGGTCGCGCCAGTCCTTCTTGTTGGGAGGCAAGAGGGACGCGTCGGTGTGGTTGATGACCACGCTGCGCTCGTATCCGAACCTAGCCAGCGCCTCGGCAGTCACGCGGATCCGCTCGGATTCGAGCGAGCAGGCCAGCCTCTCGCCCTTGGAGGTGACGGGGTAGGATAAGAGAGTGTCGCTGTAGGCAGCCAAGAAACGAGCACTTTGATCTGCTTGCGTTGCCAAGATGACGTGAGCAAAATTAGTGTGCAGATGTTCCGTGTCGTCTTCTCGCACGAGCAAATTTGCTGCACCACTTCGAGATGAAGCGGGCAGCACGGCGAGCACACTCGTGCCGGTGTGTATATTAGAAGGCTGCAGCTCGCTCAGTAGGCGCTCTTGCACGGCACGGACCCCCGCAGCTACGGTAAAGTGACTGCGCGAAAAGGTGGCAGCAATATATGCGCTGTGGGAGACCAGGCAGCGCCGGTGAGCGCACATTCGCTCGTTCGAGGGCGCGAAATCACTCACAGAATCTCTGCTGCTGGTGCTTCTCTCACTGTCTGACCTCTGGCAGTCATAACGGCGCTGAACATGGGTATCAAGATGGTGTCTACGAAGCTGCGCCTGAGCTTGTGATGCTCGCACCAATCATGAAGGGGAGTGGTGGCGAGTGGATGAGTTGGATCGGTAGTATTGCCGAGATGATGATGCCATAGCGCGACGATTAGCAAGTACAAGTAGGAGATGATGAGGGTGATGAGCGTGGAGAGGTACGCTTTGAGGTTGTCCACGTGGCGAGATACTAGCGCTGCTCCACCAGTACTGCCTTCGCTCTGAAGCGACTCTTGACCCAGCGCGTTCGTTGTCATAAATAGCCTGGAAGGAAGTGAGACGCCTCGACCACCTGAAGAGCCTTCGTAAAGCAAGTGCGGCGAGGGATCTGGACGGCCAGACGCAGCGATGGAGAGGGTGCTGAAGCTGAATGTGAAATTGGAAGGTCTGGTCTTGATGCCTATGCGCCTATACAGCCGAAGCAGGCGCGGGTAATAGCCTGATGGGAGGCATTTGATGAGATGCAGCGTTGTTGCAGCTGTAAGCATATATGCTTCCTAAAGGGAAGATGTCGCACGCTCTCGCTCGCTGAAAGCGAGGTCCACTCACCAGCATTGAAGCTCCTCATTGGCGTGTCCACCCTTGACTTGCCCTCCAATTCCGCATTCTGCACACCCGCATCTCTGAATTGCTCGGGCACATCGATGCTCTGCGAGTCCATGCCGAGTTTTTCTGATCTCTCAAAGATGTGCACCTCCACATCAACAGCATCGCCGTCAGAGCTGGTTTTGGTGAGCAAGAGATGTGCAGCTACCAGGCCAGAAAGACCACTACCAACAATGGCCACCTTGATGCGTCGCTTGCGGGGGCCATTGCATCGTCCTTCAAGCCATCTGGCATCCTCGCTTGGGCTTGTAGCAGGTGAAGAGCTGGATGTAGAAGCCGATTGATGCGAGTCCGAGATGGCGTCTGAGAGCAGAATGGAAGGTGCCATGCTGTGCTTGTGCCTTTGCTCACGCAGACTGCAAGCCGTCGCAATTTGGTGGTGGAGTTTCAAGGCGCCATGGCGAGGATCGGGTGTGGCATTAAAAGGTCGTAGTAGGATTGTTGTCTGCTTCTGGTCGGAGATTCGTGTAGGTCGGTCGGTAGGAGTTGTAGGACCGCCGCTTCGTGCGTACACGTTCGTGATTTGTGATTGCACGCACAAGACTCGCTTAGCTGCCTACTTTTTATACCGCGCTTCCTACTCATATCTATTCACGATTATAGCTGCTGCATGCGCGTGCAGCAGCGGCAGCGAGCATGCTGCATCAGGCAAACGCGCGTCTTCCTTAATTTGCTCGCTTCCGCCGTACCACCAAGTCACGTGAGTGGGACAAGATGGTGGGTCTCGCTTCGACATCTTACTTCTTCTGCACCACCGCCAACTGGGAACTCCATGTTGTGCGTTCATTCCAACCTCGATCATTCATCCCTCTTCGCAAGATTTTCGTCGCTTCCACCGATAGGAAGCCTTGCGCAGGCACTTGCAGTCGCGATCATGAATGACGCGGCGCTGAACGTCTGTCGCAGCTGAGCGATCTCTTGGGCCACACCTCTGACAACATGTCAGCACCGCCAGCGCCTCTCCCACCGCTGCTGCACCCTCAGCAAGCTGCGTCACCCACACCTTCTCGTGGAGATGGCATTCCCGTCGAGGTGGAAGATGCGTTGAGGGCGTGGGGCGCGCAGACGATCCAAGATGCTACCATGCTGTTGGATCTGCCGCAAGTGGCCGCTGCTACTGCCTGCACCCTCTTTCAGAGATTCTGGTTCGTTAGCAGCATGCGTGACTTTTCCGTCATTGTGAGTGCATGCGCAGTACTCGAGAGGCACTTCGCGCGATTCATAAGCTCAGCGGAAGTGTTGTGAATTGCGCATCGTGCTCTGACACGTGCGTCGCTCTCTACACGCAGGATTTTGCTCCTGCTGCTTTGTTTTTGGCTTCGAAACTCGTTGAAGCGCCTTTGCGGCTGCGCGACCTGCTCAACGTGTTCGAGTACCTCATCAAGCGCGCAGAGCACTACTCGGAGCATTGCGGCGAGCGAGGTATATGGTTCTACAAGGACCCAACCACCGCGATAGAACCAGCAAGCACCACTGGTCATTCCACTAAGAATGGTAGTGACGAGGCCGGCCCGCCGTCGTATCAACACAAGGTGTCGGGGTACTTTGCTCAGAGCTTTTACGACGCCAAAGACGCACTGGTGGTGGGAGAGATGCAGATCTTGAAACGACTTGGGTTCAATACGAACGTCGTGCCGCCTCATGCCACCATGGTCAATTATGCTCAGATGCTGGGCATCACACAGCAGAACGAGCTAATGCAGAGAGCCTGGGGCACGCTCAATGACATGTGAGGGAGACTGTGTTCGGTAACAGTAGAGCTCATCCTGACTGGACTCTTCTTTGGGCCGACTGTGCCCTCCTTAGGTTCCAGACATCGCTTCCGTGCCTCTTTCCGCCACACGTGCTCGCCGCTGCAAGCATTTATCAGCTGACGCTCACGCCGAGTGGGTCGGAAGCTGCAGAAAGCACATCAGAGAGACAATCGCTACTTAGCCTACCGCTTGATCCAGCTCCTTGGTGGGAGCTTTTGGATGTGAGGGAGTGGGAGCTCAGGGCTGTATGCGCTCATCTTGCGCGACTTTATAGGAGAATCGCCCCGCTCATTGCGTGGAGAGATGGAGGAGCTGTGAGATTGGCAAGTCGTAAGGGTATCAGACGTTGGCTGGATGCTCGTAATCAGACATAGATTGTTCCTGCGCGATGGTGAGAATGCGTCCAGGCGAAGCTATGCATCAGCATCCATCGATGCACTGTACCTCTTTGGCTACCGCTCTTAGGGTCGAAAGGGAGGCGCATATGACGGTTGCTCGAACACATTTGCCCTGTACGCGATCCATACACACTGTTGGGCTCACTAAGCTCTGCTGTTGCGCTTCTGACTGAGCTCGGCCTGGGAACACCTCGGCTTGTCGGCTTGAAGAGACTGTCAATCCTCTTCTGCGCTTGAGATGTGATGTCGTCAAGTGGAGAAGGGTCTCATGAGTTTGCTGGGCTCGAGTGCGCCCCTCCTTCGATCAACGGAGCACCCTTGCGTGCCCGCAGCAGCGGACATATGGGACGCGCAAGAACGCGTCGCGCGTTGCACTTTACGCGTGCACGGCGGGGTGCGGTGTGCCGACACACGCGTACCGTAAACCACGGACGCGTTGCTCAACAAGAACACTCACGACAATGATGCGAATGACTTCTCAGACCGCGCGTACATACATGTTTGTGCACTTTCGTGCGCTGCTCCCCATTCTTTTCAAGCCCCCACATCAGCTAGCCCCGCCAGTGTTCATTATCAACTCCGCACCGCCTGACACACATCGAGTCGCTCCTCCCAACCGCACCTCAGCAATCTTGCTCGTCAGTCAAATTCACCGCGTCTTCCTTCCTTCGCTCTCGCTCGCGCCTTGCATTACTCTGCTTTCCCCCGCTCTCGGTCTCAAGACCAGCACTACTTCGCTCAGTATCGTCGAGCATCTGACCCTCACATCAATCGCATCTCAGCTCACAATTCAGACAGCTCGCCATGGCTCGAGGCGGTGGAGGTGGCGGCGGAACTTTTGGGCTTGTCTCCAACACTCGCCTCTCCGGACGAGGTCGGGGCACATTCAGAAAGCGAGGTGGCAGGGCGGGCGGCGGACCTCGCGACGAAGCACAGGCAGCAGCATCCGCATCCCTAACCAAGGGAGCCTTCGACGATGCTACGGCATCCGAAGATAGATTCGAAGAAGCAGCAGCGCACGATGATCTGGATGCCAAGCTGGGATTCGAACGGGTAGAAGCTGGGCCTTCGAGGCAAGCTTGGCTCGTCAATATGCACCCCACGATCATGAGGGACACGGATGATGGTGGACACGCTAGCGGAAAGTCTGCCGTCGATTTCTATTTTATCGATGATGATGCCAGCAGCTTCAAGGTCACTGTGCAGTACCAACCTTACCTTCTCGTGGGCTGTAGACCAGGCACAGAGGCGCACGTCGAGGAGTGGATGCTTCGCAAGTTCGAGGGACTCGTCGTTGCTTGTGCGCGAGAGCGCAAAGAAGACCTCAAGCTGCCCAACCATCTCGTCGGACACAAGAGGACGTACGTCAAGCTGACCTTTCACAACGTCCACGATCTCCTCACAGTTCGGAGAGATCTGCTACCAATGGCTCAGCGCGCACAAAAGCGTCGAGACGCTGTCGACACGTACGCAGACGTCTTGGCAGATAGCGCTGTGGCGCAAATGGAGGTGGAAGTGGAGGACGTCGAGGCTGCTTACTTGAACGACGACGATACTTGGAAGGGAAACAAGCTCAAAGGCACCTTCGGCAAGCAGAATCAGGACCCGGAAGAGTGCATCGTGGATCTGCGGGAGTACGATGTGCCTTATTACCTTCGCGTAGCCATCGATAATGGTAAGTCAAGCTTTGCGTCGTTTTGCCTCGAGAATGGTGAGCTGAGCATGCCGACTCTCACCTTCAAATGCAGACATTCGCGTCGGTATGTGGTACGACGTCAGCTTTCACGAAGGCGCAGTGACGATCAACTCGGTGCCAGCTCGGGTGAAGCGTGCCGAGCCCGTAGTGCTTGCGTTCGATATCGAGACTACGAAGCAGCCGCTCAAGTTCCCAGTAGCAGAGACGGACTGCGTCATGATGATCTCGTACATGATAGACGGCCAGGGTTTTCTCATTACCAATCGAGAGATTGTCAGCGAAGATATCAGCAATTTTGAGTACTCGCCGAAGAAGGAGTATGAAGGTCCATTCGTAATCTACAACGAACCCAACGAACTCGCCCTGCTCCAACGCTTCTTTGCGCACTTTCAAGAAGCGAAGCCGCGCGTCGTCGCGACGTACAATGGTGATTCTTTCGACTTTCCATTCTTGGACGCCAGAGCCAAGTATCACGGGTTGAGCTTGTTGCACGAGATAGGCTTTGCCCTTGACAGCGAAAACGAATACAAGAGCAGGTCTTGTGCGCACATGGACTGCTTTCGATGGGTCAAGAGAGACTCATACCTTCCACAAGGAAGTCAAGGCCTCAAGGCCGTCACTGTAGCAAAGCTAGGTTACGACCCCATGGAGCTTGATCCAGAACTGATGACACCTTACGCCATCGAGCAACCGCAAACCTTGGCGCAGTACTCGGTCTCGGATGCTGTAGCGACCTACTACCTCTATATGAAGTATGTGCACCCTTTCGTCTTCAGTCTTTGCAACATCATTCCACTCAATCCCGACGAAGTCCTGAGAAAGGGCAGTGGCACGCTTTGCGAGACTTTGCTGATGGTCGAAGCTTTCAGGGGAAATATCGTCATGCCAAACCGACATACGGACCCCGTCGGCAACACATATGAAGGTCACCTGTTGGAATCAGAGACGTACGTGGGTGGCCATGTAGAAGCACTGGAAGCAGGTGTCTTCAGAAGCGACATTGCGACCGACTTCAAGCTCGATCCTTCTGCTTTGCAGCAAGTGAGTTGCTCTGAAGCAAACATTAGCGATGCCGTGCGCTTACTTTATCCTTCATGCAGCTCATCGACGATCTCGACGCGGCGCTGCAGTTCAGCATTCGCGTCGAGGGCAAGATGGACGTCGAGGATGTCACCAATTATGACGAAGTCAAGGCCGAGATTCAGCAAAAGCTAGAGGTCATGCGAGACACGCCGGTAGTCTGTGTGGAGCCCCTGATCTACCACTTGGATGTCGCAGCCATGTATCCCAACATCATGCTGTCCAATCGGCTGCAGCCTGACTCGGTCGTAGACGAAGCTACTTGCGCTACCTGTGACTACAACAGACCCGGCATGACCTGCGACAAGAAGATGGAGTGGGCTTGGCGTGGAGAATACTTTCCACCAAAGCGCGACGAGGTCAACATGATTCGGTCTGCCTTGACCAGCGAAATGTTTCCTGGCAGACACAAGACTAGTCCCAAGCGGACGTACTACGACTTGTCACCCTCTGAGCAATCTGCACTGTTGCACAAACGTCTGGGTGACTACAGCAGAAAAGTCTACAGGAAGACGCACGAGACCAAAACCATCGTGCGGACATCGACTATTTGCCAGCGAGAAAATCCCTTTTACATCGACACCGTCAGAGCCTTCCGGGATCGGCGTTATGAGTACAAAGGTCTGCACAAGACTTGGAAGAAGAACCTGGACACGCGGCAGACAGGAACTGGAGACGACGCAAACCCGGCGGGCGTTGCAGAAGCACGAAAGATGATCGTGCTTTACGACTCGATGCAATTGGCTCACAAGTGTATCCTCAATTCCTTCTACGGCTACGTCATGCGAAAGGGAGCACGGTGGTACTCGATGGAGATGGCAGGCATCACGTGCCTCACAGGTGCCAAGATTATTCAGATGGCCAAAGAGCTCGTGGACCGGATCGGACGACCTCTCGAGCTGGACACGGATGGTATCTGGTGCATGCTGCCCGGCCTTTTCCCCGAGAATTTCGCCTTCAAGACGCGGAGCGGCAAAAAGCTAGGCATCTCGTACCCGTGCACTATGCTGAACTGCCTCACGCACGAACGCTTCACGAATCATCAATATCACACGCTGACCGATCCTGCCTCGGGACGGTACGAAGTGCACAGCGAGAACTCGATCTTTTTCGAACTGGACGGACCCTATCGCGCAATGATATTGCCGAGTAGTAAGGAGGAAGATAAGCTGCTAAAGAAGCGGTATGCTGTGTTCGAGCATGATGGTAGTCTAGCGGAGCTCAAAGGCTTCGAGGTCAAACGAAGAGGAGAGCTCCAACTCATCAAGGATTTTCAAACGCAGATCTTCAAACAATTTCTCCTCGGCAGCACGTTGCAGGAATGCTATGCTGCGGTCGCGTCAGTTGCGGATCAGTGGCTCGACATTCTATTCTCGAAGGGTGCAACACTCTACGACGAGGAGCTAATTGACCTCATTGCCGAGAATAAGAGCATGTCTCGAACCCTTGCTGAGTATGGAGATCAAAAGTCTACCGCAATCACAACGGCCAAGCGCCTGGCGGAGTTCTTGGGCGCCCAGATGGTCAAGGACAAAGGCTTGGCCTGTAAATTTATCGTCTCTGCGAAACCTTTTGGCGCGCCTGTCACGGAGCGCGCGGTACCAGTGGCAATCTTCAATGCGGAGCCCGCCATCAAGCAGTATTACCTGCGCAGATTTCTGAGGGACCCGTCCCTGACTGACTTCGACCTTCGAAGCGTACTGGATTGGGACTACTACATCGAGCGTTTCGGAGGAGTGATACAGAAGCTGATCACCATTCCGGCAGCTATGCAAAAGGTGCCGAATCCCGTCCCTCGGATCCGCCATCCCGACTGGCTGTTCAAGCGAGTCACCGCAAGTGAGGACAAGTTCAAGCAGCGCAAGCTCACGGATGCCTTCCAAGTGCAACACGACAGGAGTTTGTCAATGAAACCATCTACGAGCGCTCTGCCATTGGCGAAGCCTGCCCTCAAGAATCAGAAAGTGGCTTCAGTGGTCGAGGTGGACGAGCTTGTCCCTGACCTTACGGTCGACTATCGTGGCTGGGTCCGCGTCATGAAGAAGAAATGGGCAAAGGAACGCAAAGCACGAGCTCAGCAGCAGGGCGCGCTCGGCGGTGCTGCACGAGGCAGAGGACTGGGGACGATGGACGCGATGCTCGCACGGAGATCTCAGACTCTGGCCACTGCTACATGGGATGTGGTGCAGATCAGTGGCGCATCAAATCCCGGCGAGTTCCGGCTATGGATTTCTGTGGCAGGTCAGCTGCAGAGCCTCAAGCTCCATGTGCCCCGCCAATTCTACATCAACTTCAAGAAACCACCAAGACCTGAAACCTTTGGCACCGGCTACCTGTACGAGCGCGTGTCTCGCACGCTGCCTCGTGGTAGGCAGTGCTTGGAGCTGTACCGCATCACCGTCTCAGAGACAATGTACCTCGAGGAAGAGACGCACTTCTCATCGCTGCTCAATCACCCGAACGTGGATGGCGTCTTCGAAATGCAGGTGCCGCTTTCAGTCAGAGCTCACATCAATCTTGGCGGCTCTTGCGCGATCGATTCGAGGACTCCTGTGCCCATCGATCGCGTGCTCGATGCGGGTATATCTCTCCACGAATTGTCCAAGGCTGAGCGCCCTTCCGGCGCTCTGAGACGGCGAAAGTATCTCGACGGCGGAAGAGGACTCCGCTACTTTTGGCTCTACCATGCGCAGAAAGACACAAGACATTTCATCGGCCTTGTCTCGCCCGAAGGGCAGGCTCGCGTCCACGTTGTCGACACAGCCGGGCTGCAGCAGCTTCCGCGCCTCGAGCCAATGTACGCCCAGCGAATCGCCAAATTCCGCGAAACTGACAAGGTAGTCGATGGAGAAGGCGTCTTTGACTATGCAGACGCATTGAGCATCGAGACTCGGGTCCACACGACGCCGGAACGCGCCTTCCGTGCCGTTGCGAGGGAGCTCAGCACGATGCGAACGGCAAAGCAGGGTGGCGCTGTGCTGGTGATCAATTCGTCACGACCCCAGGCTTACTACGAGCAAGCTCTGGGCGGGGCCGCGTCAGACTTTCCCATTATGGCCGCTCCGTCCTCACGAGCCGAAGACGACTTCCCGGCTCTCAATTGGCAAATCGCGAGCGCGAGGAGGATGTTTGGCTGCTACCTGCGCCTATCATTGTGGCTGCAGCGGTGGCTGCAGCAGGCTGAACACTTCGACCTGCCATTCTGCAACATCGAGCGCGACTTTGTGCTTGCCGGAGCAGACATCGACTTTGCACGCCGGTTGTTGGCGCAGGACATGGTGCTCTGGTGGTCGAGCACGCCGTCACCAGACCTTGGAGGGCGCGAAGAAGATGCTCACGCCGCTCAACGCTCTATCAAAGGAGACGAGGAGGGTTTGCTGGAGATTTCTCGCCCAGGGCTGTACTCTCGAGTCGTTCTGGAAATCGCCATGCGCGACTTGGCGATGGACGCTGTGCTGCAATCGGGCTCCGTCAATGACATGGAAGGGACTGCCGCAGGGTCAATGGCCTTCGACACGTCTTCGCACAATCTTGACGAGTATGCAAAAGGCACTGTGCACTCGGAGACTTCACTCGGTGATGCCGTATTGACATCGCAAGTCTTTACTACCGTCAAAGCAATGGTCAAGGCGTGGTTCATCGACAAGGTGCACGGAAAAGCTGCTTACTCGGGACGACTCGCTGACAATTTCTGGAGATGGGTGTCCACCCCGGAGAGCGCACTCTTCGAGCCTGCACTCAAGGCCTTCCTGCAGGGACTAATGCGCAAAACACTCCTCCAGCTGCTGGCAGAATTCAAGCGACTCGGAGCATCAATTGTCTTCGCTTCACCCAGTCGGTTGTTCCTCTTGACGTCTAAGCCCACGGGTGGAAGCGCCGCGGCGTACGGCCGCTACTTGCTGTCTGCGGTGGCAAGCAGAGACCTCTTCAAACATTTGCAATTGGCCATCACCAATCACTGGGAGCTACTTTTGTGGATGGATGAAGCCAATTTTGGCGGTGTAGTCTCACCGGATCCAAATGCAATTGAGCCCAGTCAGACTTGGGAGACTGACATGAACTGGAACGTCCAGGAATTCTTGCCTCGCGCCCTTCGTCAGCGCTTCGCTGCAGTCATCGGCGCCTTCCTGTTCCACTTGTACGAGAACAAGCGCCGCAACATGATTGCGTTCGAGCGGACGCCACTGCGGGTGATTCAGCAAGCGACGACGCCGCTTGCCGGCACGCAGAGAGACCACCAAGTGGATGAATCCGCTGTGCAGAATGAAAGTGCGGACATGGCAGACCCGAACAAGGCCCTCGTCGATCCTCTCAAAACGGCGGAGATCAAAGCGGCCAAGGACTACGTCAATCACAAGCTTACTCGCCAATTGTTACGGGTGGTCGCTGAGGTTCGCCACGAATATCAAGCTGCCCAAGCAGCGGGAGCAGAGGACGAAGAGGCATACTTTGAGGCAACCGAGCATTGGTCCTTTCCTGACCTTCCTGGCCGGCTCGTGCAAGCGACGGGCGACCTTTCGCCTGCGTTGGAGTTCGTCAAGACCACGATGGCAGTCTTGGGCCTTGCGAAAGACTTGAACGTCGAAGTCGGCATTTGCCGTCGCAACCTGCTCGAGTTGCTCGGCGTCCGAGAATTCGCAGCGGTGGCAGAGTGGCGAAACCCGTGCGAATCGTTCAAGTTACCGATGGTCATCTGCTCTTTCTGCAACGATGAGCGGACGCTGGATTTGACGCGGGATGCGGATCTGATGCCGGCACGACCTGGAGAAGCTCGAGAGTGGCAATGCGCCTGCTGCAAATTTGCCTACGACCGATCAGCGATCGAAGCGCGCCTCGTATCCATTGCGCAGTCGCTGTTGTTGACGTTTGCGCTGCAAGATTTGCGCTGCAACAAGTGTGGAGGAGTCAGAGCCAACAACATGGCGCCACACTGCTCTTGCTCTGGATCCTGGGGACTGACTGTGTCCAGGAAAGATACCATGAGACGCTTGACGCTTATACGCAGTCTTGCTCGCTATCATGCCTTGCATGTCCTTGAGAGCGCCGTGGAGCCCCTCCTAGCCAACACCTAGAGCCCCTGATCCATATTTGCAGCATCATTCGTACCTTTCCAGACAGTCACGAGCATTCAACCTCGCATTCTTGCATACCATAAGACCAATGACATTGCTAGCATCCAGAGGAGACAATCATTAGGGAGTTGCGCATCAATGTGAGCGGCAGGGCCCTCCCGTGCGCAGCACAGTTTGACGCGCATCAAATTGTGTTGCTGGAGATGGACAATCAGGATCAAGCTCAGCACAGGGGCACCGGTGTTAGCTGAGTTTGCCAAAATCACCTCTCACCTTCTGGCAAGCATTCTATCATGTTGTTTCTTGGCTTGCAAAGCGCACAAAGCAGCTGGGGAGGAGGATGAGCAGAGTCAATTGGCTTGGCAAACACTTCGCAGTGATCCATAAAGCATGGCTTCTCACCTCCCACTCCACTGCCATCCTTTGCAAGTGCCATTCGCACGCGCTTCTCGGCGCCTTCTCCGACAAGATCTCGCAATGCCTCCCTTACCCTGAAGTTGACGCGGCGCAGGAAATGTAGTCAGATCTGCGAGGTCCGCTCTAGGAGCAGTCTTCGACGTGCTCACCATTCTTCAAAGTAAGGCAGGAATTCGTACACGCTTCCGTCGCAGCCAATATCGATGTAGTCGGATTCCTGCAACTCGGCACCTCCTCGATGCTGGTCGTGCCCGGTATGCTGCAAGGTTGCCGCAATAGCGACGCTGCTCAACCTAGCTGCCCGCCTTCCCACAATTTTGCACACTGCCTTGACAGTCTCGACATCTCCCTCGGCAACGTGCTCAGCTTTGATACCTAACGTGTCCACCAGAACCAATCGAGTGGGCGAGTCGGCAGAATTCGAGGGCTTCTTGTCTGCGAGGACTGCTGACACGTACGCGGTGTCGAAGCCGTACTGCTTGTTTAGTAGCTCTGAGGAAAAGCCTTGGAAGAGATGCAGAGAGTCCACAAGATGGATCAAGACTGTCCGCACAACCTCGCCAAGATCTGCGACGGAGAAGCGGCCATGCACGTGAGCGATCTCCGAATTGAGCGCAGTAAATGTCAAACGTACACATTCCGCTAATCATTTTCTCAAAAGCGTGGTGTCGAGGTCTGATCGCAGTCCGATCAACTGTATTGTCAAACAAGGTGATGAGTAGCGCAGCGCGCTGGAAGCGGCCCCAAAAGTGTCAGCAGACGACGCAAGCTCCAAACGCGTCCGGATGTCTTCATCGGAACGCACCTCGTCATCGAAGCCTCCCCATTCGGTGTTGATGATCATCGTCTCTTCACCGTGAGCGTGAGCCGCATTCATCTTGCCAATTCTTTCTACCGCCTCCACATAAGCTCCATTGGTGCCTGTGCCAAAGATGGCTCCAAGCAACGCTCCCTTGGCATGGTAAGCGTGTGCCAACAGCGCCCCGACAGTGTCGTTGACCAGCGCATTCACCCGGACAGGGACATGTTGCCGGTCCAGACACCCTTGCAGCAGCTGTACGACTTCTAGACCCACGGCCCCAGGACAGCTGAAACCTTTCGTCCAGCTGATAAGAGTGCCTCGATCTATAGCTGTTTGTTCCACGGGCTGCAAGCAGTCGTGCGCCGCGTTGAAATGAGGTTAGCATTCTGGCTACTATGCCGCAAATTCCGACGTCCTTGGTGTTATCACGCACGAAGCTGAAGGTGAAGCCCATGAGCAAAGGCCCATCCTGCGGGTTCTGAGGAGCCGCGCTGCTAAAATCCTTCAAGAACTTGGCCACTGAAGCAGCAATGTAGTCGAACAGGTTCTCGACTGGGCCAGTCTTGAGCTGATCGGAACTGTATCAGTGAGATGAAAGCTCGTCAAAGAATGCACACGAGCGCCCTAGAATGTGTGAGTCGGACCTACTCACACCTTGTACTTTTCCTGCTTCATGCTCACCTTCCCTTCACCACCGAGCGTCACTTCGCATACGCGCCTGTAAGGATCGACAACGAGTCTGTGAGCGGGAGAATCCCTTCTGCTGTCATACGAGGCCGATCATGCCTCGCTCGTCTGCTCGGAGCGGCACAAAGCGCTTGATGATCCTCTACGCACAAATTCGTTCCGCCCAGGTCCAGAGCCAAGTAGACGCCTTTTTCCGATCCATCCGGCGTGCCCGTGACTGTCGGTAGATGGTTCTGGCATCAGTACGAGCTCGCTCGACAGGGCTGCATTCTTCTGCACTTTTCGACAGAGGAAGCACGCAGCAAGTGTCGAGACGATTGCTTGAAGGCAAACCCATTCCGCACGCACCATAGCTGGGTATCATGGCCATCGCAGCTCCATGATTTTGTAAGCCGTACACCATCCTTTCTCTGAACCTGTCCAAGATGCCTTGCAGCTTGATCTTCGAGAGATCGAACTGCTCCTCGATGGAAGCAAGGGCCGAGGAAAGCGAAGGGTGCGATGCGGACGGCATCTTTGCGCGAGGGGCAGGATGAGTCCCGCACTGGTGAAAGCGTCCTTGCTTAGCCGCTGCCGCGATTGTGCAAGTGTCGGTGAGGAACTCTCGTGGTTCTTTTTGAATGCGAATCGCGGGCGAAGCTATCTTCCGAGCTTGGGGCTGAGCCTCCTCTCTGGAGGTCTCTTGTTCGCGCGTCCAGAAATCTGGACTCAAAAGTTGCGAAGATGCTCGCTAGCTTGAGGTGACTAGAATGACAGGCTAACGAGCTGAGCAAGGCAAGCGACCAAGAGAGGGATGAGGAAGTGCAAATGAGAAGTGCACCTTACTCCATCTTCAATCAAAATCTTGAATCTTGAAGCTGTATGCAGGCACAGCTGCTTGCCGCACGTAGGCGACTCGTGACGCACGGCTGTGAACTACGTGGTCGCCCCCTCACCAGCCATATAGCATGCAGCAGCTGTTGTGACTTTTCGGGTGGAGCTCGGAGTCTTGGGCCGTGCGGGTCTCTACGTGCTTGGCGTGACTTCCCCGCGTGCAGTCAAGTTTCCTCCCGAAAGATGAGGTGCGCGCGGCGCGCATGGGGGTGTGGCTTGAGAGCTTGAAGTCAAGACTCATCACAAGTCTCAAGTCAAGAGTGATGGGTCAGGCTGGTCGCTCGACCTGATCGCGGTGAGGCATAGGGAGTCGTGGGTACACCACGCGAGAGGCCGTGTGTGTGTTCATTTGCCTGCAAATCGTCTCCAGACTTCACGTTCTCAGCTCACGGGACGAAATCCTCGAAGCACTTGGTGCACCCATGACTCCGAAGTGCCCTCTCGAACAGACAAGTCTCGATAACGCGCAATGCTCAGAAATGCCCAATCCCACGTCGAAATGCGTTATGATTACAGTTGCGTTCAAAGGTCATGTGGGGAGCGCGCAATACAATATCTCATCAGTAAGGATTAAATCGTCTGGAATTCTTGAGCTTCTCAACCTTTTGTTTGTCCTTCTCAAATTGTTCTCTGAGCGAAGCTAGCTGTTCGCGCTTCTTCTCCCTAATCTGAAAGCGGTAGAAATCCTCCAATTCTTTCGACTTCTTCTTCCCCGATCCACTTGCTCCGTTTTCCTGCTGCGTCATGAACTTACTAGCGACGCGCACAGTCGAGCCTCTGGCAGCTGGTCCACTCTTGAATCCTGAAGCGTCCGCACCTCCTTCCGCAGTCCGGCCGAAGCGTCCGCCTCTCTGAACAATGGTGAAGCCATCCTCATCAAGCATCTCTCCATCCGGTCCGTAGCTAGCTACAGGCACGCCTCCCTTGTCTTTTGCCTGCGGGTGCTCCTTGACCCAAGTATAGTGGGCGATGACACTATCGACGTGCTTTGTGATTGCATCGGGAGTGGGTCTCTGGGCCCTATATCGCGAGACGAAGTACTCTAGACCCAAAGGAGGCACGCTCTGTCCCGCTTCAAGCGCTGCCTGACCAGCACTTCCTGGCCGCTTCTTCTGGCCATGTGGGCGCGAATCTTCCATCGCAGCCAATGCTGCTGCGCTTTGCGCATTGCGAATATCTGCCCAAGCATCTGGCCATGAAGTGCTGTCTGGCAAGCTGAGAGCGCGCTGCGCGCAAGAAGCGTCGAGAAAAGTGACATGTGCTGATACAGATGTGCCATGCAAGCGGTGCGGATGTCGAGGATCTGAGGGCGGCAGGGGTACGATTGCTGGAGGCCCAGATGATTTCTTGCCACCTCTATGCTTGCCAACATTCGATGACGTCGCTGCGCTTGTCGAACTGCCAGCTTGCTCCTGAAACCCTTCATCTGGACCTCCAGCATCCATCCCGTCTTCATCCTCGCTGACGGAGCCGGGAGACTGATTCCAGAATTGCACAACTTCGATGGGCCCGGCTTTTGCAAAGATAGCGCGGACGTGTCGGTCAGTTGTATCCGTAGGTAGATTCACCACGAACAAAGTTCGTGTCTGACTTGTCGTCGCTTCGACACGACCCTTCTCTTGATGGATCCTGATATACAGCACTTGAGATCCTAGGCGCAAGACACGAAACCCAGACACCGTAGCGAAGCCAGCAGCGCCCTTGTTCTTCTTGGACACTGTATGCGATGCACTGGAGTTTCGAGCTTCATCTTCCGCGCGAGAGGCGGTCTTCGACTTTGAGCGAGCCATTGCAGTGACTTGAAGCGACGAGAAGGCAGGTAAGTAAAGAGTCAGCTGTAAATCTTCCTTGCCACCACTGCCGTATGGCGCCCCATCGCTCCACCGATATGACAACGTTCAGGATTGCAGAATGTATGCTCGTCAACGGTATGCCTAGCGTGACAACCTTGGACTGTTGAGCTTGATAATGTGATTTGAATTCGATCATCTTTACGTTGACTTGACCTGCCCTCCCCTGATCCCGACTCCGCACGCTTTGCGTCCCAACGATGATCAACACTCACCTCTTCACTGGGCCGCCTAACAAAACTGCTGTGCGCTCGAGATTTCCAAATGCTGGTTGGATGAGGTGCAAATGCGGTGGAAGAGATCGACGCCGATGTTGACATAAACATAGAAGCGGTCAGTTGGAGCCCAGGCACCCTGTGGCCTGCGCTGTCTGTGCTGTGGTGTTGAAAGCGCAAGATCTTGCAATTGAAGCAGCCAAAATATTTCGACGGCTTATTCGGCCGGGAACAGCCGATGTGATCTATGCATACCGCTTTGGCTGCATGCATGCACAGCAGGCTCAGCATCAGACGCGGCGACGACCACGCTGCGGCAGTCAATTTTCCAAGGCGACGCGCAACAGGCCTACAGCTGCAACGGCGAGGCTGCGCGCGCTGTGGCAGGGCGGAAAGGTGAAGACCACGTGGCCTGGCGATCTCTGCAGTCCCATCTTCGCGCGCTGCGCTCGAATTCGAGCTCCATGCGGCGTTGACCTGCCTCCAAGATTGACATGCTCGCACTCATTCACCACAATCGCCATCGCACCTCCTCGATTCGACCCACATACACCTCAAGATGTCGGCTGCCAAGACGTGAGCATCGACAGGCTCGTACTGTACTGGTGCCTGGAAGGCCAGACAGCCATGAGAGAGGTGGAAACTCAATACTGACGCATGATCCCTCCTTTTTATACCCCCCC